GGAGAGTTTTGTGTTTACAGTGCAAGACTTAGTTCCTTTACATTTCTACTTTTTTTTCTCGAAAGCAAAGTGAAACATTGCAAAGGACTGCGCATACATGAGTAACTCACTTATTGTGAATTGAGAATAGAGTCTGGAAATGAAAAATGAGTTAAAGTAAAAAAATGATAAGAATAAGGGATCTTCATTAATTGCACTATTGTCAAAAATAAAGTTAATTTTATTATATGTTTTAATTGTTTGTTTCAGGACTTAGCAGCTCTTGAATTGGGGTAATACAACCTCAGATAAAATGAGGATTAGAAATGTCTCACAATGTCATTACTTATAGAAAAAGTCTAATCCAAAATGCAGAAGAAATCATTCGAAATTTACGTTCAGCATTAGGCCTTCTGAAGAGATTCAGAGGGTGAGCAGCAGCCAGGTTCAGCCGGGAGAATGCATTTGATGAACCGTAAGAGGGAGAAAAGCAGATGTTTGGGCAGTTTGCAGGCCTGAAAATTTCAGGTGTGTTGGCATCATTTCTGATGGAGAGAGACATCTGCAATGATCTTTGAGAAACTAAATCCAGCATTGGCAAGGGTTAAAAAGTCAATTCTTTTCACTCCATTTGATGAACAAACAATGAGACAAATAAAAATCAAACAAATACATAGAAACAAACATGTCATCAAATCTGACATTAAGCTTTCTTCCCCTGCTCTCTGTGCTCATCCAACACCCCTCAATTATACCCCCCCCCCCACCCTGCACTAGACACCAAACGGTCTAAACTCTCTTTTTATTTAAAAGACAAAGTTAATGAAAAACTTTTAGATCAGGTAAACTTTTAATTATTTATTTTAAGTCCTAGAGGAACGCGAAATAAATGAATTGGCCAAGGTAGAAATAACCAAAAATGTAGAAACCATTTTTCAAACACAGTCACAATATTCCAATACTGTTTTTTTTATTTTTTTATTTTTATCGAAATGATTTTGTAGTTATCACAGATGTTGTCTAGTGCCAAGTTAACAATCTTGATGAATATTGAAATGCAACATTCTTTTACAACCCAGCACTCTGAGTTGATTTTAAAAAGAAATGTATAAATAAAGATGTTGCAATTGATTTATTGAATGAAACATTTGACTCCAATATCACCATCCATAACCTCAGGAGGATTTGATAACGGAGACAGTGAAGACGGTGAGGGTGCCACAGAAGTAATTCCTCAGTTTGTACACTGAAACATAACTGATACAACCTGACTCTAGTCTTAGAGAGTTATCCCTGACAACCCAGAAAATTGATATGACCCCCCGTGTGCCTACACATTTTCCGAAGCGGAGGATCTCTCTCTATTTCTCCGTCTTCTCTTCCTTCTCCACTTCCTCCTCGTGTCACACTGCACTCCTGTCTTTCCTCCTGATTTACCAGACATCCTTTTCCCCCTGCTGTCACATTTGCTACAGATGGTTAGGCTCTATGGAGTGGCCTGTCAGTCTCCATTTGGCCGCCTCTATGTGACAGCGGGCCCGATGGCTCGTGAAAGGCCCCCGACTCTCCTGGTACACGGACACTGACATTTCTCAAAGGAGCTTGTGTGTGCACGTCCCGACCGGGCATCCACGGGGGAGAGACGGAGAACCTGGAGCTGACCCGAGAACCAGGGGAGGGGTGCAGAGGAGGGATACGAGGAGGCTGCAGCAGATATAAATCAAATAAAAATGCAACAAAGATGAATGAGAGAAAAGAAGTAAAAAAGAGGGGATAAAGAAATAGTAGGGGTCAGTCTGAACTGTGAAAAAAGCTAAACTCAGTCGTTATTTTTTCTGTCTCAGGGGAGCTGGACATCATAAACTGCATGAAATGTATTTAGTATTTTTTTAGAAAAAAGCCAGATAAAAATAAGTTGATTTTTGTCGAACTACATTCAAGTTATTCATTGCAGAAATAGATGCCAGATAATTTTTCAAAAATTCTTAATCATGTGTCCAGTAAATAATTTCTTAAGGAACATTTTCTATTATTTCTCATAGTCAAATTATTAAATAGTTGAATGCATGAAAGCAGTGATTTAGGATTTTTAAAAAAGTTGTTTTTCCTTAGATAAAAAACACTGTAGGTTAGGAGCTTAAGAATTCCTCCTGTAATGGTGGAAATTAGACAAACATCTCTGTCCTCCTATTCAGCATGAAGCCACTGACCTAACCTTTTACCAATAGTGTGTAAATTGCAATATTTCATATAGACTGTAAGGTAGAGACCGCATTTGACAATCATGAAGGGGGCCACAGGGGGGGAGAGGGGGAGCTGCTGTATTGTAGCGCCTGAGGGGAGAGCTCCCAGTCAATATATATCTCCACGCTCGCTCCTGCGCTCCCATTTGAGCGGGACGCGCTGCCCTGCTGCTGCTGCTGCGCTGCAGAGGAGGGACACAGCCACTCTGGGACGCTCTCTAGGTACGGATGCATACATTTCCTATCTGCACTCTTAGGCTGCTATACAAGTTATAAATATAAAGTATATGTGTAATTTTAGGTGTACTATGGGTTATATTTTCATTGGGTGTTAAGAAAAGGCCTGTTACAAGTCTTAAAAACGATTGCTCTGTTTCATTTTCTTGCTGCATGTTTTCACTTTGCAGAAAGAAATTAGCTTTAATTTTTCTTCTTTAAAGACTGAAGATCAAACGTGATATGAGAAACATCAGAACTCCATCCTATGAACAATTTGCTCTTTAGTTTGTGTGAAACATTTTATTAGGTCTAGTTACAATATTGATGTGTCAGTTAGTTAAAACATAATCAATCTATGCCTTTATGTTTACATAATTTAATGTGGTTTTGACACATTGTCAGCATTTCAAAGCAATTTTCCCACATTTTTATACCAAATAACTGAGTTTAACAAAGAATAGAAACTAATTTCTTCTTTTTTTTACAGAACTTTTCCATCAAAAAAGGACACAAACAACAAGTCACCCTGCTCACAATTTAAGGTAAAGTATTCAAATTAAAATGTGTAAAAACTCAAAATATTATCCCTCACAGTCCCGTGTTTATTCCCTGTGGACAACGAGCCCATCCTGCTAGCTGTGTGCGGTGTGTTGGCTGTAGCATGGAAGTTGTCAAAGCTTTTAGTGAAGTGAGCCTCATTAATTGTAACAATAGATGTTCAAGCGATTGGGCTTGTTTGATCATCATCCCTAAAAGCTTAAAACAAGACCGCAGGGTTTGGATAGGAGCGGCAGCGGGGGGGGAGCGGGCAAAGTGCACAGTCTGTGGAGAGGGCAGCGAATAGCAGTGACCAGGAGAGGGGGGGAAATGTATTGTAAAAATGATTTTTATTGATCAGCTCGTAGCAGCAGCTGTTAGACTCCATTATGAGCTCAAAGCTCAGGTCAGAGCCCCGAGGCGCACAAGTGAGCCCATCAAATGGTCAACCACTGACGGGCCAGTTCGGATCCAGTGGAGGGAGCAGCCAGGAACAGGCTGCCATCCTGTGTTAGACTCAAGGTGTCTTTCACCAGCCCGCTTCATGCTCTGACTTCATAGATTTTCCTGTTTGTCGCTGTGAGCGCTCATTTTTAATCCCTGTTCCCTTCAGCCTTTATTTCAAAACTTTGTTCTATGCCTGTGTGGGATGGAGAGCAAACACTGGGCCAAACTTTTTGAAAATGATTTTTTTTTTTTTTAAATGTATCTCAGTTTGATCTCTAAACATCCCATAGACTTTCATCTTTGAATGACCTGAGGGAAAGGGGCTAAATAAAAGCCCAAAAGCTGTTAACGGAGGAGCGTACTGCTCCTCACATCACTGCAGGCTCCAGCCAGCAGCCTGGCTCACAGTTGGAAAAGATCACAAAGTGTCTGAGAAAACATTTCAGTGTGTTAAAGATTGTGGAATTTAATTAAACTAAAATAGTGGTACTATAAAAGAGTGTGAAGAAACACAAAGAAAAATTAGGGAGATATATACAGAAAATGAACTGATGGATGCAATCTTGTTATCATGGATTTTGTAGAAAAAGGACAAATTAACTCTTTAGATTTCAGATAAAATAAGAGAAATGTGCTCTGAGGGTGCTGAACATTGAACAGTGTTAGACTGGTTTTAGGAGACATACCAAATTTTGAATTTATGAAACATTTTGCAAGTCCAGACACAAGATATTGATAATCTATAGAACCGTTTTACTTCCAAAATATTCAAAGTCCCAATTTTAGCTATTTCAACACATCAAGTTGAACTAAACTCTAAAGATGAGACAATACAGGAGGGTGGCACCATGTCCTGACCCAGATCCCAGTCCTGGCACTAATGACGCCCTATAGGCACGACGCCAGGCTCTCATTAGACATCAGGACTCAACCCGCATATTTCCGGCCCTTCCTCACCGGCCCACAGACCTTAGCGAAGCCTGTGCCTGTGCCTGTAGCTGCCCTTTGAGGGTCCGTGCCGAAAAACCCAGTGTGGTGAGACCCCTCGCACAGGTGCAGAGTCCCCTGTGGCAGCCTTGTTTGCCCTCCAGCCCGAAGCCCCGCTGTGGCCCGGTGCTGCACTGGAACTAATGAGTAGTGGCAGGTACAGTAAGAGCGGAGCAGAGCAGGCCGGCCTGTTGTTAGGCTAGTGGCAGCCCACGCCTCCCTCAGCCAGTCAGTCTGCTCTCATTTTAGATATAAATATATATATATGAGCTCATAATAAAATAATGATATCTCTGTTTGTCTTTACCGCTAAAATGTTTTTCAGACACAAAAATGCCTAAGTCACACCGAGGATAAGTGATAAATACCGGAAAAAGATCAATATTTTAAACTTCTGGTTTGTGTGTAAATGTAAAATTGGGCTATCTTTCCTTGTTTCACAGGCGCAGCGGCAAGTGTATCAAGAGGAGAAAAAAAAACCATCAAATGAAATGCACTTGAAAGACACGAAAGGCAAAAGCTTTTGAAAACTACTGGAACAATCTGAATTTGAATGAGACGGTCCTTTAGAGTAAAACTGCCGCAACCATGTCCAAAGAGGACGTCTGCAAAGTGACTCCCGGCAAACACAAGGAGCGCAAGCCCAAGAAGCCCCACTACATCCCCCGGCCGTGGGGCAAGCCCTATAACTACAAATGCTTCCAGTGTCCCTTCACCTGCATGGAGAAGTCCCACCTGTACAACCACATGAAGTACAGCCTCTGCAAGAACTCCCTGTCTCTGCTCATAGAGTCGGACTGGCCGTACAAGAAAGGCAACGTCCTGCACCCGGATCACCTCCGGCCCGTCCAGCCGCCGCACGGCCTTCACGCCGCCGGGAAAGAGGACGCAGAGCAGGGGGTCTGCGCCGAGGAGAAGCCCGGCCGGCGGAGGTCCGTGGAGGGGGAGGGGGAGAGCAGGGAGATACCAGGACCGGAGGGTGATGAGGAGGAGGGAGGGCGAGGAGACCCGGTGGAGACCACTGCCCCGACCAAAGGAGCTTCCAGTACCGGCAACCAAGAGGGCACAGAGGGTGTTGTTAAGACCAGTAAACAGCCCGAGTCAGAGTTTCTGATGGCCAACATGCTTTCCCTGGAAGATCAGCTGCTACGGGCCCGCTCTGTAGAAGTAGAGGCCCAGCTGAGACACTACAAGCTGTCAAAGGCCTGTCTCACCGCTCCCGGGCTCCTGACCGACCAGTGGCGGCTGCTGGCCTCCGGCCAGGCGAAGGCCAAATCCGAGGGCTCTCAGTCTCGAGTGAGTGGCTCAATCCCTTGTTATCCTCCCCCAAACCTGGTAGACTACCAGGATCCCACTGGACTCAACCTGTCAGTGCTGGGAGTGGGCTACCCCATCAGTCCCGGGCTGCTGTCCTACATGAACTCGGCGGTGCCGGCCGCGGCGTCCACTGTGTCGGCGCAGACCCACTCCCAGCTGACCCACTCCCAGCTGGCCCAGATCCCCTTCCTGGCATCGGCCGCTCAGCTCATGCAACCGGCCTCCAGCTCCCACCCGGACAGATCTCTCATATCCCCCCGTCTCTACTACCCGTTCCTGTGCGAGCACACGTTTGGACTGTCCTCGGGTCAGAGCGAGGCCGGCAAGTCTCACAAGAGCCCCACAAACAGTCTGGATGCGAGTCTTTTGTCCAACTTCCAGCCCAAAGTGAATCTGTGGAAAGTGCCTGCTCTGCGCCCCGGACACTCTTTAGCTCCCGGCGGCTGGGTGTCGCCTCAGGGAGACCCTCCTGACCAGGGCTACAGGCTGGGGGATAAAATACCGTCTGCGGGCAAGGACGGCAGTGGAAGCTGGGGCGTCAAAAGGAGCGGAGCTGCACTGAGAGCTCACGAGGAGCCCGCAGAGAAGAGGCCCGGTATGGCCTTCACTCTGGACCTTCTGAAGAATTTTCAGGCTGCATCATCTGAGAAACTCTTCCAAAGCAGGTAAAGTTTCTAAGACACTTGTGTTTTTTTCATAGTGTTGTTATTTATAGCATTACAATCCCTGTTACTTTTCAAATGGTAGAAACACCACACCGTGCAGAAGCTCTTTGTTTCCAAGCTGCAAAAACTGACATCCTCCTTTCTGTTTTTAGCCCAAAGGACGCTCGGTGCCAGACCAGGCTGACTGACCAGTGGCACAGCGACCCTGTGGTCAGTCCCGACGGCGACCTGCCCTCTCTGCCCGCCGGCGTGGGAACCAACTGTCAGTACGCGTCCACGGCCAGGTCGGCGGAGGAGGGAGCCCCTGAATCGGTGGCGGCCCTCCTCAGCGATCTGTCCAAAGCTCTGCACGACTACCAGGAGGCCGAGCGCAAAATCTCTCACCTGGAGAGGGAGGACCTTCCGGCCCAGCGACACCTGTGGGAGCACCTGGGCAAAATCCGCAGCGAGCTGTCCCACATCCACCAGGCGCTGGAGCGGACGGCCGGCCAGAGCGACGGACCTCTGGACCTGTCGGTCAAGAGGGACTCGACCGACCCGCCGGGCGAGCAGAGCAGCAGAGAGGAGGACGGCCTCAGAGGCAACGCCACAGAGACGGAGGAGGAGGACGAGGAGCTGGAGGAGAAAAAGGATGAGGATGAAGAGGAGAGCGAGAGAAAGCTGATGAGGGACTCACTGGAGAGTCGCAAACAGTCCCTGGACATGCTGATCAAGATGAGTCAGGCCTCGGTGGTCAACACGGAGGTTCTCCCGGCAGGTGGTCTCGGCCTGAGGCCAGCGGAGGCCCTGTGGGCCAGCAGAACTACTAAGTGCGAGGCAGATTCCAGCGTCCTGCTCTGCCCAGATGGCCGGTCAGTAGTTTTCACCGATATCCCCTCGTCTGCCAAACCTCCAAAGAGACCCCCGTCCATCCAGCGACTGGAGGCCCAATGACCGCTGCTGGCAGGCCTCTGGTTTCACTGCCGGGAAGAAAACTCACTAAAAGTACGCTTGCACCTTTAAAAAAAAAAAAAGAAGAGAACAAATGACTATGTAAAAGCGAGCAATTTCTTTTGATGCACTTAAGACTGTAATTGTTTCAGCAAGGTCTTCCTTATGATAACTTTTGACATTTTCTGTCGTGATAATTTGAGCAATCGGGTTTATTTAAATCATGCCGAGAGACAATCCTTTAGATGGATTTGTGAATGCTGTAATTAAAAGAAATGTAATTAATGTAAAATAGTTTTATATGGATATGTCTTTTTGAGCTGCTTCATTTTATGTCATGAGAATAAAATGTATTATACACTGTGTAAAGAGAAAAAAGCGTTTTTTTTTTCTTCACAATGATAAAAAACAAAACACGACAAGAAACAATCGGATCAGAACGTAAAAAAAAAATATATATATATATATATATATATATATATACACACACACATATACATACATTTTTTGTTTGCCCTTCAGGAAGACAAACAAACAAAAGAGGAGAAAGAAAGTACCCATGGTGTCTGTACACCTCCATTTGCTGCACATGGCAGCATAGCTGTGATAAAGGTGAAGCAGCTCCTAAAGCCAGCTGCCATCTGATGGGATTACCCGTACCTCTGCCCCGACTGCAAAGGTCAAGGCCGACGGACTTCACTTAAACTGAACTCCAGACTACCTGTCTGCCTGAGGATAAGCACAAAGGAAGGACCGGCCCAGTAAATTCTGGCCTCTTCAACACCATCCCACTCCACACACCAGGAAAGGTCAGCTGCCAGGACCAGAACAGCCACTGAAAGACATTCAGCCCCAAGAGGTAAACAAGTCAAATCATTTCCCCCAAATTTCTGCTCAAACTCGGCTTAACACCACAACAGTGTTGGTGGAGCTGATTAAAATCTCATTCAAACACAAAAACGGTATAGTCCTAAATCCTAGCGTTTATTTTTAAAATGACTATACTATCAAATACAAAAGAAAAATCAGAATCTTTTGCAAATATATATATGTATCAAAATATATTATAAAGAATAGCAAATTCAATCAAAACTGAGATAAGAAATTCTTTTAATTTAATAGCATCAAATCCATAATTGTTGGATGTTTTCCATTGTCAGATTTTATGATTGCTTTTGTCCTCAGGAAAGAAATAAATGTGAAAGAAAGAGGATATATGAAAAAAATAAAAATAACAATGATGATGTTAATTGCGCCTGCTGATGAGTTGGATGCAAAAACGATAGTCTAATCCAACTACGCCTGAATATACAATTGTTTAAACAATACAATTGTTTGGTTTTCCAAAACCAAACAGGAATTTGGAGATTCTGTCTCATTCCAGGGGCCATGAAGTCAGAGGTGTTATTTTGAAATGCTGTGAGTCGCTGTGTTCCTTTTTAGCCATTTTCAGCCTTTGGTGGCAGCTCTAAATGTCTCTTTCTGGCCCCCTCATGTGGACAAATCCGGACCCAAGCATATGCACTCTGTTCTAGATATAAAGGTATTTTAAGCAATTCTGAGTCTAAAATAAAGAATAAAGGATGCTTTTTTAGTTTTTCAAACCAATGCTCATCTAGTTATAAAAATATTATTTAATAGATATGGAATATCATGATGGAGAAAAACAAGACAGGTTTCCAAACACTTCATTTATTTGACGTTATACATTCAAATGGAAATAAAAAATATTCATATATATTTATCATATAGAGCTAGTGAGCAAGGTACAAGTTTAAAACAAAACACAGAAGTCCTCCGTGTGGCATATTCATATGTACAAAGCATGGTTTGAATACTATACAGTGTGTATCCATAGCTGCACAGGTTTCATGGATGTTTATAATCTTAACTCAGTTGAGGCAAAACTAGATTTTAAGTGGGAGATCAGGGACTGGGGCCAAGTGCTTCCAGACTGCTGCTTACAGTAAAACATTTCAATCTACACAGTAGGACTTGCAAAGCAAAGCTTATTAGTGTCAAGAGTTACTGAAGCAAAAAACAGGAAAATGAGGCAACAGGATCCATCTGCAGTTCAACGTATGCTGTACAGTCATGCAAGGTTCAAAATATGATTTTATCTGAGATAATATTCTCATACTAAAGTCAAAACCAAGAAAACATTAAGTCAGGTTTTTTAAATCAGAGTCAGGGGGACTAAAAAAAAGAGAAGACGAAGGAGAAGGAAAAAATAGTCTCATTGAGTGGAAAAGGCTGTTCACTTAGAATGACATAAGTCAGGATGTTTGGTTGCACTGCAATAACCCATTTGTAGTCACTATGCTATTTTGAGACAAATAAAAACAAGTTTCCTCAAGTAGTCAAGTGGTAAGTGCAATCTTTCCCTCCCCTTCCCCTTCATACACACACATTCTGCGGTAGAACTCTCATATATAAGCAAGTTAAGCGTCGCATCACTTCCCACCATCAATCAACCCACTTATAGTACAGCAGGAGCCCCAACCATCGACAGCAAACTGTACTCTACACGTTTCCAGTAGTTATGTACAACACAACTGGTGCAGCATCACACACATTACAAATAATTTGATTTAGATACCAACAACAATAATAAAATACAGCAGATAGTTAATTAATATTGGGTATATATATATATATATATATATATTATTCATACTGTGTATTATCTGTTTTGGCATCTTGCAAGATTCATATAAATGCTGTTATTCATCCCTCTCACAGCTTATTTGAAAAGTCTTCAACTTGGCCAGATCATTTATCTGTGTTATGTTAAAAATACAACACAACAAACAAAACAAAAGAAGTAATAATAAAATAAAAAAAGAAAAACTCACAAGACACTGTATAATCTAGTAAATCAAATAAGCGCAGAGCATCTCATCAGGTGTGGAAAGGTCCAGATCTAACTGACCCTGATGGGTCTCTTTCAGCTCCAGTAAGATCCTCTGCTGATGCAGGCACGGCAATCTGACCAACAGCAGAAGGCGGGCAAGAGAGGGGAGCACATTCAGATTTTTCTGGAATCTTTTGACTCAAAAAGCTTCATGCGCTCCTGCACAGACAATCCTTCCTTCAGGCTCTGTTAAAGATAGAAAGTTAAATATCAAATATTGATAAAACATTCAGCAGTTCTTTGTGACGGTTTAATGCAAGACCTTTTTCTCTGTTCTGGTTCAGGTGAAACAACACTAGAATAAGATCATGTAAACCAATGGTGTGCACATTTTAAAGATAAACCCGGACTCAGAGGACTCAAAGATACAAACGAATGGGAAAAAACAGTCAAGAACCCCAATATAAATATTACTTTCTTTTTTTTTTTTGTTTATTGTTTTTTTCCAGCTGACATTAATCTACTTTTTTTTTTTTTTAAACTTTTTATTTATGATTTTCAAGAATAAACAGGCAAATTAAAAGACAAAACAACAAGGATAAAAATAAAAAATACAAATAAAAAAAACTAACCAGCCAACAAAACAAAAGTTCACAGAACAGACAATCAAAACACTGTCAGCTAACAAAGGGTCTGATAAGAAGATGTAACGGTGCCATCAACTGTCCTTTCCCCTAAAGCTTCTGTGGCCATGTGCAGCTTCTCCTTCAGTTTGCTGATGTCACAGTCAGCCTTGGCTTTCACAATGCTCAGCTCTGTGTAGATGTCCTTATATTTATCGGTTGCATATTTCTTGTCCTGATGAAATGAGAGCCAGTGAGAATAAAGGTGCACACAATAGGTTTTTATAATGTCTTGCTTTGCTTACCCTTAAAGCAGACTGCAGCTCATCCTTCAAAGAGTGAATTTCCTGTTTAAGATACTGGATCTCCGACTCTTTTATTCGTAGCAGCACCTGGAAAATAAAGGGAAATGCTTAGATTGAACAGTGCATTGGTTTATGCATCTGAGGGTGTTACACATACCTCCAATTCATACACGTCTTTGCCCTGGGTAAGTGGTGACAGAGTCGTTTCCCCGCTGTAACAGGAGCGCATCCGAGTGATCTCTACAGTCAATCTATTGTTTAGTTCCTGTTGGAAGGAAGAGGCAGGCTTTCAGCCTGTGGACAGAAACTGATTTGGATAAACAGGGCATGTGCAGGTATGTTGATTCTGACCTGGTTGTGAGAATTTAGCTCCTGGTTCTCTCTCTGACACTGCCTGAGGGCCTGCCTCTCTGCCTCCAGCGCCTGGGCCAGGTGAGCGTTCTCCAGACATTTCTGAGAGTACTGCTCTGACAGCACCTCCAGTTCTCTCTGGATGGACTGCAGCTCCTCCCTAAACACAGAGCAACACAGGATCAGCTTGGTTTCTCCTTGGTCGTTTTCTGATCACAAAGAAGCATTAACCTAACACGACAGTGAGCAGATCCGTTCAAGTATGAAGAGGGATTTTTCCAAAAAGGTGAAAATTATGAGCTCATGGATAAAAAAAAAGAAAAAGGCCAAACCAACATGCGAGCTATTTTTCGGAACTTACTCATACTGCAAGCGGAGTTCATCAATGTCTGAGTTCAGTCCGCTCACTTGGGAGCGCTGCGTCTTCTCCAGTTCCTCCTTGTGTGCGTTCTTCATCGCCTCAATAGCTGAAACAAAATATAAAGATGGCATATACTGAATTGCTGCTGGAGCGTTGCTGCAGTTGGTACAGTTTGCCTGTTTAATGGGACAGTTTCCTCACCAGCAATCGTGGCAGCCGTCTCCTCAGCCAGCAGTCTCTCCCGCTCCTCCAGCAGTTTGGAAATCTCCCTCTGATGCTGCCGCTGGAGGTCCTCTATCACTTTATGGTGAGTTTCCTCCATTGCAGCAAAGCCACGCTCACAGGTGGCCTTGAAGAGGAGAGGTTCAACAATTAGAAGCCATATTCTGCATTTTAGACTCACAATACTTTCTATTTGTGGCTACAAATTAAGTTTATCAATAGTCCACTAAGTAACATGCAAAAAAGTGGTGATAGAAGCCATGCAAGTTTTAATCTAAAGCCCAGCTACTGTAAGTTAGTAGAAAGAAAGTTAAAGTATTAAAGCCTTTGTCCAGCAAAGCTGTGCTTAGTAACAGGGAAACTAATTTATTTCTAAGTGGATGTGGGAAATGGTATGATTTTTTATGCCAATGGTTGGAGTTTCTGAAACGATTTCTGGTAATATTTTTGTTCATTATTTAACAGCAATGTCCGAATTCCCAAGTTAATCAATGCAATCCTCCTTTTCTAAAAATAATTTCAGTGTCCCCTTCATCAATCTTCAATTTAATCTGCCTTTATTTCACCCCTTTAACACATCTCTGTTCCAATCTACTGCTCTACTGCAATACATTATTCAAAACTGCTTCAGAATGGACCGAAGCCAGTGAAAAACAATGCCATTGCCTGATCTGCATTATCACCTGAAAACCACAGTCGGTAACAAATTTATAACATTTTTTACAAAACCATCTATGATTTAAGATGGCTTTTAACAAAACCATTTTATGCTTTTTCTGATTTAAAATGAATAAAAACAGAACTTGCAAACCAAACCATTTCCCAGTTCCAAAGTAATTATAATCTATTACTCTCCTTTAAACCGAATCTTAATTTACAAGGGGAAAATGAAAGAGCAAGAACCTTAAGACTTTCAAAGTCTCTCTGGTATTTCTCTCTCAGGCTGGCCACATCTCCTTCAAGGTGCTTGCTCTCCAGCTCATCCCTCATGTTATTCATCTGAGTCTCCAACTCCTGGATTCGGTCCTTCAAAACCGTCATGGAGTCCACCTCTGACGGGTTTGGAGCATCCTCCACCTTCCCCTGCTCCTCCTCTTCCATTGGCGTGGCAGAATCGTCAGAGGGAGGTGAGCGCGTGCCCCCCAGGCTTTTCCCCTCTGGTTGGTGCTCTTTGGCATGTTGAATGCTTTCCATGTACTGGTGGTGCAGTTTGTCCATGTCCTCTCTGTGGATGTGCTGCAGCTCACAGATCCGCTTCTCGAACTGCTCCTCCAGTTTCCTCACATGGCTCTCGTGGCGCTCCTCCATGCTGTCCATGTCCAACAGGAGGAGCTCCAGCTTCTGCTGACTGTCGGCTGCCGTCTCCATGAGGGCCATCTCCGTGGAGGCGCGGCCTTGCTCCGCGTGGCTCAGCTCCTTTCGGTGCCTTTGCCTCAGCTCTTCGGTCTCCTTTTGGAAGCGATCCTCCATGAGGGCCACGTGGTCCTGCTGCAGCGAGAGCTGGCTCACACGTTTGCTGATCTCGCTCTTCAGCTTCTGATTCTCCTCCTGGAGCGTGGCCACTCTTTGTGTGAACTTGTGCCGCTCCTCTTGCAAACAGGCCTCGTATTTTTCTTGGATTGCCGTGACATTGAGCGCGTGCTGCTGCACCAGACCCTCCATGTTTTGACTGGTTTGCTTGCACAGGCTTAAGTCTTGCTCGTGCGCAGCCCGTAACCTGCAGGCCACATATGCCACTTGGGCCTGAATGAGGGCCTCCCGCATACAAAGAGAGGTGCTTGTCGAATTCTGGGACATTTGCCGCCCTAAAACAGTGTGGATCATTTTAGAGAGCCCAGGGTTGCTTCCGCTGCTTTCTATTTCTTGAGCAAACTTATGCAGGATTGCTGCTTGTCTTTGAAGCTCATTAGCCAAGTTTTCATGTGCGTTTTCAATCGACTTAATGGAGTCAACATCACAAGAGGGCATTACACCAGCCAAGTGACTGTCTACAGCTTCTTCAGCAAGATCTCTAGCTTCTTCCATTTCCATCTGTTCCATGTAGGGAGCGAGTTCAGGTGGGTGAACATCTGCTAGCTTTTGTACACCAATCTCCAAGTTGTGTTTTACTTCTTTTATGACATTTTTCAAATCTGGCCTCTTAGCAGCTTTAATTATTTCTTTTAGGGCCGTTTCCCTTTGCTGTAAATTCTCAAGGGTTTCAGCTAGCTCCCTTTTCAGGCTTTTGAATTTCTTTTCGTAGCCAACTTTCAGATTTTGTACAGAGTAAGCTAGTTCTGCTTTGATGACAGTGTTAAACACCACTGTGGCATCCACATCAACGTCAGCTGCTACACTGCTCTCTTTGGATGCACTGACATGTGCCTCAACTTTCTCCAGCTCCTTCCAGAAAGTGCTCTCCAACATCAGCTTCCTGGTCAATGCGTCGGCATACACTATGGCCAAGCAATCTTTTTCGCTCCTTTTAACATTCTCCATGTCTTCCCATATCTCAACAAGTGCCTGCAGAAGGTCAGACTTGGAGGTTTGTATTAACAAAGCCATCTTGTTCAAAACCACTGCCTCAAAAGATAGGTTTTTGGCAAAGAGATGCAGCGCTTCACCACTCGTAGTCTCAGGGGTCTGGTTCTTATGCTGCTCTGGTGACTGCTCTTCTGTCTTTTGGCCTTGACGGATGTGCATTGACGCGCTGTATAAATCATTCTCTATCTCCGACAGTGACTGGAGCTGTGAATCAGCGCTGCTAGGGGAAATGAGAACAGTCCTTACTTTGACTAGACTATTTTCAACAAACTCCATGGCCTTGGTATAATGCTTTACAGCATTGCTTTTCTCCTGCTCTGAAATTACAATTTTTAGATCAGTCTTAGGCACGTCTTCTGTTTGGTTTGGTTTTTGTGTATCCAGATTTTGAGTCAAAATTCGAAGCTTATCCTCAGTGGTAAGCAGTTTGGTTTCTAATGCATGTATAATGGAGATGAACTTCTCAGGGTCATTTGTATGTGGGAATGTGATGTCAGAGGAGATATTTTTATCAGTCAGTTGGAGATCTGTACTTATTTCCTGGTTATTTATTTCTTCACTTCTCACCTGGCTGGTGTCCATGTCCTCAAGATTGATGTATTTTTGGCACTGAATACTTGAAAAACGAATTCTCTGCCTCTTTGTTTGAGATTCTTTGTCATAATGAAGGCTCTCTGTCATGTTATCATCATCATCAATAGGAATATCTGTATTTGATAACAAGGATGTATATTTAAGTCTTTCCTCCTTTTCCCGTTCTAAAATGTGTGCCCTTTCCATTCGTAGATCAGCATAGCCCAGTTGCAGAGCATTGAGGTGTTGCTCTAACTCCGCAATGCGGCCCTCGGCAACCACAAGCTTGGCCTGCAGATCTTTTTCAGCCCCACAGGGCTCAGCCTTATCTAAGAGGCTTTGACTCATTTGGCAAAGGAGCTCCTCCTTTGCTTGCAGCTTCTGTTCAGTTTCCTCTAAGCTATTGCCAAGTGCCGCCATTTTGACGAGGGCCTCTTTTAGGTCCTCTTCCTTACGTTCCATTAGCCTCTCATACATCTCCTTGGTCTGCCGGATCTCTTCTTCCTTTTCACGAAGAAACTGGCTCATTTTTTGAAACTCTAGGGTAGCCCTTTCATACGAGTTCTCCAGAGTATAGTAATCAGCTTCTTCAGTCTCCAGACGATTTTGGAGCTTATTCACCTCACGATCTGCTTCTGCGATCTGGTTAAGAAGCTCCTGACAGCGGCAGGTGAGATGGCCTTTTTCCTCCTCCAGCCTCCTCACACTTCCCCGCAGTGACTCAACCAGGTCAGTCTTTAGAGCGAGCTCCTCTTGCAACTTTAACATTTCCTCTCTGTATTCTTTGCCACCCGAGGCCCGCCTCCCTCTCAACAAGGCCTGAACCTGCTGCTCTGCCTCCAAAAGCCTGTCCTCTATTTCCTTCCGTGTAGTCTCAGCCTCTGCTAATCTTCTACACAAATTCTGTTTTTCCCTCTCATGACTTTCTCGTATGCTGTGCTGCTCCTTCCTCAGGCGCTCCTCCTTCAGTGCCTGACCCTCTTCAGTTGCACTTAGTCGAGCAGTAACCTCTTGCAACCTCTCCTGCAACCTCTGCATCTCCCTCACGTTGTCTCGCTGCAGAGCCTGCTGGCGCTCCAGATGCCTGAGGGCCTGGTTTCTTTCCAAGAGATTGGCCTCCACTTCCCGAAGTCTGTCCTCACTGTCCTTCAGCTGGGCTCGTAGGGTGGCCTCACTGCGGCCATTTTCCTCATCTTGTTCCTTTGAGCGCTCCTGTTCCAGCTTGAGCTCGTTTCGCATTCGGGCCACAGCCTGTTCACTTGCTAAGATCTCAGCCATAGTGGATGCAAGTTTAGCCTGCAGAGCCTGAATTTCTGCCTCATGCCGGTCTACAGCGTCCTGGGCTTCGGTGTAACTTCTCTTTGATGTTCGGATTTGCTTCTGGGCAAGGTCCTGCTTGCGCTTTTGGGACTCCAATTCTCCCTGTAAATCTTGATTAAGCTTGTGTAAGTGTTGCCATGGCACTTTGTTCAGTGAGGAGGAAGGCGGTGTTGCACTCTTGAAAAAGATTGATGAGACACTTTTATTAATGACATCACTTTAGTGTCCCTATCATTTATGGAGATCCACACCTCAGGGGCAACTGGGAAAATAACTTGTTTCCTGTTGTGCTTAATGTTTCTGTCTGAGCTTCCACTGTGCTTTTTTGTTTCTAAATGGAAAGGTTCAAATAAAATTTTGCCATCCCTTTTGATGACATTATTTAAAAACATCTCTCAAGACACGTCATTTCAAAAGTGTAAGAAAAAAAGACCTGTCTTTAAAGGTTATGTACTTAAAGCATCAACAAAAAGGAAATTAAATATAAAGAGATGCGGTTCTGAAACGCAAAGCATGCAGAAATTAAGCATTGAGGGGACACACAAACAAAGAAAAAGCACAGCGCAAAGCTTTTTGATCAAGCCTCTTACCTTAAAACACATCCGACCAGTTATTTTCCCAGGAGATGTGAAACTCCATCGATACAAGTTAGTGAAAACTCATGCTAAGAACACCACAACCATGCACTTCAGTTTCAGAGAATCAGCACCCACACCAGTTAGTAGTTTTTTTTAAAGATATAGTAGTCACACAAGAAAAAATATAATTTATGGGATAGTTTGCTTTCCTCAAAATCTTCAAAGCACTGCTATTTGCACATGGTGTCGGTTTTAAAGCTGCATGACAAACATTGTGTGTAGTACCTGCAGGACATAACCCTCTCGGGCATTTTGTTCTCTCCCGAGCGCGTCTTCCAGTTGTTCTTTTAAAATACTGTTCTGCTCCTGCAGACGGTCCAGCTCCTTCTGCTTCTGTCCCAGCTATAACAAAGACAATTTCTTTAATCTAATTCCCAGTCATTTGCCACAGTTTAGATTGGCAGTACTGGACAATTTGAACTGGTCACCTTGGTGCACAATTTTCAATATGAAATATTTAAAAAGATAGTGAATACGTGTGAATCATCTCTTATTAAATGGCAGATGGGGCAGAATATAATTTGCATGTAAAAAAGGAATGCATTTAACTTCAAAACATTAAAAGCTCTTACGATTAAAAGATTAGTCAAAAATGCAACTTCTGATGTCTATGGCTCAAAGACTTGAAGCAATGGAATGCACTCGTTTTTGTGACCATGTCATTTCTACATTTTGTTTCAAAACTGTAAACTTCAGAAGTGTTTGAAGTTTCCCCCGCAGCTGCCTTCATTTTAGTGCACACCAACCACTGATAAAAACTAGTAGTCAATAATTTGAATACCTGTTATGGAAAATCCAATAAGGTGTACCAAATCCACAACCTGCAAATCAAAAAGACGCAAAACTGTCCAAATGCCCAGAGACCAGCTGTATAAACTCACCTCTTTGTCCAGCAGCTCAGCAAACTCATGTGAAGGCAGTCGGTCAGAGTTTCCCACCGTTCTGGTGATGGGGACTTGCTTCTCTTCTCTTAATGGTGTTGTCTCCACCTGGTGCCATCGCTGTTCAATCTCCTCTTGGACCTCTGAGGTTTTGCTGTCTATCTTGTCTTCCTGGCCTTGACAAACAGTATTAGGGTGATCTACCTCCATCGTTCCTTGCTCTTGGCATTCAGGTGCCGATGGCCGTACCGGTGTTGCGGTGCTAAGGGTTGATATAACAGTTACAGTATTTGGCACATGACCCTGGGGAGAGATGCCTCCTCTCACAGTCTCCCTGCCCATTTCCAATGTCATAGAAGGTAGCTGGGCCCCAGATACAGAGGAGGTTTGAAGGGAGGAGGAAGAGACAGGAGAAGATGCCAAAGAAGAGGGAGAAGATGACGGGGAGCAGTATGAAGAGGTTGTAGAGCATGATGAGCTGAGGTCCACTGTCTCTGCTCGTTCTTTCACAGGCTTTTCTGCCTGCTCCATTTTGAACTCAGACCAGTCAAAGGTTTTTGAGCGACCCTCTCGTCTGCGCTCTCGGACTCTGCTCTTACGCGGCTCAGAAGGGACCGAGGTATTGCTGCCTGGTGAATGCCTGTTACCCTCATTCCTGGAGGCCTCCAGACTTGGGCTTGTATCAGGGCTGGCTTGTAGACATGGCTCCAACATCACCTGTCCTTTTACGTTCTCATCAGGGAGGGATCTGAATCATAAAACCACAACACAATTTACAGAGGTAAATAGTTAGCCAGTCATAAGAGACCTTAAAGAAATGTTAAACTTTGCTAAGCACAAGCACTGATACTACTACACAAAGTTTAGCAGGACGGAACAGTACAACGACATTTCTGATGTGCAGTCTGAAGCATCAGCACATTTATGAGGCTTCTGCAGAGTATAAATGTAATTCATGATTTTTTAGAAGCTTTTAAATTTGATTTAGGTTTAAATGTCCTTTTTCATTTCTCAAATCATACCAGCAAAAAAAAATATTTTCTCCTCACAACAGTAAGTAATAAGTGCCTTTTTTTTTGTCCAACTATCAGTTTATGCAAGATGTTCATTAACTGACACTTTCAACCCAAACCCAATGTATCGAGCTTTTAATTCCATTCTATTGAAATAATCTAAAAAAACAAACAAAAATACAACATTTTTAATCATCTCTCCTCATCTTGTCTGATGACGATCCTCGGATGGTGAGAAGCATTTAAGTGTAAGTGACAAGTGAGTGACCGCATGACAGTGCAGTAACAGATGAACGAGACCTATAATGCGGCAGGTTCCATGATAAAAAGGCGCTTTTTATAGCCACATTGCCTCTTTTGGGATGGTGAAAATTTTGAAAAAAATGCCCCAGGATCCTCAACAAACATCCATCCATAAAACAATCATTCCATCCATTTTCTAAAATTTTCTCCATTTTCTTCTAAAAACTAAATCAAGGTTGCATGGGTCCATCTTTGCTTTCATCGGGTGAATTTCAAACCAATCGCAGGGCTAACACACAGACAAAAAAACATGCACACACACACACTACTTCTACCATCAATTTCCGAACAACAATTAACCTAACACGCATGTTTTTGGACAGTGGGAGAAAGTGGGAGTAGCTGGAGAGAACATGCACAGGGAGAACGTGCAAACTCCAATCTGAAAAACACTTTAAAATGAGCAGCAGTTACTGACAGAAACTAAAGCCGTTCCTACTCATCATTAGTGTCATATCATAAAGATCAATCTGTAAGACCTGCAATAACTCAATAGACATTTCATAAGTCTTCATGACCTGCAGATACCCCGATTCAAAGACAAACAGTTAGAAACATTAAAGGATGAGATCGAAGTCAAAGCATTAATACCAAAACATTTATAAGGCAGACAAGGGGGCGAAAAGCAGCTTTCAAGATCGAACATAAGCCCGATTGCAGATGCCAACTGTTACAATGTTAATATACTTTGCTGTACATAATGTAAAAGCCGAATGTAACAAGTGTGTTTGCAGTAATCTGCTTATAGCAGCACTTATAGTGTGAAACTGCAACCAAACCTGACAGAATAGACATTTTCTACGTTTTGTCAAGGTGTCAGAAAGCATGAGGGAGTTATAGGAAAAAGAAGGGAGAGAAAAACTGCCATATGTCAGGTGTCCACACAGAAATAACTTGGACAGAACTGCCTTGGATACAAATGGCAGAAAGGTGTGTGACTCAGTAAATGTGGTATGTACAGAGTATCATATGTAATGTGCTGTCCGGAAAGCAATCCTCGGCTTTGTCTTTAAAAATAGAGAAAATATGTGGAGTGTTGAGCATCAGAAGTTTTTTCTATGCCAAATTTTACTTGTTTACTCAACTTTTTTCTGCTTAAGAAGTTGTTTTGTAATAGTTTCCAATGCTTACTGCGAGGACAGTCACATTACAATGACAGTTAGCATCAGTCTGAGGTGTTGGGCAGATTATTCTAGCATGTTGACATGTGGCTCTACAGTGGCATAAGTGATGGGGAGACATTACTTGATCACGTGACGCATGGTGGAACGACAGACACGCTGGGGCTGACATTGCTGAGCAATTACATCACTGTTTTAGGAGGGGGGAGAAATTCAACACACAAGCACTCCAACCTGGGCTTCAGAACGGATAGTTTCAGAGAGATGTTTTTCCTGGAAGCAGGTTGAAAATACCAGTTGAAGGGGAAGAAAAAGAAGGAAAGAGAGGGTGAGGAGGAGAGAGGAATTTTGATGTATTAAGTGAGAAAAGTATCCGTTATATCTGCCAGTGGATCGTGTTAATCCTGGCTGGGTATTACCGGGTGACGTCGGGGGCAATAGTAGGTCGCACATTCTTCATAATGGCCTGAATCCAATTGCGACGGATTCCAGAGGTCATAGCTGACAGGGTGCACGCTCCCTCTTTGCACTGAAAACAAACAGACAGGCATTTAAATTTCAAATGACCAGCAGGTTGATTTAAATAAGCCTTTGAACATGTAAAAAAAGAAAAAGGAGCCAAGAGGAGAAACTGCCTTCCTTTTCATGACCGTAACCTTTAAGTAGATACAATTACCTGCAAAGAGCTACATCATTTTAATGCATTTCCTCATTATTTCCATTTTTAAAGACAGAAAATAAAACTCTTTGGCTTATTTGCCTGTTTGTTTAAAACTATTACAGAGCTCAAGTCTTTATGCAACACAGAGCATGTTTGAAAGGTTGTAAAGCATCCAACCACCAACCAACTGAAGCCGATAAGTCTGTGGACTTTTAGCTTATTTTTTCTCTAACATTAGTAACCCCTGGGAAAAATAAAACAAAACATAATTTCTTAAAAGATCTAGTGTGTAATACTCTAAACTATGAGATGTCTCTTTTTTATTCAGAACTATATGTCTGTCTTTTTTTCTTTCAAAGTTGTAATCTACTGTGTTACAATTGAATAAATCTAACCTCCTGTACTCCTGTGGGCACAGAGACATCTAGTGGCAGACAAACAGTTATGAAAACACAGATTTGAACCAAAACCTCTGGGAACAAGATAATCTGTTTAAAGAGAGTGCATGTTTTACCCAGTTGAGTGAGACTTAAAAGCTGTACAGAGAAGCTAAATGAATGACGACAGTCTCTTCCTTTACGACCATGGAGAGTAGATATAAATATGAGTTATTCATTTTGACACCAAATCCATGTTGTTCTCAGCCAAAGAGACAACGATCCTCTTGACTTCTACATTTATGACATCCTCCAGAAGGAGCTAGCTTTGGAAGTGACTGCAGGCACATGTGAAAAACTGAAATGGCCTTGTGAACATTATTTGCCAAGATTACAATGGCAAAATTATGCATCACAGAAAAAGCATTCCCACTGGTAGAAAAAAATAGCTGCACTGCAAATGACTGTGAAGTTTTCCATGTGCTAAAAATGTTAAAGAGCAAAAGTATTAAAAGAATATCTGTACAATACTGATTTATGTGAAGCTCTATGTTTACGTCAAGGACGGGACTCATGAATGTAGGAGGTTAGACAAACATATTTTGCTGGATGAAGGCCACATGGAGGAGACAAAAAGGGACAGCAACCACTCTTTCAGATTTAGACCTCTATGATGTCAGCCTTTCACTCAGAGATGACAAGTCAAGTGACATCCTTCATGTCAGACAAAGGAGCTTTTCACTGTGAGAAACGGCAAAACCTGATACCTGAAGCACATGGTGTCGCAGGCCATTTATAGACTGGCAGGAGACAGCGGAGGTAAATGTGTTGACAATGAGTTTCATCTTTACAGGTGATAAACGACACAGCTCAACAGATGACATGGAGTATAAACACTTACAAGGATTTGAAAGCCATAATTCCTCTGGACTGGAAACTCTTTGACATCGTAACACGTGGACAGGTCAATCTCACCATCCATTTCAGAGGCCTGAGGATGAAATAAACACAGTGAAAAAAGACAGCATAACAAACACTAAATGCATCCTGACCATCTGCCGATTTAAACCCAATGTCTTACCTCTTCGGCTATCGAGTCCTTATAGTACCTCAAACTCTGGTCTGTCAGGACGAACCAGTGCTTCTTCCACTGAAGGAAGGGGAGAGAAAAACTAGATTAATTAGATTTCATCAACATCATTTTTAGTAGTGAAATCGAGCGACAGGTAATTATTAAGTCCTGTGATTAGAAACACATTACCATTCCATCTTCATAAAGCTTTGTCATCCATCCTTTTTTGAAGTTAAGTAGATCAGGCTGGAATTGAGACACAAAGCGAAACAAAGCAATTAATTATTTCAACTACTTTAATGCATTAAGCTAATGGAAGGACAAAGGCAGCTTTGTTGAATCTTTTCGTGCTCATTTGATTGTCTTGGGGCTAAGGTTAGTCACCATTTATCCCAAATCAGAAAGATACAACAAAATCAAACTAAGTAAGGTACTCAATAAGGTATTCACATTTATATGCATTTAGGTGATCCCCTAAGGTAAATAAGTTTAAATGCTCAAGACAGAGACTGACTGGCGGGAGCCGGACTTTCCCTGTGAAGCACAAACTGCTGCCCATCGAAACCAAGCTCAAGTCTGTTTATAGACACTAAAGTTTACCAATCATGTAAAACTTGGCCTCTGCTCACTCAACAATACCTTGTTTTTGCTGAGCTTCATCCGGTATGGAGTCACTGTCTGGCAGAGAGTCATTCTGATGGCTAACTGCCTTCAATTCATATGTTGACAAACCGTTTCTTTCCGTCTCTCTCAGGGACATGCACACAACTGAGGCAGCTTCTGTGCTGGCTATTTATAATCATCAGTAGCAGTGGCGGCAGTGGTGTGTGTATATGTGTCCTCTGGAGAGGGTTGGGGTTTGGCAGCTGTAGCTCAGACAGAGAGCAGCCACACGCTGACTGGATTACCCTGCAGCGCTGCATGAGCAGACCACAGTTGAGACTCACAGGAGTCAGACCTCAAAAAGACACCACGGCAACCTTAGTCATCTTTGAGGCTGCATACATTTTACTCCTGAAGACTGCCTAAATACTGCCATTTTCCTGACCGGATCGCTTTACACAAACATTAAACAGAGTGTGGCCAATCACTTCCGTAGAATTTCTCAGAGTACTAGCAGTTTGCAGTACATACAAGTTCAACTATGTTTTCCTGATTCATAACTAAAAATGACAAAGGGAGGACAGAAAGATTCCTCCCCTTGAGCTTTAGTCAAAATACATTCATTTTCAGCCTAAATGAAGAGCTTTGGATCTCAAACACACGTCTGTGATTTCATGTGAAAAACTGCTCAATTTTTATAGTAACTCGTAGTACATTTAGTGGGAATGAAGGGGGAACCTCAAACCCAAGTACACCAGAATTATCTGTTAAATAAATCATATATAAAAATCAACTCTGGACAGAAGTGGAGGTTTAGTCTCTGCAGCCTAATTTTTTCCTGCACTCACAGTCATTGATGACTCTGTGACTCTTCGGTCCAATGACTTAGCTCTTCTCAAGTTAACAAAAGTGGAGCTGGACACATCAGGGGCGTAACAGTCCCTTCCTGTGTCAAGGGACATCTCCTGTAATTAGAAAATTGAAATTAGTTTAAAATTATTTACAAATTGAATTCATTTTACTGATTCAAATTTATTAAAGAGAACAGCCTACATGTTTGTTATCTAGGTAGCGTCTCTCACTGCGGCCTTGTCTCTGGACTGATGTGGTGTTAGCCAAGGAGTCATTGGAGTTTGTGTCCATACGCTCAATATGTTGACTCTCCTCAAACCGGCCAATGATCTGAGAACGCCTGTGAGACACATAAAGGACCAAAGTTCTTAATATAAACTGAATATCCGACTAAACAATGAGCATAACACAAACATGACCAACTAAACAAGGCATTCTTCGAAAAATAATAGTATAAAAATAGTTATGCAGCACATCATTCTTGTGGCAAAATTGGTCAGCAAAAAACAAGATCAAAGCATGACATGAAAACTAAATTGGGGACAAAATTATATTTCCTAAGGGACACAATACATTTTAGCTTGCAGTAAGCAGGGGGAAACCTTTAGATGACAAGAGTTGTCTAAAGTTTTCCTTTAAGATATCATCAAGTCCTCATGTTATTTCCCAAAAGAGGATAATTTAGACGTACAATGAAGAATAAAGAATGTAGTAATATTACAGGAGATTACCTTTAGAGAAAAAGGAAAATGACTAGAATGATGTTTTAAATGCACTGCAGAGGTAGCAGCAATGGCATCACAGTTGGCGTTACCTTAAGGCACAGCACTGGTGGAAGTATGTACTTAAGAAATGACACTAAATTTAGAGAAACTATAGGCACAGATGCTTTAGTATTTGCAGAAAACAAGAGGAAATTCAGAATGTTTTGTATGAAACAGTGAATGTGTGTGCTCCCAGGTGGTGCAGAGATGGAATGAGAGAAAGCAGGAATCAGCGGTGACCAGCAGGGAACAGCATTGGGACAGGGGTTGAGGGGTTGGTTGAGCATTAACTCTGAGAAGTTCTGTTCAGAAGCCCCTGGAAAAGATTGAAACAACAAAACAGACTAGCAAGGTAGCAAGAGCAAAAGGCAGAGACTTGTAGAAAATAAAGCAAAAAAGTGCATTCAACCCCACCTCCCTTAATTTATTGTCAAATCACTGGTAAGCTAGGGTAAGCAGCAGCAGCAAAAGATTCTTAAGAGCCATCAGTGCCTCAAAAACGGCAGCCACAGGGTGGTGCTAAAAACCACATATTTGAGGCAATGAAGGAACTTCAAATAATCGCAAAGCGTGCTGTCTGAGGGTTTCAAGTCAATGCAGAGGGCTGACAACCAGTGGCCGATTAATGATAACCATGTTGCCATCATTACCAGATTTTCTATGTGAAATGTTTCTGCTGTGATGTGTGTTGGTTCTTCAAAAAGCATAAGAAAAAAGCTGAGCATGACGCCTATCCTCACCTGCGCTCTTCTCCAAACAGCCGAGCCACCTCCTCCCTCCCAGGGCTTCGTGTTCGTGCCCTCAGCTCCTGGCGCTTTTTCTCTGAGCGGAAGGCCTCTTTGTAGCTCATTCTGCGAGCTCGGGGCACATCAGACAGAGCTGCATATTCCCTGCCAGAACGACCAACTCTACCCCCTCCACCACTGACACTACTAGAGCTACCTCCACCACCGCCGCGCCCCTCCCAGGTGGATGCAGCCCCACTGGGTTCAGAGTCCAGTGAGCTCTGGGAGGAGCTGATGGTGGAGTAGCTTGGGGAAATAAGTGCACCTGGAGAGGGAAGAGGGTCTTGGGAGGGTTGATGAGGGGAAATCTGGGCTTCTGATTCGGAGTAGTACCTGGAACTGGGGGCTCCTAGTGAAGAGGAGGATGCTGAAGAGGACAAGGGCAGATGCTGGGGTGGCTGGGTGTGGTGGGCAGACTGTGGAGAAAGTTCTGACTTTGTCTTCTCCAGGGAAAAGTAACCACTCTCTACTCGTACCTTTCGCCCAGTGCTTAATGTGCCACGATCTGAAACATAGATACAACTCCGGTGATGCCAAATATCTTCTATACAAGAAGCATAAAATCACACATCTGCTGTTTCCTGTAGTACCCAGGAATACTTAAAGGTATGCTTTCATAAAAACTGTCAATCATGGCTCAGAGCCTGAGAAAGCTCAAACATAAACAAGCCTGATACCCATTTCCCTAAATTCCCTTCTCTAAAAGTGATGCCATCCTGATTCCTCACCATCTTGAGTAGTGATACTAGAGTCTGGTTGGCTGTGGCTCAGCTGGCTGATGCAGGAGGCACTGCGGCTGCAGGGGATGGTGGCCCTGCTCCAGCGGCTTTCCTCCTGCCAAAGGGTGGCACGGCTCATCGGGACCCGCTCAGCGCCGGCTATGCTGCTGGGTAGGCATGGGATGCTGCTTCCACTGCTGCTGGTCACCGTTACCTTGGCAGGCCCCGGCTCCTGGGAAATGGATTGAGTTGGGAAGAGTGGGTGTGTAGAGGGAGGTACACAACGGGAAGTAAGGTCACGGAAAAACTACAAAAAGGAATACAAGGGAAGAGATGAAAGAATACATAAATACTGCAATGAAAATATGAAGACCTAAATATTTAATATAAACATTTTTAAATATATACATTTTTTCTACATCCTAATCATTATTAGTTTTTTCTTTCATTAAATATCAGATTGAACAAGCATAACCTGCAAAGTTATTAGTGGAATTACAAGGACAGAAGGATGACGTGAAGAGAAACAAGAGAGGAACAGTATGGCTAAAATAGAACCTAAAGCAAGATCTGTAACACTGGAATACAAAGAACAGAAGTGATAAAACACATTCACAGGTAGAATAAAAAAAAAAGTATATGATTGAAATTAAAAGCGAAGTCATTCAAAGCTGTGTTGGCAACAACATATTTCAGAAATGGCCTCAGCAATTCAATCAAAACATGCTAAATTGATCTGAAAAAGAAAGATCTGAAACATTTCCATAACAAAGCCATTCTGTTTTCATCAACTTTTGACCCAATCAACTCCAAAATCACCAGAAATATGCTGTTCTTCTATGAATCACTCCTTCAGTATGAAAGCAGGAAGAAAAATCATGTGCTTTTTTTTCCCCACCCTTCTCCTGGACCGATCATAGTACATTATTATTCGCAAGGACTGAGCTTTTAAATGTTTTTAAAGCTGAAGCAGAAAATAAAGTTTGGCCACGATGAACTCACTGGATGTCCATTCATGTCTTCAGTGGAAAAACACTGGTTTGGAGTTATTCCATCCTGCCAATCAAAAAAAGTCTTTGACGTTAGTGCTGGTTAACTACTGATGACTATTTACCTCTGTATGAAAAAAGTCACCTTTATGTCACCTTTATGTTTCACCTTACAGAACTATGAGTTATAAAACAATTACAAGACGTTCAAATATTTACTAAAAAATACAGGCGCACAACCCAGAAAGCAAACATGTTATTGTGCCTGAGTATTTGACAACAAGCCTATGGCTCCAGTAAGGGTATGCAGAAGTGGGAGGAGCTATATCTCAAAAGGAAACATGGTGCTGGAACTGTGAGGTGTGGAAAATGGAAACTACAACACAATGGTGCATATCCACCAGGGAAAAACTGTTACATTGCTAACACCAAACTGAGTAATCTATGAGACACTGATAGACCGGCAGCAGATAAGTAACAACCCTAATTATAGAGCTTACCCATGACCACTCAAAAGTTATTTTGAGAGGTGTCCATTTCTCACTCCAACATATCCAGCTTTATAATTCATTTTTCAAAAAGCAGATACAAAAAGTAAAAAATGTGAACAAAATTAAGCTTGAAGTTAGACTTGAATTTCATTGATAAATGCATCTCTAATGAATCAGCATGGACTAATGTGCTTTTCATGATCAAGACACGGTTGAATGTTTCGTCACTTGCTTTGATGAACCAATTCATTTGTTTTATTCAAAAAGCGCCTGTGACGTGAACTTCTAACTTATTAGGAACAGCACAGATGTATAACACTACGAAAGTCTCGCCAGCCTATAAAGTCTGTGCTTAATGCATGTTGAATTAGTGGAAGATATTTTGTAATAGAGATGAACAGGGCAAACAGATAAAGTGACAATCCAACAAAAGTGATAAATTAGATCTCAAATATAAAAATGAATGTTTCACCTAAAAATAATGAATGATCTGATAAAAAAAGAAATCCTAAAAACATGTAAAGGAATCCACATGAGGGTCATGTGGATCACAGTCAGTGTCAGCACCGTGTCACCATCGTTTCCTCAACAAATGAGTCTGTTTATGTAAGCCCAATAAGGTCACAGCCTTTTTCATGGTGCCGTCATTAGACAAACCAGACAAAGAATGTCAGAGAATGTGCTCAACTCTTCTCAGAAAATTGGCCTGAAGAAAAACTCCTACCCTCAGTGGGTGGTCTGCTTTATATAGATACATCTTAGATCTAAATTTAACTCTGAAACCATCATCACAGTAATGGACTTACATAACCATTTGTATTGTCCCAGTAAACCAGAAGACAGGCTAGAGCACATATGAGCCTGCACTGAGATAACCTCTGTATCCCATTTTCTGGGCACTGTGTCCGACTGATTCTACAAGAATGGCTTAGTCTCAACTCACCCTTCTTTCTGACTGTAGGATGTGACTGTGTTTTGCTTTGAAATTGCTAACACCTGCATAGATATCCTAAAAATCTTTTTGATCCACTGCTCTAATATTGTTATTTTCATGCATAAGCTTTATGGCGCTCCCCTTTTTCGCACTGGTCCACCCTCCAAAGCAGTGAATGTGGGTGGTCAGCTTATAAGCAGCACTGCTGATATTTTACCAGCCAAACTTCAATGTGTTTTTAATTAAGAGTTCAAGAGCTCAGCACTGTTAAAAAAGTGCAAACTTTGTGAGATCTTACATGGAAATTTTGAGAGTTTAAGCTTTTAACATGAAGTCTTGAAAGCAACACTTCACCAGAGCAACACACACGCACAAATACAAAAGGAACTCTGGTTATAGCCACAGCCAGAAGCTTAATAACTGAATAGGCAGTAAAAGTCTGCCAGGTGAGACAGCCACAACTACTAATGATCATAAAACTAAACCAGCAAATTTGCATTGGAGAGAATCACTGCCGCATTCAAAGCAGTGAAAGCACAAAGCTAGCATTATTATTAAGCCTGATTTTTTAGTTGAGTATATTTTAATAGTTTGACATTTTTTTTGGCGTAAGAGATACAAGTCATGTTCCTCATCTGCAAAACCAAGCAAACATAACAGTAAATCAATAGAAATTGAGTCTTCTGCAGCTGTATTCCAAATGACTGCTCCAAATAAGTTAAAACCAAGTGGCCTCTGTTAGTAGATTTCTTTCATCTACTTTGCTAAATAAAAATAAATAAATAAAAAAATAAAAAAATTGCATATTCCCACAGCAAAGGTCATCCTTAACCATACTTTTCCCCACTCTCGATGAGTAGCCATGCAACAACTGCTTAAAAAAAAATTGTTTTTACATATCTGTAAATTCCCAAATTCCCAGTCCCAAATTAGTTTAGGATATTTGGAAATCCTTGGAGAGCAAGACAGAAAAATAATCATACAAAAGAAAAAGTTTCAAAAGTATCCCCTATCCATTTGTTCAAGTTTTATTCAGAGTGAGAAGATAGAATGTTAATGTCTTACAGAAAATCTGTGTATTACCTGGTGAGTAGGAGGATCAACCTTGCGTTTCTTCTTCTGGTTCTGTTTATTGGTCCTCGGGTAAACAGTCAGTGCCTCCTGCCATCTGAAAATAGCCAGATTGGCCACATTGTTAAGCCATCGTGCCTCACAAGCTACCAAAAACTAATAATACAAAATAATAACTAAGGGGTAAAAGATAAAAAGAGCTAATCAACTTAAATAAATGAATAAGAAACAAAGGAGCTTTGCTCATTTTAGCAAAAAGTATTTAACTGCACCAAAAAAACAAAACAACAAAACACAAATGAACGTTCAAAACATTTTAAAGAATCAAATAACATAAGCTCATGCTTAAACATTCAGATAAAATCCAACATTGCTTGAATCTCTATTAGCTGAAGAGATGAGGGTGCAAAGTAGGAACAAAATCACAAAAAAGGAGGTGGAAATGTGGATCATTTCTTCATCACAGGAAGTGTGAGATAATTTGCCTAATAAAACAGATAAGATGGGAACCTTGATAAGAGGGCAGCAGGTTCAATCAACTAATTTCAGACTGAAGCTGGAAAAGCCGAAGCAGAGTGTTTGTTGTCTGGAGAATAGGCTGTTGGCTCTGGAGTTCTGTCCATTTAGTTTACTTGGAGCTAAACTGTTGCCAAGCAACAACTTGCTCGAGATCACCATTGTTGAACTGAATCTAATATACAGTCAATGTGGGCCTTTCAGTGGTCAGAGTTCCATAAGACAGAACTTAAAAATACCTAATCTCCTTTTCTCACAAATTTCAATATGGGAAAAGTTACCAGGGTACTGTTTGTGGACCTAACAGAGGAATATGTGTGAGGTGGATACTGGGGCTACGCTTTTTTAGTTGGGCAGAAAACATTAAAATCATTACCTTTTTACAAGGGACCGGTGCATGGGGGAGAGCCCACAAATTATTTGTGCATGCCCTCTTGTCTTGGTAACGAGAGGAGCTAAACATAGCTACATATCATCATTTGGAGATTGTGGTAATCTTTACTGATTCCTGGTTATTCTGGGTATAACAGTAGTGAAGGCAAGAATTGAAAGAGGCAAGCATTACTTTTGGTAAGCTTTGTTGAGCTTAAAAAAAACAAAAAACAGGACCTGGCATTGAGGTTAGAATCTAACATTACTTCTGGCTTCTTCACAGCCTGGAATGAGAATCTAACAATTTGTATGAGTGAATTGCAATGCCTAATCTCACCTCCGCATGTATGCATCATAATCTGTTTAAATAGTCATTCTATGAAGCTCATGCTCCACCTTGATATTTTAGCTCATTTGTCTACTTTGAGTTATAAAGCAGTCATAGATGCATATGTGACGCAGTTTCGACTAAATGGGCGCCCACACAGCGTGACTGTCATCCTATTATGTGTCACAAGACAAACAATAAAAAACACAGAACAGAAACAGTTTTTTTCTGTGTCAGTCAATGATGGCCTTGCAAATGGAACTGTAGTTGTGTGACAGGCTAGAAGCAACAGATGGGAGCCAGATGATAGGAGAGTGGGAGGTGAACGCTGATGAAGCAGGTACCATACGGAAGAGTGGGTGTTGTGAGTCACAATTCCCTAAGAATAGCCAGGATATGTGTGCTACAGCCAGGGAGAGAGAGGCAGTGCAGAAAAGTGGCGCAAAAGACAACTGAATTATGGAGAATTAACTTTGTGGACTGTGATCCATGTGCTGGAATCTGAGGGTTTGTGCACAGAGTGAGCAAGGGGCCTGGAGAAGCTGGGAGAGGAAACAGTTCAAGAATGTGCACCGTCACTGCAGTATGAATTACAGCACTCAGGAAAGCACAGACTCAAGCAGACAGCAGGGGGCAGAGTAGTTTTGGCTGCAAAAGCAGTTGCCTCAACTATTTCCCTTCATATGTGTAAATTTTCCTCCACTCATGTCTCACATACTGGAGCATCGTAGCGGGAGCTGCAGCAATATAGCTGCTGTGTGTATATATATATATATATATATATATAGCTGTATAGCTGGTATAATATTGGTAGATCATCACATCTTACCCATTAATGATTTCTTTACACTCAGCCCGGATGAAGTGCTCTTTCTCAGGGGTGACTATGCACAGCGAGTTCTTCTGACCTGTCCTGGACTCGCCATCGATGACATCAGAGCACTGGTTCATATTGATGGTACCCTGGGGTAATGTGCTGGGCTGTAGGATCACCACAGAAACGAACAGAGAAAGTGTTAAGTATGAAAGTGAACAGATGTATTCAGAAGACCCTCCACATGGCGTGCCGTTTTAGAAATCCACCCCAGCATGCTGTCACGCCAAGCCTGGCAGGCTACACGCTGATGTAACAGCCTGCGCAACGGCAAATGTTCTTAGCCGGGCTCGCTTTGATATTTTCCTGACATGAAGTAGTCGGTTCAAATGCAATGACATCACAGTAAAAAGCTTTTTGCTTTGTCTCACTTATTAGCAGTGAAGTTTAGATTTAGAGATTAACACTGGATGAGCATTGATAATAAACCAGTTGATTGAATAACACAGGTAGAATAATGTTGCTCAGTGCACAATGAATAAGTCGTTTGTTAAGTATGTACACAGAGTCTTAGAATGCATGTGCAGCTGTGTGCAAAAATGTATAAAAAAAAACTCTCACAATTTGGAAAAGATGTATCAGTTTTGTTGAAGTTGAATGCGTTGCTCTGAGTGAACCCGCCTTAGATGTAAAACTATGTTTCAGGACCCATTTCAGACTCAGTGTTTATGCAAACAAATTGGAGTTACAACTGTATGAATTATGAACATGGTATAAAACGCCGTTTGAATTTAAGAGCATTTGAAAAATGACAATCATTAAGAGACACAACATTCCCTTTAAAAGGGCTTTTGAAGGGTCTAAGATGTGACTGAACATGGAAATGCATTGGTAAATAAAATGCTCCCTTTAATGTGAGAATAATGAGAATCTTTCTCGTAAATGAATGCCATTAGTCTGAAACTTATGGATAACATTAACAAAGAATGGGCTTCTTTCTTTTAGGCAGCTGGGTTTCGTTTGTGAAACATTTCATCCTTTAGTTTTGTTTTCATTAATGGTTGAGTCAGTCAGTTCAGCTGATCTCAACCCATCAGGGTCACCTCTTTAACTTCAGAAAGGTCTGGATGGCTTTCACACGTACGTTTTGTTTATTGTTAATCTGCACTGTGAAGCACCCTGTCAAACATCGTATTGGTGTGTGCTTTCAAATAAACAAGCCAATGCTGCAAAAATCAGCAGTAACAATGCTGTTGTGAGAGCGGTGATCTCCAAGATGTTGAGTGTCCCCTGCACACACCCTCTGTGCTCTGAGGCTGAGCGCCGCTGCCTGCTCACAGAACTATCAGCCTGGGCTCTTCTAAACCAAACAGACATGGAAAACAAGGAGTGACAAGCGGCCTCCTGCGGGGTCTTTTCCTGCTGCCAGTGACTGAATAAACAAAACTGCTCTTGACCACATCACAAAGACAACTTACAACTGCTACGCCGTAATATAAAAATTGTGCCTGTGAAAGACGTAGATACCACAGCAGAAGAGGCAAATGCTGTACAAAAAAATGGAAAATGAAAGACAACACAGATTAAAAACAGACATGAACTCTTTCAGCTTTGGATAAAAAGACCTTTACTCTCGTAAACTACAGTGATCTGTTGACCTTTAGTTCCATCCCACCAAACAGCCAGACATAGAGCTGTTAAAGTGTTGCTTGTTTCGAGAAGTTAAGCCAGGGTGACAAGTTAAATCCTCACTGAAGAATTTGGCTACCTTTTGTTCTTTGGCTCCACCAACAGCTAAGGGATGAGCACCATGGCTGACGACAAACCTCCATTTAAGTCCTGCACATGCACAGCAAATCTGTCATGCGTGAGCTGATGAGGGCATCACTGCTACTGGACTTATTTCCATACAAGTCTGAATCTAATGGAGGTGATCAACTAAGGCTTCATCTGTTTATGTTGTAATGTTTTGTATTTACTTTCAGTCAAAATACAGAGCCCTGAAGAAAATATATCAATTTATTGGTTTCAATATGGATTTCAATTACAGCGTTTATCATCTCAGAGTCAAAGCCTGCCTAGAACAGATGGAGGAATCATCATTATTGTTTCACAGATCTGAAGCTGCATGTTGGCAAATTCACATGCAGGCCCGAGTTAATCAAACCAACACAGCAAGAGAGCTAACTGGTTGTTGCTTACAGATAGAAATAAAGGGGCTACTTCTTTGACTTCTCTCCAAGTTCCCTACAGTGGTAAAAATCAAATATGAAGTTTAATCTAATCTTCCCCACTTCCCCTAATATCCCCATCTGGGTTGGTATACTTCAACATGAGCCAGAAACACGCACTTTGCAGATGCACACCGCTCTTCAGAGTTAGCCTTTTGCTCTCTGTCCTCACTGCCATGCGTCTGTTGTGTGCTCATTCACCTAATATTCTAGCATAGTTACGTCTGTCCAAAGAATAGACTTTATAAACTGGCCTTACTCCTATGTGAATGCAAACTATTTCAAATCCAAAGGGAAGATCTGCACTTTAATCTCATAATCATATTTGAAAAGGAATTTGTTTACATTTTGGTAAACAGCTTAGGTAATTGTGTCACTGTCAAACATAATTCCAGAACAAACTGAAATTGTTGTGAACTAAAACGCTCCAAATACGTAATATGCATATACAAATAACTTTCTTGAAAAAGTTTAAAAATCTGACTTTAACTGCGTCTGACTTTTAAATGACTTGCATAAACTCTGTTAGAAGCCTTCATAATCTTTTGTTGACCGAGGGGATTTATATTTGTACAATGGAGTAAATGGCTATTGTGTAACCCAGCACATTGGGAATAGGTTGCTGTTTGAACAGCTTTTGGGGTTCTACCTTCTCTGTGCTGAACGTGCAGACAGAAAGATGGACACAAGAGCCGCAGCAAATCAAAACCTTAAGAAGCACACCGCAGATTATGAATTATAGCCCTTGGAAAATCAGCATATATTAAGAGACAGAACTAGAGGGAAAATTAAAAGGTTTGCAAGTGACCAAATAAATCTGAGTGTGCTGTATAAATATAGCTTGTCAGCAACAGGGCAATTCAAGCATGTGGATGGCCTCTAATGTGGATGGAGATTCAATAGTCAACAGTTTGTGTTAATTACACCCTACAGGCCAGATTAGAGGCCCCGCTTATTTTGCCACTGTTAGGTGTCACTTTCATCCACTTGTCTCTGCTACTATTTTATCTCATAGAATCTAAATCAGAAGGAAATGTAAAAAAGTGGATTACAGGTTAATCTTATTGTAGTCACCTCGACTCCTTTCTTCTTAAAAATAAAGAAAAATCTATTATCTTTTTAACCCGGGGTTTCTAAAAAAGACATAACACGGCTCTTGACATGGAGGTGAAAGGCCAGAGCAACAGCGAAGCCTGCAATACAGATGGTCAAATAAGACATTTGGACAGCTGGTCAGGGGTGTGATCCAGACCGAACAGAGAGACCAGTGTCAGCTTCAACTGAGGGAGCCATGCTACTCCCAGACACAAAGAGTAGAGGAAGGTTTGAAGACAAGTTGGGGGAGAGAGAAAGTGGATTAGTTTGTAAAAAATGTGATCATAAGTAACAGTGGTGCAGAGAGAAACAGAGAGAGAGAAAAAAAAGGTTTCAGTCTGTGACTTTGGACTGCCTGGCCATCTGTCTGTGTAAACAAATCTGGAGTACACCACACCACACATGCTGGTTTGACCTTGAGCTGGAGTCAGAAGAGGAGAAATGCCAAAATATTTCAAATTCTGAGACCAGTTGTACAAGCAGCTTAAGCTCCTGCTCTACAATCACTACATTAGAGTCCCAAGTGGACCAAAGTAAATCAGAGACTGACAAATGTTTTGATTAAAGAAGGATTTTCATGGGATCTGCTCACTTTTGATGGGGATTTGAGCGCCACGTGCAGGTCGTAGCAATGTGGGAGTACAGAATTTATTTTAGAAGCACAGGTCTCCCCTGGCATGTGTGCTCCCTGCCAGCATGGTGTCAGCTGAGCACCAGCACAAACTCCTCTACTGGAAATGGAGCGCCCAGACACGGGGCCCCCTGAACCCACACCTCTCTGTCACCTAACCTAGGCCCTGTCCGTCCTCCCTGGGCCACCACTCTCCACAATGGGTCCTTTGTGAATCAGCACCAGTTCACACAATGTGGGATTGTCAGCCACCACAGTCCAGAGAGCCACTCCTCCTTTTAACCCTCAACAGGGAAATAACCAAGAGGCAAAAGACTCACACAAGTGTCCTTCTGTGATTAAAGCCAGGAAATTATGAGGCCTGAAAAGAGCTTTACATTACATCTCTCAAGTTGTTCAGATAACAGCATAAATGCTGTTTCAGTGGGAGTCAGTGGGGTGGTACGGCACTGCTGCATGGTCCATGGTAACCAAAAGAGCAGCCGTCAGTTTTAAAGTGCCATAACAGCCTTTACAGAAATGTACAACTGCTTTTACAAATAACTAACTCTTAACAACTGCAAGTGACATATAAGAGTATTTAACTGATCATTTATGAGTACTTCTTTTTTATGCATTTTATGCATTAAAAAATGGGAAACATAATCAAAGATATAATCCAAGATCTAAAATGCATTCTTTAGACCCAACTGTCTTCTCTGAAGTATAAACTAGCAGTACATCCGTCCAGATGTTACGCAGTATTACAATAGTGCTCATTAGGAACCCGCTCTCTGCTTAAAAGACAGTAATTAGTGAGTTCCTCACATGCATGTGTCTGTGCCCTGGGCTCCTCTCAGTCGTACACATTCTGCAGCAAAGCAAAAGCTCCCCATTCTATCTGTATGACACAGTGGAAGAAATGTTTGCTTCTCCTGGCACATATCCTGGATAATGCTCTAGTTGAATTTTTGGTTAAAAAGCAGATCACTTTCTCTGCCATCAATATTTCTGAGTCCAGGTTCCCAACGAAAGTGTATCTTAGTTAGTCAGGAACACTTGCATGTTGATTAGGAGCATCTGTTTTCTTGGTAGAAGGTGCCAGTTTGTCTAGCAACCTGTGTGGCGACACATTTAAATGCTATGACTTCACACATAAGTTTCATCACTCCTCTTTAGACATGTACAAGCAGGATTTTTTAGCCACATTTCCAAGTTCTTCTCTCCACATTTCTTGACAAGAGACTTTGATCACTGCAGACACCCGAGCCAAAAGATTAACCGATGAATGGCACCAATTCGTTCTGACTCATGAACATGGCCTGGATTCGGCTCTTTTCAGGGTCCATCCTCTGCCTATTACAAATAACAGATAATTATGCAATAAATCTTTCCTTAGCAACTAAGCCAACAGACGCAAACAGACATTTTTTAATAGCGCAGTGCGTGCCAATCTGCTCCGGGGAAACATCCTCAGGTGCCAGTTGATAAAGTCACCCTCAGTCTTTCTGTATAGCACTATCAAACTACCGATTCTCTCTCGATAAAGTCCAAAACAAACATTGATAGATAAACTCAGCAATCTGGACAAGAGTTAGAGCTGAAAGATTGATCACAGACATGATTACCAACATCATTCTCCATGCAATCTTTTTCATTTTTGTACCAATTCCATGACGACTGGAAGCCTGCAGAACAATATGGTTCATATTCAAAACCATCTCCATCCCTGTCTCTGCTTTAGACAAAAGCTATGGCTCTTAAAGAATCAAACCAGTACATGATGTGTATATGTGACATTCACGCTGTTGGGCCAAGTGACGTCCTCCAACCATTCCTGAATGCCCCTCACACTGCTGCGGTGCTATAAAGAAGGTCAACTGCAACATCATCAACACAAAAAACAGAGAAAAACTGAGAAAAATGAAGAACAAAAATCTGAACGGCTCACATTTCACACATATTTGTAAGCAGGTATTTCAAAGAGGGCCGTGGGTGGTGGCAGAGCTTCTCTCTTGAAGCGTGGTGAGAGGATGTGGGTGGTTTAATGTTGTGTTAGGAGGCCAGTATCCAGCAAATGCAGAGGAGGAGGAAGAAGAGGGCCAGTTGGATGATGAAGGACATTTTCTTTTTAAAACTGATACTAGGATTGGGCTCAAGTTCTCTTAGTCAGAATGACATGGTACAATAAAAACACATGTGGGCTAATGCCAGAGGACCTGATTAAATAAGCATCATTCAGCAACTTGCTACTATACTGACTGTAATACTGGTGAGAGCTTAGAAAAACAAAGGAAAAGCCAGGTAATGAGTGAGAAATGTGGCAGTCTGTGTCTAGGTGGTGACAGAGTGGATGGGCTGGCTGCTAAAACAGGTGCTACGCTCAAGTTGTGTCATGTTGCCTCTGCTCTTGACTTGTCAAGTTACCGTGAGCTTGCTTTGCCACAGAGGAAATCTTATAAAATTTTTCTACTTTGCCAAAACGTTACTCATATTCAGTAAATTAAAGTGTTTAAATTTTGACGTAATCACACGTCTGCTTCTTGTTTTCTTCACTCCTTCCCATCAGAGGAGAAGAACTCTCTGTTTTGCCTTTGGCTTTGCCTATCAGGTGTACTATAAGCAAACACCCAGAGGAGTATATTTCTAGTTAATCATTCAGTGAATGAACATAGAAATCTTTGCATATTTGTTGGTTTTGTTAGGTAAAAAGAAAACAACAACTCTGCTCTATACTAGAAATAGATATGCCAGTTTGAAAATTAAACAGCAAGGTATGACAGTTTATTTAAAACTATAAATAGCGGAATCGATTTGTGCATGCCACAACTTAATGACCCACAGTATTTCTTCAAAGTTTGACCTTAAACAAACTGGATCATTTTAAAGAATCCATTTTTTTATTTTTTAAATGGGGTGCCCAACAGCTGATTGAGAAGTATGTTAAAGGTGGACCATCCCATTCTAGAGATAGGCTGTTGATATTTAACTAAACAGGCAAACAAACACATCCTTCACTTCCACCCCGGTTCACGGCCACACATCGTCAAGGCAACAGCAACCACGTTAGTTGACTGAAAGCGAGGTTTTCCACCTATAAATGGGATGAAAGTAAATCTCTTTGTTGGTTGTAGATAAACAGCTATAATAATACCACACAATGACAATGTATTAAAAACAGAGCGAGCAAAATAGTGTGCATTCCATTACTCTTTGGATAAAGAGCTAAATATGTATTTAAATATGTTTTCTTGGCTATATGTTATTCATTTCTAGAGAAAATGACACAGAGCCAACATCAGGACAGCTAGTTTCACCAATATTAGTTGAAAAAGTACACAGAATTACGAAGCATGACTCAGCCTTTAATGTCCTCACCAACCGACTACTACTGCTGCAGTGAAGCTTATAAACCTTACAACACCCCCACAGCTGCAGCTCTCTGGACGTTTTTTGCATCTAATGCAAGAGAGGATATCACAGGGCGCTCCCACACAGCAGTCTGACCTGCCACAGCGTTATATATGGTACTCTGAGGCAGCGGCTTGAAAAGTAGGCCAAGGTGAACAGGTAACAATTTTACAAAAAAAGACAAATAAATGAACAAATCAGCTATTTGGTTTATGAGAAACGCAGACAGAAAGCTTACACTGAGTCACAAGGTAACAACAGATAAGTCTTTGATCATATTAGAAAGGTAGGTGAAATCTCTTACAGGCTGAAGTTGTCTGCTTAGCGGTTAACCTTTTTTGTTTTCTCATTTTGCGTTATTGTTGCACCGCAGCTTTTTAGGATTTGCTGCTGTGTTTTGGTTGGATATAACAACACAGTCTCCAGTGAGCTGAAGTGTGTTCTTTCTGTCAGACCATCTATATTTATTTAAACTGCTCTCATCCGCTGCAGCCATGGCAGGGCATGCTGCCATAAGAATTGTTCTGGAAATATGACATATTCAAAGAAAACTGTCAGTCTCTAAAGACCTTTGAAATATATTCTATGAGCTGTCCATTCTACACACAAATAGCAGAAGTCATCTGTGCACTGTGCCTTCCTCTGCTGCTGTCATGGGTATACCTAAATGAAGCAGAAATGCCTAAAAGAAAATCAACTCCGACTGAAAGTAATTGCTCTAAAAGACCGATGGAAGCACTGATGCTACATATTGCATCTCTCTGAAAGCAGCTGATGGGGAGACCAAAATCTTTCTAAAGATATCGTGGTTGCTCGGCCTTGGACCTCAACAAGCGATTGGACTGGCAGTAACTTTGGTTACTGTGGTGAGAGGTCAAAGGTCATCTAATGCAAGTGCACCTGTTACAACTCCTACATGCTTTTGACGGCTGTAGTCACTACAAGCGATGGCAACGGGGTGCTAGTAACTCAATCCTGGGCATAGCTCCAAACCTTAGTCTCACTGTCATAGGAGTAATGATAACAATTCCTGACAAGTAATATTAAAAGCAGGGCTTTTGAATGGTGTCATGCAGTGCTTTTCAATGTTTCCAACCTCAACACAGCTGACATAAGCACAGCAGCCAGCTACATTGATCACCCTGTCTGAATCAGTCACAAAAGCTTTATCCTCACCTTAAAAGAAACCCTACATCCACACCATTTTTACAAGCAGACGCCTTCAACTTCCCTAGCGTTTTATTAGTGCCCATCTCAAAACAGGCCAACCTCTCACTCCAATACTTTAATTGAAACCTTTTGTCAATGTCCTGGTCTAGTCTTTAGAACAAACCGAGCAAACACTCCGTCAGCCCCTGTTTTGCTTTACAGACAAGAGAGAGTTTAGGGGGGGAAAAAACATTACACAATAGTGGTGGTTGCCCACTCCAACACAAGTGATTAATTGGCCAGACAGAGCTGGAATGGAAGATGGAGATAGAAGAGAGCGGTAACACGATGGGAAAGTAAGGCAGATCTGCACAATGGAAAAGTTCAAATGAGCAACTTGTATGTGACTGTAGACAGAGGTTTGGGCAATCAGAGAAAGTGTTCCTTTGGTTAATGAATGGTTGGAAATCATAAAAAAGAACTGGAAAATAAGAGTGGTAAAAAAAAAATTGAATGAAAAGAGCCTTTTAAGAGTCTCTCACAATGGAGTAGGAACAAACCACCATCAAGAATTTAGCTTTATCCTCCATGGCAATCATATTCATCAACTTTTTTTTTTTTTTTTTTTATGTGATAAAAAAAGCAAACATAACTGGTTAACCAATAAAATACAATTCCTCTTGCTACAAAAAATAACATCAATAACTCAAACGATACTGATGGAGCTCAGAAGAGACAACATATCAGACCTTAGAGAAAAGCAGAAGGCCAGATAAGATGCGGTCATGCTATTTGATGAGAACAACTTTTAATAAACCTAAACAATAGCAATAAAAATATTGTTATACAACTGTCTTGACATCTCAAATTAAAAGTTTAGAGAACAGACTTGGACCTGAGCCACATACTCAATGCATTGATGATTAAAGAAACAGACATATCCAAACATTATGCATCAGATAAGCTCATTATCTCAGACACATCCGGGTTAATGCAGCCACTAAAGCGGAAGCAAACACCATTCACAACAGACCAGGCATCACCTATGACACTTATGATTTGAAAACACCATCTTCTTTTAGACTTTGAACTGGTCGTTTTTGCTAAACTCATCTGGAATGTGGACACAATGTGATGGAGTTTGTCAGCAGTCTGCATGAACTACTGGAGAAGTAGCTCCAAGTAGTGACATGCACTCATTTCACAGCCGCTATGATGTGTCTGGTAGGTCATCTCTCATCAGATAAAACTGAAACTCCTTGGATCTTACATCCAAAGACTGAGCAACATTTTGCTTAGCTGTGGCCAAAGACCCTTCTATATTTGGGCGAAACGAAAGTAAGCTCCTTAACAGGACAATTTCATGTTTATACCACATATTTCTACTGAAACAAAGATATTTCACACCACAGGATGTGGCAGATTATAAAAAAAAAAATGGTTACTTCCATGAAACAACTGATTCACACTGGATCTTGTGGTAGTGGTGGGGCTCTAGGCATTCTTGGAGAGAGGTTCAACCAAAACGACAATCTAAAAAGCCTCACCTACCAGGAATTTCAGTCGTTTCCCCAACACTGTATCCACATTAGGAATGTCCAGTTCCCTGTAAACAGCGGTATTTGTCACTGAAAAATCTGTCTGAGTTGCAGGGAGTTTGTGTAATGACATTCAGCTACACTTCCCCTGTGGGGGTTAAGGCTTCTGCTCAGCCTCCTTCAGCCAACAGCTGATATCCTAATGACAAGGTCTTAGTGCAACTGAGGATTTCAATTTGGGATAAGAGAAGAACCACACACATTTCTACACAATAAAGCAAACAAGGCAGTTTTATCAAAGGCCATCAAATCTGGGCTAGATTACTTGCAGCTGGAAGTTCAGCATGTCAGACCGTGATATTTAGAAAGGCTTATGAATAGTAGTTCACATGCTTTTAAAACTAACTGTGCAGTGGTTACAGTAACCCAACTGTAATCCATAACTGTTTACATTCCAGCATATCAGTTCCTACTGGAACCACAGGGAAGGCAGGGCAGAGGTTAAGGAAGGCTCTCACACACCCAGTCAGTTCAATGACAACACAGCACAAGCCTTACCTAGTGACCACACCTGTTAGGTAATCCTCAGTGATCCAATAAAGAGGAATTACTTCATCTTACCCACAAGAGCTGTGACTAATGTTTCATTCATCTTTTACTGTTTACAGTAAGTCACAAACCTTCCTTACCACCTGGACTGGTAAGGTAAAACAAAATAAACTTGAAAAGTACTTTAGGGATATTAATATGGCTTGAAGTGAATGGAAGAGTGGAGAATCCCTGACTAGTACTCCTAATTTGATGAGGTGAGGAACTTTTTATTCCCTCCCCAGAGTGCCAGGATGTAAAAATACATGTCCAAATCCCTGTCCTTATATCCAACCCCTACAAAGCTCCTCTTATTCCCAAATTGACACGAGATGAAAGTTCCAACTTTTCTAACTCTTTCATATTCGGGAAAGAGCAGGAGGAGTCTTCTGCATGTCAAAAGGTCCTAAAAGTCTGAGGCCAAACACAGGCTAGGGTTGTATATGCTCATGTCGGAGATTCAGGAGAAAGGCAGCAGGACTGTGTGTCTCAAGTGAAAAGAATGCACAAACATGCTGGAAATGGAAGCAAGTTTGACAAAATGCCTTCAGCTCTTGGACACTGCTATGGGGCAGAGGTCCACTATTTTAATTCCAGTAAACACAGGAAATTAATTGGGCAAAGATGAAATGAGAATGACTTCAACAACTGAAATGTCATGAGAACATTGTGTTCTCGCTGGAATAAAAGCAGTCAATACAGTCTGGAGGCGAATGCAATCGAAGTGTCTCTGAATGGGCCTTTTGTGCACTGCAACTCAATAGGTATCCTCACTTTATTTGCATGGTTTACTGTGCTCACTTAGCCTGGGATGAAATGCCTTAACTGACCGTCATGAGAGGACAAAGCACAAAACGTCTCTCCCAGAGCGGCTTCCAAATAAAATGAAGAAACTCTGTACACTTTCAACAGCACTTAAAAGTGATCGATGAAAAACCTTTGTGATTCTGTATGAGCTCAGAGACCACGTCAGTGAGTAAGACACTGCAAAGGAGAAAATGTACATCACATAATGGGGGGGTTGTCAGAACAGTTTAAAATGAGACCAAAACTGGTCAATGGGAGCTAAGTGTTGTGTTGAGGCAGCTATTAGAGTGTGGGTGTTGATCTTTTTAACATACACAGTGGAGGCTTTTCAGAGGATTCTTCTCACCCACGTACCTGTTCTCACTGCGAGATGATAATGGATTTTGTGTGTGTGTGCTTTTTGTTTCCCACATAGGTTAAACTACAGCTTCATCACACAGCTCAGTGACTTGCCATCTTTTCTTTACGGCTAAACATTTGTTATATTCTATCCATGTAGTTCATTAATGAAATCTTACAACAATGTTAAGCTAAATTACTGACCAAAATGGACTCTTCGTAAGCCTTTCAACACATAGTGCCAACAAGGCACCGCGGCCCTGCCCGGTCAGCCTCACACACACAGAATTGTATACTATTTAGATTCAACAGTCACTTTGTCCAAACCTGCCCGGCTTGTTGGTTTTGATGCTGGGTCTGAGGTTTTTTGTGAGCTGCTCCTGTAGAAAAGCTGGCTCACCATATGATCTGCGTGTGAAGACAACGGGGCTGGCACATTTGCACTTTGCTTCCAGGAGGTTCTCTCCTCCATCACTACATTCAGAACAGAGACTGTGAGGGCTCTGCACAAAACTGATTGTGCGCCCCATGTTACACATACCATGGTCAACTGTTGCTGGACAAAGGGACAAAACAGGTTGCCTTGGAAACGTGGGACCTGACATAACTGCATAAGGCTGCTCTTAGAAAATCTAGCTTGTGGAAGCTAAACAGAGAGGGCTTTGCGCAATTTAATCTGGTTCCCTGTTCATTAATAAACAAACTGCGCATTGCTTAATTTTAGTGAAATAGCTTGGACACGGAAACGCTTCTCTGCAGACAGCAAAGCGCAGAGAAACCCAAGTAGCTGCATTCACCCATTAACCTTTCTCAGCAGCATAAATTCTTCGCAGGCCAACATTTTCAGCCACTCACTACAACCCCCTTTGTAGTGATGGAGCACAATTCTCTTGGTCTTACTCATGCTGCAGCTAGGTCTTCCTCTTTTAACCAATTGTCTTGAAAAAAAATCTGGCCAAAGTAACCTCTTCTTAAAGTGTGATGTGATAGCGGCGGTGCGCCTTGCTGGGTGTTCACAGTAGGTGGGCAACCCCAAATAAATGCCTCTAAGCACTTGTGATCCCTCCCAGGTTTTTCTAAGCAATTCCACTCCCCCAAGGCCATGCCACATCCTGCAGGTTGGAACCACAGCCCATCTGAGTTTGGTTACGCCAAGACAGAGGAGCAGTAAAACTACACTGGGAGGAAAACAGAGGGGCAACTCCTCATCCACATGCTTAACTGAAGCTTAAAAATAAGGGGTCAGATGTGGCCTGGAGGAAGATTATGTTGTCAAAAGCTGGCAACCTTTAAATTTGGGTGGATATCACTCCCAGTGTAGCTGACATTAAAGTGGATCAAGGATACTTTAAGAGTTCTGCAGAGAACAACTGTATTAAAACTGCCAACTTCTCAATGTAAAAACAATAGAAAGAAGCCCCAAATAAAAGCGGGGGCCACTAACCAAGTCAGTGGAGGTGCTTACTGAACACAAAACAATGACTCTAATATGCCTGGTGTGACAAGCAAGGCTCTATATTTAGTGTCACTTGATATTTCCAGCATGAGACTCTTACTGCCCCATCGCCCTTTTAATCCCGTATTCACAAAAGAGATGAAAAGATGATGAGTGACATCCAGAGAAAATTATAGATGAGAGAAGAACATCTCCTCTTTCCTTTATTTTCTTTTTTCTTCCCAAATCAACTCATCATCCATCCTCCCCCCACATCAACTTGCCTCGATGATAAAATGTAATGGCATTAAGAAGAAGCAGACATGAAGGCAGGATAATATTCCATCATCTATTCAGCACAGTTTAAACCACTGGTTAACAAAGGTTGTATCCCCTTTAAGAGGAACACAAAGGCACACAAAAAAACAACACAAAAACCCCCTGCTGCTTTCCAGCTCTTGCTGCTTATGTTACATAAAACCATCACAGTTTTTACTCTGACCTACTAAAACCTACTAGACACAATGTGGAAGGGCAAAAAGCAATAAAGCAAGTGCTGTTTCAAGTAGTTCTGAGTTCACCTCATTTCAAAGCTTGGCCCACGTATAGAAAAAAAGAAAGAAAACGCTGCTGTGTTTTTGTTTGGGTCAGTCAATATTCAGCAAGCCCACAAGCTGCGCAGCATGAAGCTGACAAAGTACACTGTAAAACAAACAGAAAAAAGTTACTCCCCTTTATTTCCCAGGTTATCCCTGCAAATCCGAACCACACCAAGAATTCTAATTACAAACACACTGACTGATGTGAAATAACATGAACTATGTAACTATGTAACCAGTCACATTCAGCTCCATTTCCCATCAAGAGAAACTGCTTAGTGCAAAGACTCATGGGGGCGTCAGGTTTAAGTCTCACTTGTTCATCTGTGATGTGACTGGGGCTTTGTTTTGTAGCGTGTGAACTTTGTGGTTTTGGAAGTCTGAGTGGCTGAGAATTCAGTTTGTTAAACAATTGGAAACCATGATTTAGGGTTCTGTGAAAAACAATTGCATCAAGTCAGTGAGTGTGTTTAGAGAGATACGAGCATCTCTCCAATTAGCTTCATTACAGAAGTATTGAAACTGTAGCGGCGGCAGTGTTAAAGCAATATGTAATTAAGTGCCTCTCTACCGTCTGTGAGAGCGGGGCTTACTTGCCGATCAATGCCATATAGACACAATGTAGGATCATATCACAGTGTTCACTTCTACAATACCAAACTACGGGGCTTAATACGATAGATTCATTGTACACTTAATAAAAAACAACACTGAAAGATTGACCATTAGAGGCTTGTCGTTTTAACCATCTCTGTGTGTAATGTCATGGTTACTACATGTTTTAACACCATCTAATAAAAGATTCAATTTAATTTAAAAGAAATCTTGTGACTTTTCCAGCTAGCATTTTATTCCTGTGTTTTCTTTTTCTCTCAACAAGGCATTCTATTTGAGAAAAGATAGATTATAAAAACCATGAACACATGTGGGGGAACTCATGTCAGTACAACAGACGTATAGATTCCACTACTGACAGAGACTGGTGTCACTCAAGAGTTATTAATCTTCCACGTGTTGTGTCGTTTTTTCCAGTTTTCATTCAGAGTAGGAAGTTGCCACAGGGCACTTGCACAATAAGCGTGCGGAGTATTAACCACTAAACAAACACACTCCGCTCAGCACATGACATCTGCTATCAACACTACGTGGTGTCGCTTCAGCTCCTTTGACACCACTGTGCCAGTTAGTTTAGTGTTTAGCACAGTCTCTAAATAGTCCGCTGTGTGCTGGAAAGAGCTGGTGCTACAGCAGCAGCGAATGCCGGGTCAGTTTGGCTGTGATTATCTTTACTTTACACAGACAAACTGACCAAAGGAAAGGTCACTGCATTAACTATGTCAATATCATCAATGTTTCCAAGGCTTTTAACAGAAGATTCATAGTAAAAAAAATATTTAGCTTCTGCTGAAATTCAAATGTTATGTAGGACCTCCTTTATTAGAAAGTTTGAATATTTTTTAACCTGATTAGGTTGTACTGTGCTCACAGTGATGTCTCACACATTAAAAAGTGTTAGGTTTAATTTTTTTTAGAAAGGTTCACCTATATGTGTTTTTTTCTTCATATCCTTTCTTTGCAATTTGCTCATTTTTTTGTGCTCATCTTACTGACTTAGTGTTGGTGTTTGCTTGTGATGAAAAGTGTCCACTCACCATCTCATCCAGAGCATATCGGAGCAGACCGTGCTCGTAGAGGATAAAGAACCTTCTCTGCCATTTCTGGAACAGAGGAACAAATCTTGGATTAGATATCTCAGCGACAAAGCATATCATGATTTAGGAAAAAGAAAGGAAAAAAAAGAAAAATGTGGAAATCATTCAGTGCTCTTTTATTTATTTATTTTCAAACCAATGTTGAAGCACGTGTAGCATGTAGGACTTGGCCAGCCTACGACATTACAAACACACATTTAATTAGCAAAAGTAAGCAAACTGTTTGGGAAATAATTAGCGAGCAGTCCCCACTGGCACACAATCTGCATACACCAAACTGGGACACTTTCAGTCCACCAGCTGCATCAGATCACATTTCTTTCAATTCAACAAAAAATGCTGATGAATTAAAACTGATAATTTTTGTTTAAAATTCCATCTGTGTGCAGGTATAATTGCAACAAAAACTAAGAGGATAAACACTACATTTATGAAATACTGAGTAGTTTTACCTCAAATGCAGGTCTCATGTGATGTCGACCACACATATGTCATTACAAAGAGACATTGGTACACAAGACATCTGTACATTACAAGAGACCACTAATGCATCCAAACTCAGTTCTAACATTCACCACATACCCACAACCTGTTTAACTAAAGTGGTCCTAAAAACATGTCATTCAACACATCAGCACTTTTACACTGTTATTTGTTTATTAGTCAGTGTAAACCAGACATCTGCTTACGTCAGCACCTTGTACAAGCAACAAATTATAACCCCACAGAGAAAAGCTGACTGGAAGAACAAGCTAAGCTTATCAGGGATGATGTCAAAGCGGCAGCAGACTGCCGATAGTAGATGCAGAGGTGCTTTTCCCAAAACCCATATGGAAGCCATCAGTGGGGCTGTGAGAACTGGGTCTTTCCTTCTCCTCCCCCACATGCTCTTCAGTCCTCTTTTGGGAAGCACCACCACAGTATTAACTGAGAGCTGATAAAGGAGGGCTCCCATTACACGTTGATAGGGAGGTGTGACTCATGAAATAATGTCAATGTTAAGCTCATTATTGCTTAACAAGGTTTCCTCGAAAAGAGGACCCAACTGCCCACAGGAATCTGCTGATTCTACGAAAACAAGCTGCAAGAGCAAAAGCAACAACATCTTTTGTTTATGAAATGTTTAAAGAGTAGGAAAATAAGTAACTAAATCGGATTAAAGGGCTACCCTTGCACTTAGTCCCCCTCCATTTGGAAAACCTCTGAACAGCTCTGATCTGCAGAACTTCATATTCAGAGCTGGTGGTGATGAAATCAAATTAACAGCAACAATAACAATAACTCTTACAAGCCAAGCAAATTGGATCCAACAAGGCAACTCCCTTTAAATTCCAACAAGCTCAGAGGAAATTGGAAAGAAGAGTCGGAACAAATCTGCACTCTGCATTGAACACAAGGTCCACTGGGAGCAAACACTTACCCGAGATCTGTGTAAAGGATTGTCAAAATTAGTCCCCTCTGGTGCCAACAGCAACCATCCTCCATATATGGGTTTTGCCTGGTGAGACGAAAAACACAGTTATAGTGTTAAACAGGAGCATTAACATATTGATATAAAATCCAAGTCTGAAGATCTTGATTTGCTGCAGCTCTAACTGCAGGCAGCTAGCTGCCGTTACAAACCGCCCCCCAACATTACACCGACATGCACGAGTATTTTGGTTGCACTCCATGGTGTCCATTAGCCACTAGTCGCCTTAAGTCGACTGTAGGCTACATTCTCCAGCTGGCTTTATTCCAAAGCACCATGCTGCCCTGGAAAAAAAGCAAAGGCTAACACATGATTTTTGCCTCTGATCTTCTAAGTGGGTGGACCCGCGGGCGGGAGCGGAGAAGTAAATCCAGAAAAACAGTGGATGAGAAGCAGAAGAGGAAAGCAGTACAAATCTTGGGAGAGTTTGTGGCTACAGATTTGCTATTCAAACTTGTGCTGAGAAAAGCGAGTTTGCCTGGCAGAGCCGTCTTCCTCGAGTTGTACTGGTACATACTTGAGCTGTTGAACTCTTTGGTTCAGCCAAAAACAACAACCAAACAACACAAAAATGAAATAACCCTGCAAACCAACCCACAGCTATGCATACAGAAAACATTTTCCACTAAAACCTTACCTACAACTAAAGAGCTTAACAAATTAAGTCCCTTACATAATTTTCTCCCTCTGTGAAACATTAACCTGTAAACCAAAGCTGAAAGCTCTGACATTCACAGCCTTCCCTGTAGCGTGGCATTTGATTCCAGTTAAAACGTCGTCCAGTATAAGGCCCGGCATAATCCGCCGTAAAATATTCTTTTGCATCGATTACGCTGCTACAGCACCTTTCTCAGCTGAGTGCCTGTGTAAACAAAAATGACATAAGAGGAACTTTTCATCCTGAGCCCCAACCTAAACCTTGGACGGTCAAGAGTTTAACCACACTCTATGGACAAAGAATCCAACCACAAAGCACCTTTAAAAGAAATTGAAATATTAGTTCAATAGAGAGTGACTGGTGAGAAAGAATGGAATGCCGAATACAAATGTGGAAAATTTACACTAAAACATTAATAAAAAACAAAGAAAAAATAACCCTGGGCTCTCCTCACATGACCTGACAGGAGTCCATTTGTGACAGAGAAGGAACCAGGATCAATGTAGGTCATTTTTTACCCTTCAGTGGTTCTGTGGTTAAGCAGAGTCATCTGAGCGAGTTCATTTCACAAAGGCTCCTATCTATCACTCCATCTGATCATAAAAGACCATGTTAAACGCCACTGACCAAACGGCAATGGACACGATCCTTTGCGAGCTAGTACAAAGGATTTATGGAAGTCAAACAGGCATCATCCAAATAAAATGGCACACCTTGATGCAAGCCACTTTGTCAAAAAGTCATGTTTTAGATAAAGGTCACCAAGGCCCTGAAGCTCTGTATACAGTTCCTGCTGGATTTTGTGCTCCACCAAAGCAATAATATGATAGCAAATCAATCAATAAATAACAGTGACCCATTTTTCTCCCCATAACAATAGTCACTGTTAGTATGTTATTTCTCTGCTCCGGTTGAAGATGGGTGGAGAGCCTTCTCTACATGAATTAAGGTCAATATGCGCCCATGGGCTGGAAACTAATTACGTCCAATTAACGTAACCTTTGCACTTCACGGTCCATTGACAGTGTAAACCATTTGGGCTTACCCCAGTCATAAATATACGTGACAATTTCACACGCACGACTACGAAATACAACAGAGTGACAGTTGAGAGAAAACATTTGTTCACCTGATTTAAGTCTTCGTCGTTCAGCAGATGCGCTTCTCTGGGTTTAAAGCAGTTCTGACATTTGCTCTTGTTGAAAATGTTGGCTTGGAATTTCCGACAAGCGTTTTCTTTGAGTGACATCGTTACTGGAGAGGTTGAAACTTCGTCTCGTGGTCGAAAAAAAAAAAAAAGTCTTCGTTGAAAAAAATCAGTCCTCGAAAGCTGCGGGTTGAACTGCGGATGAATACGTTAATAAAACAAACCTTCCGAGGAAAAATGCACACAGTCCATTAACTAGTGCGCGGTCCACCTGTGCCGTTACCTGAGGCGGTGAGGCGCCCCTCGTTAAGTCACATCTACGGTGGTCATATTGCGCGCGTGGTTATCAGTTCAGCTAAACGTGTACCTGCTAACTTTCCTCTGCGTTCTGGCTTTCTGCGAAGTTGTCAAATAAGTCGGTCAAAGCACAAACAATTATGCGCGTTTTTCCTCCTAAATATGTCCGGCAGCGAGGTGTCGATGTCTCACAGGTGACACTCTGGGCCTCGAGCTCACTGGAGCGGTCCGGACAGCCTCCATCGGTTGGAACGGCTCCAGAGAAGGCAGCAGGAGGAGGAGGAGGAGGGGGGGGTCCACTTTGGCCCCTCTCTCCGTCTTTCTATCATACAAGTGACACCGCAGTCATAGCTGTTCAATCTAATTCATGCTTCTAACGTCTCTGCTTAAGGCCAAACACCGCGACGTAAGTTCGGAAACGCCATCGACGCGGCTGTCACGCCGTAGGGTCCATGGCGTCTGGTCCCGTTCGTGGTAGCACCGCTCCGGTTGGCACTGCTACGCAGTCTGCGGTCGATGTTTTCGTGAAAATCCTCGTTTGGGCCGGACGTCCAGTCCCCTGAAGAGATAGGGAGGCGTTCTGGAGAGAGTTTCGCTCTGAGTGACAGCTATCGCAACCAATCGCACGTCGCGGAGGGCCCCGCACAGCTCTGAGAAACCAATGGGAAGCACCTGACTGCCTCTCCGGTTTCCCGCAAGCTAGGTGGGCTTTAAAGAGCCCTTCACAGGAAAGAGCAACTTTTCGTGCTAAACTCTGAGGTTATCAAAACCAGTCTGCACGCCATCAAGTAAATTGCAGTCAATTTATTATCCTGACGTTATTTCTTTTATGTGACTTTTTTTTTTTTTTTCATATAACCTGCCAACAAAAGACGTAGATGGTTTAAGGAATAGAATAAATAAGCTGAAAACTTAAAAAAGTTACTTACTTTTTAACAACACAACAAGAGTGCTCATTTATTAAACAATCAAATATGAGAAAGGTGTCTAAAATAAGCATAACAGTAAATTTAGGAAATCAAACTTTCCAACAAGTTAGCACCTTGATTAATCCTCTCCTGCGATGGACTGGCGGACTGTCCAGGGTGTACCCTGCCTCTCGCCCGTTGACCACTGGGATAGGCTCCAGTTCCCCCCGCGACCCCATCAGGGAATAAGCGGCATTGATAATGGATGGATGGATTAATCCTTTCATCTTTTTTTTTTCTCCAAGGCAACATTTCCTGATGAATGATTATAGTTTAGGTAATGGTTAGGATTTAATGATAAAACTGAACTGTGTGACACCTCAACTGCTCTCTATATAGTAGGCCTCCTATCCTGAATTCAGCACTATGATAGACTTCATGAAGCCAATGCGCTCCACTTTTAATGACCGGTAAATTGACCACAGCACAGTTTGACATACTTCACCGTTTAACATTTATTGTTTCTGTGATCTTCAACAGAAGGGATCTTAATGGTGCTAACCCTGTTTGCGATGTTGCTCACATATAGTTGTACAACCTTAGTGATTTTTCCAGTTGAATGCAGCCCATGTAAAACCTGAAACAATCACAGCTGAAAATATTAGGAGTGTCAGAGCAAATGTATCCTAACACAGAGGGCCTCTGAGTGGACAAGTGCTTTGATTTGAGAACCCAGTGCGCCATCTGCTGGTGGTGGGTGGGAAATGCCAGCGTCCAGCACCGTTCATGTTATAGAGTCAGATCAAATGAGAGTGTATGGGTGTCATGTCATCGCTCATGTTATTTAACATCTCATGGTTAATGTTTGTCTTTTGTTTGAGCACTTAATTTTAAAACGGATGTAGTGTCTCCTGAATTTTACCTTAGGGACGGGATGTCTGGTAGCATTGCACACAAAGGACAAAAAGCCTGGAGTCGTGGCCAGGTGTGCGCTCAGAGCAGAGGAACCCGGAGCAGGAGTGTCTGTCATCAGCAGCAGGCTCTTTGAAGTGCACTTGAAAGCGGAAAACTGCATGTTTTTCAGATTCCAAGCAGATGCTCCAGAGGGTGAGACCTGTGCACTGCATTTAACATGTCACTAAAAACATCCTCATTCACCTAATAAGAAGTGTAAGATTTTATTTAGGACGCTTGAGGTGAGCAGCAAAGTAAAGGTACATATGCAGCAACAGGTTACAAAGCAGCTTATTCAGTGTTATACATCAGCACTAGTTCATCATATTTGTTCCTTCAAAAATACAATGAAGCCATTTTCACTGACAACCTATTCACAAAATTCTTAAATATGTTCTTAGATTTATGCTAAAAACATGTAACAATGTGGACAGGAAACAACAGAGTAATATGATTAACAAAATTCAACATCATGGTCAAATTAACATCCAGTCATCACTAAATTAGTTGAAGGAGGGTTATTTTTACAAGGGGTGGTACTGGTGATCTCCACCAGACTCAGACAGGAATACAGTGACCAGTGCTGTGATCTGAGAGCACAAATTTACAGTATGCTTCATCTTCTGACCGGTGTCACTGACCGTGCAGTTACTCCAGGGTCCAGATCAGCTGAGAAGTAGTGAAGATGCACACGGGAGGCAAATAAGATCACTTAACGTGGGTGTGCACCAGACACATCAGTCTGAACAGGATGTGAAGCCTCAGAGAATCGAATGCAAGATTTTTTCCCCTTTTTTCTAAATTGCGCAAAACTAAACTGTTCAATGTGAACACATTCCCAGGACGAAAACAAAACAAAAACATCCTATCCAAGATGAGTTCTTCTGTTCTCAGTTTTTCTACCTTCCACCATCTTTCGTTATTTCCCATAATTTTTCCCAATTGAAATTATTATTAATAAGAACAATCATAATAATACCATTAAAGTCCACCAGAACTTGAATGAATGCCATGACACCACAAAAGTAAAACAAGCATTAGGCAGCAATTAGAACAGATTTGCCTTCTTCTTCATGTCATTTTGTTTCCAGAGCGGAAGCCTGTCAAATGCTTGGATATTCATGCCAAAGATCTTGAAGAATGACCCAGGCGACAGATGGCTCTTTAAAAAGAAAGCAGGAAAGCATTCATTGATAATATAAAGGGAAGTCTACACAGATTATTTGTTTGAATTTTCCTGATTAAAGTCACATTGTAATGAATTGTGTTAACTGATGTTATTCAGAACAAAAATGAACTAGTTTTTTTTGTGTGTAACTAGATACATGAATAATTAATCAAAGGGTGATGACAGAATCCAAAAAAAGGAAAACTGGGTTTGAATCATTGTGGATATACCTCAAGTCTTGTCCTGTCGACATCCTTGGGAAGCTTCGTTCGTTCTCTATTTGTAACAGCGAGCACTTCATATGGATATACCTTGATGAAACAAAGAAAGAGTAAATTCAGATATCATATGAAACAATGAAGTGCAATGTTACCTTACCAATGACTGGAATTAGAGCTTTTGTTTAAACCCAACACTACATCTTACATTTTCAGATCGTTGCTGTAAAAATGCTTCTTGAGAACATGAACCAAATTAATCATGCACGCATAATAGACAGAAATGTTAAATAATACTTGCTTTTGGTTCCAGCAAATTAGGCATAGACACTCCTCGGTCCATTCGTGTTAGTTCATAATCACTTATGAACTAAAAGATGAAGCAAACGCATGCAGAGGGGAAAACATAAAGAGCCAAATGGTTGGATAAAGTATAATTAAAACATGTCTAATCAAAGAGTTTTCACTTTCAATGGTAACCTTATTTAATATTGGAAAAGATTTAGTTCTTCTGGCAATATTTTTGTCAGTTCCTTGTGCTATCAATCAAAGTAGAATTGTTATCTGACTCTGACTTGCTGGAAGCGTTCTCCAAACATGCAACGTGTGTATTTAAGTGATGCAATGGACCAGTGTGGACCAGGATTTTTTTTTTCTTGCCTTGAAATCTGAAAGCAAGAGAACAAAACACCATTACCATTTAAAATACGATGAGCTGAGTTTATTTAGTAAGAATTAGAATAGATTGAAAATAACTTACTGAATCTGTCATTGTTGTGGGAGAAATCGGCTGACTGAGGCTTGGAAATAGAAAAAAAATGATTCCATATATGTACTGACTGGACTAACTATACTTATCTCATCTTAGCTGTTCTATTTTTAGATTTGCCAAGTCAAAGAAGCAGTGATAAAAATGCCTTATTTTGAGATAGTTCAGCTAAGTAATACATCCAAATGGTAACTTAAATGGAATACCTTGATATGTGAAACGAGGGACATGTGGAGGTTATGGAGCTCTTACCAGATTCAGGAAGTTATGTCCATATCTTGGCAAAGACGTCGTTTGGGATGCGGAGGAATTTGGATCTGTGCGAAAGTGACACAGCAAACAGATAAGCTCACCATGTGATGACAGATTCAGCTCCATGTCTAAAGTAGATAAGACAGACTTACTGAGGAATATATAACTTCTGTGGTTTCTCTATAAGCCTTCCACAAACTGACTTCCAAGAACTGTTTTATTTTCGCATTTACCTGATCATCAAATAGCCATGACGGCAAGGCATCAACTCATGAATGTTTTAGCTGGATTGAATTGTGGTTTAAGCTATCAAAGATAATTGCCAAAGACAAACATTTGTCTAATGTGATGTGGAAAAAGAAAGTCCACCCTTTTTTTTTCTTATTTCTCTTATTACAAAGGGTTCAGCTTTTCTCTATGTTTTCCATGTGAATGATCTTTCTCAGTTTAATATAGCAGATTTTTTCACTGAGATAATAGCTGATGTCTTTCTTTCTAGACATTTTAATAACACCTGAATGTTTCAGATCTGCCAGCTGCCAAATCCTTTGCTTTTATAGAGTTACTACAAATGAAGTTATCATGTGAATTTAATACTAGTTGTTATGGGAGTAGTGAGGATTATTATATACTTTTTGCACTCAAAGAAATAACACGAAAGTAATTATAGTTATGTAGGTTACGGTCTGAGGTAATCGTGGCATTTCATTTTTCATTTAAAAGTCCTTGTTTGTGAGTTGTGCAATAAAGAAAATTAAAAAAAACAATTCGCTCACATGGCTGAAGATTAAATTGTGTGGAATATTTTTTAAAGATGTCTCTGGGAGTTTTTCCGTGTTCTCTGCATACTTCACCTTGCTGTTTATAAATTGGAGGCCTCCTGTACATATTGAAGCCTTCTTCAGCTGAAAAGGAAGACAAAGTTATCAGTTACTTTTCTCAATAAGTGCCAGCACAAAGAAACCGTGTACCAGTATATCATCCTGAAAGCTTGATGTCCAATCAGGTTTTTTTTCATTCTCCAAATTGAATGTTCTTAAATAGCAACTAAATACCCTAGATTAGCTTTAACGCTGGACTTTGCACTAAAAAATGGAGTCAGGGCTATATGCTACAGTCATTAAGCTTCTTTTCTTGTAAATAGACAAAAGTAATTGTAGTTTTTCAGCTAAATTTGTGATAACACAAAAAGCAACTAAAACAAAAGTTCAAAGAGTCATTTGAATCTCAATAGACTCTGGAGATCATCTCAGATGGCTCCTTGCCATTTAAATGGTCTTTGACTACATGAAGTAACTCTTCTGGCTACAAGTGATCACATTGATCAAAGCTTTTGATTTGTGAATAGTGCTCATCTCCACAGAAACCGGGTTCTGAAAAAACACATAAATGTGCATTCATCTAATTAATCAAGAAAGCCTCAGAAATAATAAAGATGTGGATGTGCGACTTCCCGCAGCGAGCTGCACTTTAATCTGTGGACCAGAGGAAGTCTGCCGAACTGCCACCACCAGAGGGCTCAATGGATCTTTAATAAATCTCTGCTTTTGTGGAATATTCCTGGTACAACCACTCAGTGGGAGCTTCATTATTGCAGATCTCATTCAATCACCACAGACTAGATGCAGCTCACTGGGGAAGAGATTGCAGTGGAGAAAGGGGTGCAAAGAAAGAGGGGGCTTACCTTTGCTTTGAGAGAGAGGGGGGGGGCATAAAGGTGAAGCGGGACAGGTGTCATTTTTGTTTCCGGAAAGTAAAGAGGGAGTAAACGGCGACCCTTGTTATTCCACAAAGGTGTGTGTGGGGGGGGTGAGGAAGGGTTGTGGAGGAAGAGGAAGCACGTTGTGAAAACAAAGAAAAGGTGAGCAGAGGAAGCTTCTGTGAAACAAGGATGTTTTTCCGTGCTCCTCTCACCTGGTCGGTGGAAGTGTTGAGGTGACCTGGGCAGAGTCGGAGTGTAGCTGTGGCGATATGTATTATGGATCCCAAAAGCTCCATGACTTGAAGACTTTGGCACATGTGTTTTCTTCTCAAATCCCTCCTTGAAAAAGGAAAGAGAAGTGGAGTTCAAGAGAATGACAATTGAAACATGTCCAATGTTAATTGGTGTCTGTCAAGTAATTGAACAAAGAAGTTTTACCTCTGTGGCAACAGGCGTGTTTCCTGGGCCCTAAGGCGGACAGACAGTGTTAAAAAAAGGAGGGTGTTAGGTGAATGCTGAACACCACATGCTACCAAGAAAGCAACGGACTTTCTGACTTCAGATGAAAAGCTGGGTCTTCGTCTCATCACAATCTATTTTTAACTTATTCCCCAAAAAGCAGTCAGCCACAGAAATAAATAAAAGACTAAATCTGACATGATGAGGCGTTCATACGAGTTCATTCATACAAGAGGCAGGACGCAAATAAAGGTTTGGTAAATCGGTCTATGCTTGTTTCTATTCTGAGTCGTTCTTCCCGCAAAATCCTCAAATATTCTGTCAAATAAAACAACTTTTGGGCTTTTCAGAACATTTTGTTCATGTGGAAATTCAGGTGAACAGATCTCATTTTTAGACAAAACAACATTAGGTCTCACAACAGTGAAACAACACTTTGCTTGGTTTGAATCCTCAATCAAACCAAGTACATAAACTGAACACACAAACATAAAAAACAACCTGGAGCTACGGATGATGTTACCTCTGCGGGGCTCTGAAAGTCTTGTCTGTTGCATTTTTCATCCAAAGCAGAGGAGTCGTTTGCAGATTTATAAGATATCATTTCAGGATGCTCTATATCGTATATAGCCTTGACTCTGGGAATTGCTGCTAAGTCGCGGTATTCAATGATCTCATTATCTACTTTTGCCTGGGAGGAGAGGGGAGGAAAAGGGTGAGGAAAAGGGTACAAGAAAGGGAGGGAGAATGACAAGACAGTAATAGTCAGGTCAGGCTGAAGATCAGAGGTTTCTCATTACATCACTGCGGGGGGGACTTAAACTTTAATCCCACAACACACGTTTGTCTGGATTTGGCACATGAGGCAACCAGATTCTCCTGGTTTGTCCGATTGAAGAAGCAATAAGGGCTGTAAATACAAAGTTTGTTCAGGTTTTAAAGTTTTCAGCTCACAATGAAAGGTGTGTTGATGGGTATAAAGTTTATTCTCTTTTTTAAAAATACATTGGGGTAGTCAAGGATTACCAGAAGTCGGGGGAAGGACAGGACTCTAAAAGCAGCATTCCATGCGATCAGACTCAAACTGAGTGCATACAATTGATTGGGCAAATCAATTCCTGCTGTATATGCGGCTGATTTTCTCAGAATATCCGTGAATAAACTGAGAAAATTTAACTCAGGGGCTCCACATCATCAAACCCCTATTAAAATCACATTTTCTCTCACAAGCAACATGAAACTATTTCCGATGAGTCAAGGTTAAGAGAAATATTTTAAAAAAAGAGTATAGAGGACCTAAAACCTGTTTCAGTGACAACTGCATTGATTCTAATATTCTAATATTTTTGTTGGTTTCGTTTGTTATTCCTTTCAGTGTCCTGTTACAAAGAAACTCTGTGCACGAGCGACTGATCCACGTGATTCCCCTGTATGAACAAAGGTACACAACTGGAACGTGAGATGTCAAAAACGTGCACGGGGCAAGATGCTGAGCGAGTGTGGACCCCAGCACTCACGCAGATGATTCGACCGGGGCTGCCTGGGGTGCATGAGCCTGGTCTGGAACAGGAGCTTTCAGACGATGATCTGTTAGGCTGAAAAACACAGAAGCATTTTGTTTTCTGCTTTGTCGACAAACGGCTTGTAATGTATCCTGTTAGTTCTCACATAATCTCCCTTTCGTTGCAGTGATGTGCGGAATAGAACAAGACTGTGTGGTTTTTGTTTGGACTTGCAATAAACCCGACTGCAGTGTGATGTCAGGCAAGCCAGCAGCACACACACCTCCAGCACTGGTGTTTTGTGGTGTACTTGTGGGATACAAGGGCTGAAAATGAACGGTGAACCATGCAACACCGCCAGCAGGATGCTACTTAACAGCATGCAGCGTGTTTTTGGGGGATCGAAGTAAGCAATGTGTCCTTCTGCATTTGAGAAAAGCAAGCATGGGTAATAAACCCAACTCTGAGACCACAGCCTGCCCACTCCGAGCATCTACTAGAGCAAAAAGCAGGCCCGCTCACAATATTAACCTTCAGATCGTGTGTGGGGAAAAAGTAATCAAGACAAGGGGTTTTTGGTCTGCTGACCTAGAGAGGAAAACATTGTGTGAACAACGGGTAATGCTAAACAAAGCTAAATATCTGTATAATACAGGGCAAAATGTTCATATATATGAATATACTTTGTAATATCTGATCAATATGAACATCTTATAAAAATGCTGCTTCTGATATTGACATTAAATATTTTAGATCATAAAGTTTACATTAAGTGAAAGATCTTACCCTGTAACTGTCTTCAGTTTTGCTGCTCTCTTTGCATTGTGGGTGCCAGACTGTTGATCCTGTGAAAGACGGGATAATTAGCCCCTGCAGCCTGTTAAGGGGTAAATAGCCTTTTCTCTTTCACAGACAAGCATTCATCTTGAGATTGAAGAAATGGAAAACCCACACTCATCCTAAACGTCACACAGTAGAACAGAAAAGTCCTAAACTGACCTTGCACGTACATTTCTTCTCCTTCTTTGAACATTTTGCCGCATCTGCTGCATCTGGCACAGTTAGGGTGATACTGTCTGTCCCCGGCCTGGAGGAGAGCACAGGAGAGGGAAAGGTTCCAGACAGAGAACTGTAACTCTTGTGGGCAGCCCATAATGAGCATAGAGGATCAGGCAATTTCAGCAACAACTTGATTTAATTCCTGTGTTTTACCGGCATGTATAAATAAAATATAGTTAATAAAGAGTGAAATTATAATTAATGTGTTTAGGTTACATGTACACAGATTCACTGCAGGGAGGTGGTTCATGAGTTTATAAAATGGGGAATTTGTCACATAACTGAAAGTATTAAATTGGCATCATCAGCTTGAAATTTCTGCTTAAAATGCAGTTTTTACGCTGTCATGCTTTTGAAGAAAACTAATTAAACGGTTTAAACGTTTGCATATAGCTCTGGACAACATCCCAGAAAAAAATGGATAGAGTACGGAGTCTGTCTTACCTCCAGGACTTTTCCCGTTATGAACTTCTGACATCCTTCACACTTTACCCCAAACTGAGTCTGGTAGTCCCTCTCACAGTAGGGAATGCCATCTCTGAAAGGGGAACCAAGTGTGACCCATCATTGCATTTCCTTAATTGCTCCAGAATTGTATTCGTTACATCACACTTCATTTGTTGCTATGAAAAGGAAAGCAGAGGTGAGAAGCTTGTATTTACTTGCTGATGTATTCTCCACTCAGGACCTTCCTGCAGGCTTTACACTTGAAGCAGCCCAGGTGCCACTGGCCATTCAGAGCTAACAGAGCCTGGCCATTCTTGATCTCCCTGCCACAGCCAGTGCAATCTGAAAACGCACACACATATATATTCATGTGTGGAAATATAGTACATTTGCAAACTAAACTGATTTGTTCGATTAACAACACAAGCACAGAGCTGTAGAATTATTGATCAGCAAATATTCATTTTTTTTCTTGTAAACCTGAAAACAGATTGTCCTCTAACTGTAAATCTAACTAAACTAGTAAAGTCTTGTATCCCTGAAAGAGGTTAGAAGTGAAATGGGGTCGTGGCTTGAAAAGCATTCCTGCCAAAGGCGACAGTGACCAGACACAAGAAATATTCCCATAGTTTGAAGTTGACAGTAATAATTGGAAATTCTGGTAGATTCATCATGAAGCGAATTTTTTATCCCAAATGACTTGCAAGATCATCATGGGAGATCTCAAAAGGTATATCTGTTTGAAACAGATCGCTCCTCCTAAAAATGTGACACAGGGAATCCCCTCTGAGATGTAATTAAATATGACACCTGAACTGAGACAGATGCAATGTTGATCTGACTCATGCACGTAAGAAAAGGCGTGCAGCTGCTCGGAAACCACAGCTGGCAGGTGCTGAGCTGCATAACCTACCCTCTGATTGGGACTCCAGAGAGGGCTTGCATGAGCATTTTTATCTGAGCATTGGATCAAATGTTTCGAGATGAGATAACAAAAAGTGTTGACCCACTATTGGTTAAGCTGATATGACTTGAAGGAGACACGGGTTCCACACAGCGCTGGCAGAGGCATTCTCTCCCCCTGAAAGTGACACAATCCCCAGCAGGAAAGGGATGCCTGAAAACAAGCAAAAGCAGAGAGCTCAGCCACATAAAGCTACAACATGTTTGCATATCCAAAACAGCCAAAAATGTGAGAATTACTTGCAAGTGGTGCAAACGAAGCAGGCTGGGTGGTAGGTCTTCCCCAGGACTGTGATCACCTCTCCCTCCACAAATTCACCACAGTTGTTGCAAAGCGTGCCATAAAGCCGCTGGAAGTCCAGTGGGCAAAGGTAGTCTCCATTCCTCATGAAGAAGCCACTTTGAGCCAAGTCACACCCACACACTGCACAAACACACACAGTCACACACAGTTAGAGACAGAACTGACTTACTTAAGGTCTTATGCAAAGATTCAGCTAAATTAAAAGGCTTTAAATGTTCTTTTGATTTGCCATTTCTCTTGTATTTCATTGGACGTTTGCGTAGTTTAAACATGTTCTAATTATCAGTCAACCGAGTTCTTTCCTTATGGTTATATCTCGGTTTCATTATAATATTCATCCTTGATTCTAAAACCAAAAAATCTTGCAAACAAAATTCCAAATTATGATACTAAAGGCTGTAAATCATTACCATCTATGTAATATATCAAAGGAGTGAGGTGATCATTTATTGTTTTATAAACACATTCTTCTTTGTGTTTATGTGCATTTGTGTATATTGATATGTGCATCTGTGTGTACTGATGAGCAAAGTGACAAGTTAATGACAGGATGTGCTGTTTACTCTCAGCTTGTTTGTTGACATTTGATATGGCAAACTTACCCTGTCCCTCCATGTCTGCCGTGGCAGAATGCTCTATGAGGCCAAATAAAGATTTACACTGTCCTATTCCTGTACCGCTGTCACACAAACTGGAAACTAGTTTGATTTATTCCCTGTTTCGTTGTCTCTATATCGAACCAAATAAACTTTTCAATGGACATCCAAAGACAGAGATAACACAAACAAAATAAAATTAAAACAGACCAAACTGCTAGATCATTTAATTTCTAACCATTTACACCTATGAATTTACATCATTCCCATAGTCTTTCATCTAAATTATTCCCGGTTACAACACTGCAAGCTCTGCTCTCTGAAAGTCTCTTTGTCTTTTCTGCACTGTAAACATCACCGCAATGTGGTGACAAGGCAGCAACATGAGAGGGGCTGTCAGCTCTGATTAGTGGGGACAATAGCTTGCTGAGCAAATATGTCCTCTGTGAAGCGGCGCAACATCAGAGCATGACTGTCTGAAAACCCAGGAAAACCCCACAGCAGTATCATGTGGGGCAAGGCGCCCGCATTTCTGCCTGTGTTGAACGCATTTTTTAAGGCACGTCTGAGGTCCTGTCTTTAAGGACAACTGTATTTTGTGTGTATGTCAATGCCACGATGAGGAACAAAAGAAGTAACACAACACGGGCACGAGCCTTTCCCGTTGGTCAGATGATGAGAGGAAGGACAGAAATAACCATGCATGCTCACCCATGCATGCTCACAGGCAGTGGATTTAAATGATCAGTCAACCTAACATGCTCGTTTTCTGTTTACTTTACGTTTTAAAAACTGCAAATAAAAGTTTAGTGCACAGTGATTTTATTAGGAACTGCATTGAATGGATAATGAAGCTTCCTGATTTTGTACGTTACTCTCCCCTTAAACCTTTCCTGTAGCCTAGTTTTTTCACCTATCATTTCGTAACAGTCATTCTAGTTCAATTGATTGAACAGTGCAGAAGAATTATCAGATATGGGGGCACCGGGTTATTTTGAGGTGATCTGTCCCACCATAAGCTCTTTGACATCACTCACCCTTGCATGTGAAACATTTTAAGTGGAAGTAGCCGCTCTGGACGCGTAGCACCTCTCCTTTGCATGAGTCTCCACATCTGAAGCACTGGATGCCGTGCTTCACTGCTGGTGGACAAGGCTGGCAGTTCTCCTGGGAATGTACCACTACAGGGACAGAAGATGGAAATTAAACAACATGTCTATTGACCAGTTTCAACTGAATTTAAACTGTTGCTGCTGTAAAGGTGGTTCAGCTGCTCTGTTATTTTTCCATCTTGGAGGCTTGATAAAATGAAATAGGAAACTCCTGCACTTGTAACAACTCCGCCATCATCATATTTGTTCCACTTGTCTTTTCTTAGCCACTGCAGATAACTTCTAAATATTCCATGAGGCAAGCCAGAGTATGAGGTGCTAACATGGTCCCATTTAGAAGTTGTCATGGCTTTAAGGTGTTAGCTGGTAGGTATGGATGATTCAGTCAGTTTCCCATTTGTTTACACACATTTTTCCACAGTAAGAACGTAACAGTCTTCAGGAAATGCATTGATAAAATAGGCTGAAATAGTTCTTTTTCACAACCCCCCCTAAAGCCCATCTAACCCTAAGGATAGCCACTGTTATTCTCTGGAGTGATGCTCCGAATAAATTCCAAAGCCAATCCTGCTTTTTGTCTGTTGTGTGTTTTGGGTACTTGTTTGCTGAGCTGTGTGAAATGGTCTTGTAGCTGTAGAAGATAGTGTTCTGAAGGGAGTGTCAAATCTTGAAACATATGGGACGGATAGAAACGCAATACTCTTCTTTGCCACAAACATATTTGATGCTCGAATGGTAGAAATACCATTATGTAGCTATACTCTAGCTGTAGCAATACTACAGCTAGAGGATGTAGGTGTGCCACATGTTTTCTTTGGTGGGCCTCAGGTTGAAATGAAACATTTTGTTATTTTACACGCCTGTGATCTTCCTTATTCTCCCCTCCCATTTTGCCTTTCCTTCTCTGCATGCAGCTCTGGCAGCAGAGATTGAGGAAACTAGTAGAAGAAACAGGCAGGTTCAAGTTGTTCAGAGCTCAGCTCTCGGACCTGCACAATATGAGTTAAAGCACTGAATGTTCCTTTTCATCCCTGCTTTGTAAATCAAACATAAATCATATCCTTTTTTTTATATTGACATACATGGAACAAAGCATTTTCCACGAATAGTAATCATTGTGTCCCATACATTCAGACGTTTATCCGTCTGCTCCCCGACTGGCACACACTAGATTAATCTCTCAGTACTGTGGTTCAGTAGTTACATATCAGTGTAATTGGTCCGGGCTGAAATGTACAGACACACAGGGACGGGCTCAACTTCGAATGAACAAATGACAGATGAGCTCATGAGCAAGCTGTCATTTATCTGCAGATATAAAGATTTAAAGTCACAAAACCATTAGTTGCATATCCCACATAAGCAGGGGCCCCTGACCATGAAACTTAGTCTCATACCATCGTATTTGATTCAGGATTAAAATGAAATCTCAACCTCATCCTTTGGCTTTAAAAAAAAATAATAAAATCTCTTTCATGCTTATGTGGCACCAGGAGCGGCGGATGCCGGTACAATCTAATCACAGTCCACTTGAAAGGTTCTCCGTGTGATTAGCAGCAGAGAGAGGGGAAAGAATGTGGTCTGAGCTCCAGTGTGTGGACACAAAATAACAGACAGACAGTCCTACAGACAGGAAAACCTTATCTTTTTTTCTCTTTAATGTTGATCTCACTCTGTTGGCAGCACTTTTTTAATAGATCCTTTTTATCGGAAGCAGAGAAACTTCTCAAACCAGCAGGACAGCAGGCCTTGAGGACCGGAGGTGAATAACCCTGCTTTAGAGAAAGGTCCCACTTCTAAACAGCATCAGTGAAGACCCGTCACATGTAATCTACCCTGACATGGATGCGATCTGTTGAGAGTAACTTACAAACGAACAGAAACAAACCAAATACCAAGGTAGAATGGCTGCAGATCAACTGACCCCAGCCTGATTAATACAACTAAAACTGAGTAACGAGCAGTTGGTAAGTTGCCCCAAGTCCGCCCCACAGCAAAGAGAGATTTGCTGCCATGGCAACAGGCATGAAGAACAAACTAGATTAAGAGCCTGTGTGTGTTAGAGGTTAACAAAAAGTTCAGCGTGGCTGATTGCTCTGTTTGAAGGGCTTACTAAGAATCATTTTACACCGAACCACTGCAGTCATTCCTCAGCTTCCAGCGCAGCCCGGTTTGGTGCCAAAGTTATTTAGTCATGAAAAAGTAACTGTTCACCTCAACATATTTGCAATCAACACTTTGTAGAGGTTTACACTTTCGCCTAAAACTGCCCTGACAACACGAGAGAAATAAACATTTTGTGTGCATGAATTGAAAAGAGGGAGACAAGAAATGGAGTGACAGGTTCTGCAAACACACATTAGATTCTTATGATAAGTAAGGCCAAATGGTTTTGACAGGAATAGAAATAACTCTGGAAAAATTGAAAGAATAAAAATTAATTGTGGGAATGTAACCCATGATTTTGATCACTGCATTCCAGCAATTACTGATAACATGGTCAAACTGGCTTTTGTCCAAGAGGGCCTCATTTATTCATTAATGACATAGTCTTCATTTTAATGAGAAAATGTACAAAGTCACTGCTACAAATTCCGAATAGGTCTAGCTCTTAACAGTGAAACTCTTTGCAGTGAATTTGGAATGTAGCTCATTAGTAAAAAACTGGGTGAAAACTACCCACAAGAGACTTCTTAAAAGATTTGCCAGGGTCTGAAGTGTCCACTTCTCTTTCTTGATCTCTCCCAGAATGTGAAGCTGATCTGGTGTCAGGTATTAGCAAATGGTAGATTTAGAAGGACAGCAAATGGAGAGAAACTCGAGACAGACAGCTAATCACACACACACGCTAGCTTCAGCTATTAAAATCTCTATCTGTGTTTACACAAGAGAATATGAGGAGTGACGATGTAACTTTGGTATTTCTCTTTTTTCTGAGGTGATGATATTAAAATACGCTTTGCTCTATTTTTATGGATCTAAAAATAGATGCAGTGCAGTTTACGTCAACAATGCAATGAGATTGTAATCAGTTTTGTTTCCTTTATTTCTTTTGAATGATATTAATATGTGTATAGAATAGGAAACAAGGGATGTAAATAGAGTAGAATTTAGCATAACTTTCAATATAAATGGGAGAGGGGAAAACTCAAGACTGTGAAAGTTCAGCAATACATGGAGCAATATTATTAACCCCGGTAACCTTGTAACGGTCACAGTGTATGATTGGAAATCTTTCTTTGTTTTAAATCATCAGTGGATGTTCTGCAACAAAGTAAGCCGTAAGAGACTACAGACTTTGATTTAATGTAATGTACTCCAGGCACATTCTCTTGCTCAATGAATAGCCTTATGTTTTTCATTTAAAGGCAAATAATTTGATTTTGGAGAATCTCATAACAAAGACTTGCAAATAAATGTCAATACGCTTTCTACTGGAATCATCAGCACAGTTTTAAACACTTTTAAAAAGCCTTATTACTTTGAAAAGCAAAATGACACTGAAGTCTTAAGGAAACTGAAACAAATTGTGGCACAGCAAAGTGCTTTTACTCTCGAAACTATTACTCACAATTTGATGTAACAAATGATTGCTGTAACCATCACGTTGAACTCACAAGAAAACATCTGTCTTTTCCATGCTGCTGTCAAATTGGATAATAAGACAAATCACAGCTCATTTCACAAGTATTTCTAAAATCCCATGCTGTTTATTTTTTCTTCTTCCCAAAACCAGTATTGTAAGATAAGTTCCTAAAGCTGTGCTTGCACTTTTTCGCAGTTGGCAACAGCATTTCTTATCACTAGCTTTAGTTTCCAGCTCAACTACAGTCGGGTTTTAAGGGATCTTTAAAGACAGTAATAGAACATAGAGTTCACCATGGCATGACTTTGTTCCCAGCTGCAACATCTAGGAACGCCAAGTCCACATAAGAGCACATAATGTGTCTAAATTTAAAACAATCACATGGCACCGCAGACATGGCGTCAACAAAAAAAAAAAGAACATGACAGCTTAGCATACAGGACATATGTGACATTTCTAAAAAACAAAAACAAAACTGCGTTCAAAAGTGTTACTGTGACTAAAAGTGTGAGGAAATCCTTCTCGAAAGTAAAGGCAAACTATAAAGCAGACACACTCGCTCATCCACTCACGTGCACACTCTCTGGGACGTGTCTACCTTTCTGTTTCATGGCTGCTGGTGTCTGCTCCTCTCTGGTGGAGTTCAGTGCAGCAGATAAGACTGAGGAGAGGATTCTAACCGGACTGGTGGTCCAAGAGAATGGGGGAGGTCCAAAAAAGACAGCGGTCCTCTGTGTGAGTGTGTGTGTGGGTGTGGGTATGTGTGTGTGGGTGTGTGTGTGTGTGGGAGTTTGTGTGGTCAGCAGGAGCAACAATTACATTCTCTGGTGCCCCTGATCGATGATGTCATCCAGACTGAGACGGAGGGCATCCGAGTGAGTAGTTCAAAGGTTTTCTTTACTCTGAAATAGATCTCTTATACACTACACGTAGATTGTGTAGGACTTATATTTAATGGTGATACAGATTAACATTTTCATGATAATGCAAATACCATGAGTGTCTAACAGCGTTTCCAAAAGCTAAAAACAAGCATATTAATGTCAGCAAACAAGATTTTAGGCAAAGATGGGTTAAAGGCTGCATAAAAAGAATTTCAATAAATGATTTAATATGAAAACTTGGTTTACTGCACATGTACAGCACCAAGCTTCCAATGGCTTATTCTCTGTTAGGTATATACATTTATTTAAACAGAAAAGAAAAGTTTCATTAGAGCACACTATGTATTAGGTCCTTGTATTTCTGAATATGTTACTAAAAAAAAAGATACTGGTTCAAATATTTTACAGCCAATAAACCGCAACTTGAATTACCTGACAACTCTGCCGGAATACCCGCCAACTTTTCACACAGGATGTAGTCCTCCGGGTTGATGAAGGGCAGCTGCTGCATCATGGACTGCTTCGGGATCAGGTAGAGAACCTCAGCCAGCTCCCCGTCTTCAATAATCGACATGCGCCTCACCGAGTTCTTCCTCTTCACCCGGTCCAGAACGATGTCGTTGTTCTGGCCGGAGCCGCATATCTTGCCAAGGCTGCTGAGGTTGAGAAGGCTGGACCGGCTCATGCTGTCCAGACTTGCGGTCAAGCCGTTGAGGCTGCAGACTGACTGAAGTTAGAATGCATAAAGCATCATAAAGTCAAGGCATTCTATTGGACGCCAGGTGTTAAGCTGCTCTCTGACTCTTCATGACTGACTTACAGAGTGTGTGTGTTTACGTGTGTGCTTTGTCCATCGGGCAGTCAAAGACTAACTCCAACTACAAGCCCCCTAAGAAGATTAAGAGAGGTATATTTTTAGGGTTTATCTTTGTGGGGAATAGAGGATGGAAGCCATTGAAGTCTTGCTCAGGTAACCTTCTTTGCTCTGTTCCGGTGACTCTGGTTTTTCCTAATTATGTTAAGCATTCGTCTGTTGGGCCAGCGATTGGGACATTTTTAAGCAGATTATGTTTTACGGTTGTACTGTGCAATCAAATTGAGCTTTGGATTTAAACATGTATTGTCTAAAGGTTTATTAATAGGGTATACAAGTCATTTTGTGTTACTGTTTCTTGGATAATACCTGAGCGGAGAGATATCTGGAAACAGGACGATTCATCTCTGGAACTTTATGACATTAAAGTAAATTAAAAACGTGTATATATTTTTTATAATAGCAGCACATTTCCCTGTTTTCAACCTTGACCAAAGTCAGGTAGAAAAGGCTGGGACTCTAAACCAAGTAGAACATAAGTAGATGCAGTGCTTAAGTATTTCGGGACTGCAGCATTGTTCAAGGGCAGAAGACTTAGATAAATTTAGAAAATCCTTAATTGAAGTGCTGCCTCATGTAAAGTTTTAAATAAATAAAAAGTTAAATACAATCTTCTTAAAGTAGCTCCCACTCATACGACTCCTCCTTCTTCCACCATTATGTAAATAATACAAAAACTATTATGGTAGCCAGAAAACTGGGAGCAAAAATAAGTGCTCCCTTTCTTAGGAAACATCAAATGTTTCCATCCTCCATCTTTAATAAAATGCTACATATTCAGGTAATGATAAAGTAATAAATGAAATCAAATAAAGTCAAAATGAAAATAAATAATTAAACTTGCCCTGCAAAAAAAGGTGAGAAATAGGGAAATACAAACAACTGTTGATTATTCGAGGTCCCTTAAAGCATAATTCAGTCCTGGTATCAACTCTTACACTAAAGGGACTTTTAGTCTGTACACTGACGGGATTATTTCTAATTCAAGTCTCATATTCAAATATCCCCAGACTTAGAAAATACACCAAACTTTGTTTTGGAGATTGAAAACAACGCATAGCGCCACTGCTTTAAACATTTAGCCATGTTGAAAATGAAAGAAAAGCTCAGATGAACAAGGCCTTCCGTTAAGTCTGTAAGCGTGCGTGGAGAGCATGCCTCGTTTCCAGCTGACGGTGGAGCTCTTTTCTCACAAAACGAAGCCCATTGCACCATCTAGTGCCTGGAGGCTGATCGGCATTTCTCTCTGACCCTTCTCTTTTCTCCAAAGGTGTTTTTTTTGTATCTGAATATAATATCAGTCAGTGAGTGAACTGAGTGTTGTGCACAAACAGAAGAGTCTTTTCCATCTTCAATTTTCTTCAAAAGAGAAAACTAATTTTTTTGTTTTGTTTTCTTTCACAGGTGGACAGCATTAAGCCATCTTTCATTAATCTACAATTCAATTCAGGTCTTGCTTTTACAGCAACTGGATTAAAATTTGAGTTGTTCCATTCCTGTTCCTCATCACGAAGTACAAGTCCAAGAGGACATCGTAATAAAAAAAGACAATCCACTGAAAATGTTTTTTTTTTAATGACACTATATACCTCGACATGAAGTCCATTTGTCTACATGGTGTAGATTACAAGATGTATAGTTTGAGGTCACAAAGTTTTGTAAAAAATATTTTTAAAAAATTGTAGTTTGCCTTTTTCCCTTCTTACCCACACTAAGATAAACATTATGTATATTTTTGGATTAAAATGACAAAGACATAAAAAGTATGTACTTAGTTGTCAGTATGAAACGGTTGGTTGGTTTGTAGTCAAGGGTGTTAAGCAGCCTGAATCTGGTAACTTAAAAAATAACTCACTTTTTTTTTTAAAACAACAGAAGGCTTGTTGTTGGAAAGATCTGCTATAAGATGAACTTGAACTAAAAAAAAAAGATCCATAACATGGATCCTTCTGGGCTATTGATAACCAGCGATCAAACAGCCCTGATTCCAGCCAGGAACTGTCCAGCTGAGAGGGGACATAACTAGTCCCCACATCTCAATTCACTGGGTTTAATGCATCATTTGAAATGAGAATAGCACATTCAGACAAACTGAACACGGAACACTTCCCTTCCAATCACGAGAAGAGACACAATGGAGACCTGTTAAAAAAAAAGGCCCTGCTGTGAGCATTTGGTTCAGTCTTTAAAAAGTCTCAAACATGGTGTAGATTTGGAGTCTGAAAACATAAAAGGCTCTTTCCTTAAGCTAATAAAAACAAATCCGCTTTCCCCCCCCACACACGATTCTCCACGGAAGGTTCATTAGAAATACCCTATTCAATGTCTGACTCGGGAGCTCTTTAAAAGCTATCCTGAAACTTTAAACTGGGAAAAATCATAATCTGATCTCAATGCTAACCCGTCTCTGGTGACGGTCAGTCAAAAATTAACACTGAAGTTCTGACAGCTAGGAAGAGAAAAATCCAGCACCTTCCTCCTGCTGACCATCCCAACTTATTGATACTATTTGTGCCGTGTGGAGAGCGATCAAAGAGAGATCAGGATTGCAAACTGTGATGGGGACCAGGGGTCAGGATGGCCGAGGCCACTACAGAACACAACACAAACTCAAGAATTGATGGAAGGAGATCTGCCACCATCATCTTCCTCCTCGTTCTGCTCCTCCGCTCCCGGGTTGAGGGGCTCTCGGTCCGGCTCTCTCTCCGCCTGCCCCGACCTCTTGGTGGTCTTGTTCAGAGCGTCGCCCTGTACGGACACAGTTTCCAACATGAGTGACCCCACAAAGAGAAACAACATCTTCCTGGTGCTTCTAGAGTGATAATGCACGAGCCAGTTCGCCGGGATGCCCGACCTGTTTGTGATCGACGACGTTGAGCAGCACTGAGGTCACGATGCAGCTGATGGTGTTGGCCAACATGAAGATCATCATCCTCTGCCAGCGCCACAGAGGGATCTTTGTTTCACTGGGAAACAAACGGGGGAAAGCATAGACATGATTGGAGAGTCAATAAATGGATACAATGGGCGGTTAGTTTGAATAAGAAATCTGAAATAAACATTTTAGTACCTGGATTTGGTGCCCAGTATCTGTCCCACCACCAGATTGGACACTCCGATCCCAACCATTTGGATGGAGGTGGCCAGGCCCATAGCTGTACCCAAAGTCGCCTGAGGTACCACCAGCGGGATAGAAGGCCACATACTAGCCTGGAACACCACAGAGACAGATAAAGCACACATATGAGCAAAGTAATTGCAGACACATCACTCTTATCTTGAATAGAAAGAAAAGATTTGAATAGATTTTGGTCATATTACTATGACCATTCTAAAAAACAAAAACAAAAAAACCCACTGAAACCAGTATTACCTCTGTGTGGTGGTAGAAGTTCCATAGGAAAACATTACATCTCAATTTCTATTTCTATGTTAGGGATCATGAGTGGCTGTAATTTGAAGCTTCTATGTGCCAACATGGAAAACCTCACTCACTAAAAACCATGAAGCACATCTGGTTAAAAAAAATGTTTAATTTTATTCAAGTGTAACTCACCGCTGCAAAGGAGTAAGTGACGCCAAGCCAAATGGTGGCGACCAGAGGCGGGACAAAGGTGAAGGCCAGGATTCCGAACACTGGCAGGGTGAGGACGGCGCAGGCCACCGCGAACACGCCCCGCAGCCCCACATAGTCCTGGAAAAGGAGGGTGTTAAGACCTGTGTCGCTGCATGTCCGCCGAGTCCTGAACAGATTGGAGACAGGATTTACGGCCGGAATCCAAACCCACTCACTATGAGGATGCCCACGCTGGCCGACAGCACCAGCGAGCTGTCGTAGACCGCCCCGGCGATATAGGAAGCCTCCTTCTGGCTGTAGTCCCCGTATTTGTCCTGGATGAACTTGCTGGAGAGGATGGAGATGGAGAGGCGTGGGAATTAGATGAAAAAAGCACCTGAGGCGTTCTCTGCTGTGGGACGGTGTATACGCGAATAAAAGGAATACCTGGCGTCTGCGATGAAGGGGAAGATGCCGTTGTAGAAGAACATGATGGTGAGAACCAGCAGCCAGTATCTCAGCGACAGAAGCCGCACATCTTGAATCCTCTTCACATGCACAGAAACAAATAATGGTTCAGTAATTATCACCATCAACTAGGGATGGGACTTAGAAATGGTGGATCAGACTAAAAAGACGTGGGTTCTGCTGCAAAGAGACCGCCCGTACCACTTTGCGGGACTCCTCCTGGATGGCTCCATCGAGGCCCAGCTGCCTCATTCCAATCTTGTCCAAAGCACTCACAATAACGGCGGAAGCAAAGCCGAGCACACACAGCAGCGCTCCTACAAAACAAAAGAGCAACACCAATGGGATTAAAATAAAATCTTACAGATACAGACGTAGACGTTGATGGTCCGGCTGGTTTTGGACCTACCGCCCCAGAGCGTCCACTGCATGCCATATTTCTCTTCAAATTTCTGCGTGAGGAAGAAGTTCAGCACCGAACCCAGGCGGGAGAAGGCCAGCGTCAGGCCGAAAGCCAAAGCCAGCTCCTTGCCTTTGAACCAGAAGGCCGTGATGCGGTTCTGAACGACTGGAAGGAAGGACATTAAAAAGAGCCTAAGGAACGCTCAGTGGAAAAAGCCTGAGTTAGAGGAACCAGAGTTTTCTTACTGGTCAAAGATCCATTGCCTGATCCAAACAGCAGGCGGCCCGTGAGCATGAGGGGAAGCAGGTAGGGGGTTCCTTTGAAGTGGGAAGCCAGCGCAAACAAGGAAGAACCCAGAACGCACAGGAAAGAGAACAGAAACACCCCGACTGCATAGAAGCAAACAGAGATGGGCCATTAATCATTTCGTTTTTGCAGTCTTAGCCTAATCAGATGTGCAGATATACGCAGACTTACAACGGTTTCCTAATTTGTCAATCAGAAACCCAGCCAGGATAACAACTACAGCATTCCTGATGACAGGGAGGAGATACACCATCCGTAAGACAAACAGTTCATCAGCAGGGGGTCAACAGGAGAGAGAAAATGTGCTTACGTCCAGGCGTAAATGGCATAGAGAAGGTTGTACTGCTGAGGACTCATCCCCAGCCCCTCCACACAATCCACCGTCCCATTGATCACCGTTGCATTTGGACACGTTAGGTTCTGCAAGATGAGACAGTCCAATGATAAGCTTCTCCCTTATCTAGCCACAAACAATGAACAGACTTTGGAATTTTTGACAAGCAACAAAAGCCTTGTTTCGATGCAGATTTGCTCTCCAGTAACTTACTCCCTGGAACTGATCCTGCAAAACACTGGGGATGTCAAAGCAGAAGTAGGAGCCGAACGTCAGCAGACAGTTGAAGAACAGAACCACAAAGCGATAATACGCTGGAACAAAGACACAAAGAGAGCCAGTAAAACAGGATGATAACACTGGGAATATCAGCAAATGCATAAAACTTATACTCTCACTTTTGCCTCCATTTGATACATCTGAGTCCATATGAAATGCATTAAAACAGAATGTGAAGCAGGAAAACCACACACACCTAAATTCTTTCACTCTTGGCTTTACATAGTTTTTAACAACAGAGATCATGTGACATGACACATACTGGAGATTTTATTTTAATATTAAAAAAAGGGGGGAGCACTTAGCAAATCAATAAGGATCTTCCTGCTTTGGTCATGTGAAGCAGAAAGTGCTGAGTTGCTCATTCTGTGGAATGTTTTTTTAGGGGAAGAATGTTTTCTTGTGGGCTACCAAGCATCCACTCTTACAAACACGAACACGAAAACAAACAACAACAAAAACAGGTTCAGATGAGAATAATCTGACAGAAGTAATGACGCAAAACGTACCTTTCTCTGCCGGCTGCGCCATTGCGTGGATAAATGTGTCAGTTAAAATAAAGAACTAAATGGACCGGTCGGTTTGAAACTGGCATAGTTTGCTGTTGTTTACAGTTCATGAAGCAAAGCTACGTCCACCACTTCTTTATGGCTGGTGACGTTATTACGCCACAGATCTTAAACCCACCTGGACGGGCTTGTTTGCACAGATTTGGACGTTAAAACGCAGCCAGTAGTTTGTAAATCTATGACCGGAACTTGCGTAATCCATGTGCCCTATCACATTAAGGGAAGACCCTTCACTGTAAAACGCTTAAACAATAAATGGTTTTCTTGGGTTTTTTTGTTTGAATATGCAACTTAACTTTATTCACAACAATATTTGCAATAAATATTATTAAAAAGTAACAGACAGCCTTAAAAAAAACTAAAAACTAACGTAATTTTTAATGTAAAAAACATATTTTCGCTTCCTTTCACAAAATTTGTCAACAGTTTGCTTAAAAATCCATATTTTAATAGTTTATAGTTGTTAACATAAATCATGCAATTTTCAGATTTTTTTTTCCAGTATGAAGGAAGACATGAGTACACCTGTCCCAAAAGTGAGTCAAATATATTTTTTTAATTTCTTTATCACATAAGAAAAGGCAGTGGTCATCCCCAGAGAATGTTAATTGTTTGTATGGAACGTGTAATCATATATTAATGGACAACATCATCGTAGCTTTGAAGTAAAATGTTTTGATAATGACAATACAAAATAATAACAACACATATTTGGCCCAACTTATACTAATAATTGAGGATAGAATGTCAAGTACAGTATGATTATTTTTCTCCTTTACTTTCATGTACAACTTTTCAGGTACAATAACGTGGCACTCCACCCATCACAACACCTGAGTGTTCTCTGACTAATCAGATTATTCTGGTTGGCAGTCTTCCTGGTCACAGCTGTTGGTCCCTTTTCCCTTCTGCTGTCTCTGGCAAAATATATGTAAAGGACTATTAGGATACGTTGTATGGAAACAGAAAAGTCTTCCCTTTGCAAGCTGTTTCTCGCCTGCCAAAATAGCAGTGCATAATGCGCGTTTTGGGGCGAATTGTCCCTCGGCGTACACCGTAGTGACTCCACAGACACGGCTGCTCCACGTAAATATTATTAATACTTGTTTTCAGAATGTGAAATGTATGCCAAGCGCAGAGCCAAAACGTGGGAAATATCCGAATCGGAGGGCAGCGACGTTGAATCGAAACCGAGTTCAAACCAAGACGTGAGCAGCCAAATATCAACAGGGGACGGAAAATCTGCTCAGGCTTGTGTTTTATCGGCTCCGCGACCGGATGGCTCCTGCACGCCGAGCCCAGCACGCAAACGCCGCACAAAGGAGGAGGTAGAGATTGACAGGCAGAGAGGGGAGGAGAGGAGGGAGGCGAGGGAGAGACAGAGAGCAGCGAAGGCCCGGGAGAGAGAAGAGAGGAGGCAGGAGCAGCAGAGGAGGAGAGAGGCCGCCCAGAGCCTCAAGAGTCTCCGGCCGGAGAACTGCATCAAGGCGCTCACTGTCCGCATAGATCCAGGTACATGTCGCCTTCACGAACAGTCGGAATGTGCAGTTTCACCCAAGATCCCAGTCATCCAATGTCGTTTTAAGAAATCCAAAGTTTCCTGCTCGGAGTTGTTTGACTTCTGTTAAAGTTGTCATTCAGTTTAAACTTTTTAAAAGCAGTTAGGAGCCATAAAAACAAAATTCTCCACCAGGCGTCCTGTTCGCTGGCACGTTCCACAGTAGTCTGAGAGGGAGTGCACAAAGTTGGACCACATGAAGTTTTGTGTGTGCAGCTCTTTTACAGCAGAATGGCTCAGACTTCCTGCTGGACACTCTGGCAGAGCTGGACTGGAAGTTTCACATTGAGAGTCAACAGCTGGCTCACAGCATCACCTGGAGCAGGGACCCCCCTCAGGTAAGCAGCTCCCACTTCTCCTCAAAGCTCCGCTGTGCTGTAAAAGTCCACATGCACTGTTTGGAAAGTAACTTAATTGCAGCTTGTTTGTTTACTTATCCCTTCTGAATGTGATCTTTTTACCTCAGCAGGGCGACGGAGGCCAGGTCACCGTGCAGGAGGAGCAAGTGCTGGTGGTCCTGACGCTGTCTGACTTCATGGATGTCGTGATATCAGTGAAAAAAGTCAGGAGAATTTTTGAGCCTGATGTAACAAAATATGCAATGATTTTTTGGCTTTGCTTCGTAACAAGAGTTTCATGTAATGATGCTGTGCTGCAGATGCTGGACAGTGAAGAGCTGGAGGAAGGGATGGGGGCTGTCCTGAATCCTCTTCTGGAGCTTCGGAATCGAGATGCCAAGAAGTTGGTCAGTCTGTTGGTAACAGACTGTGAGCCTGATCCCAGGTCTGTGTGTCAGTCAGTGTTCTATAAATAGGTTTTCATTTAGTTGAGATTTGTTTTCTCTGGATTCCAATCACGACTTCACAATTTTTTTCCTTGAGCTTTGAATTAGTCTTCATATAAAGACATTGTTATTAGTGGCACATATGCTGTTTTACAGTGATAAAACATTGATTCTGTGCCTTTCAGGACAAATCATTTACCAGAACAGCTGCTTCAATCCAGACTGGGGCTGGCAAATGTGGACATTCAAGAGGTCAGTTTAAAGTAAATCCAGCCCCCCATGCTCAGAAATTTGTAGGATTTTAGAGTGTTGATGGGTTCTTTCTTCTATAAATGAAACCCTCCTGTTCACTTTAGGTGCTCGTGTACCTCCAGCTCTACAAAAACATCTCATTGGTGTTCTTGGCAGGCTGGCAGGATGTCACTGACCACGTGTGTGCCGTCACAAAGGCTTTGTCAAAACGCCCTTTCAAGTATGCACCCGGTTCAGTTTGTTTATCAGTTCTCCCACCATTCATGTCCTCAATAAGCCCACTTTCTGGTCTAAGGGTAGAAACAAAGTAGTGTTGTGTTTACCTGCCCCCTGCAGACTCCTAACAGAGCGGTCAGAGCTGCCCTTCTGCGTGGACGGCTCCTGGGCCAGCGGGGCTCGGGCGGAGAGGGACGGCTCGGGGCTGATCCAGGTGTGGAGCCGGCAGATCCAGCAGCTGAACCGGGTCAGCGCCGCCGCGGCCTCGGCCGTCACCGCCTCCTACCGGTCACCCCAGCTGCTGCTGCAGGTAGAGCCCGCCCCACACCGGCCGCCCACAGAGTCCTGCACTGACCAACCAACTGATGATGATGAACATGTTGTTTAAAGGCTTACCAAAACTCGGGATCGGAGGAGGAGAAGAAGGGCATGTTGGCCGGCCTTCCGGTGAAAAGCGGCGGCAAAGAGAGGCGTATTGGTCCAGAGATATCAGCCAGAATCTACCGCTGCCTCACAGCCCACAACCCTCAGCTGGTGCTGGACTAATGTGTTTACAGAAATGTGAGCTATAGATGTTGCCGAGGGAGAAATCTGCTTTGTAATTACAAGGATGTGGATGTTATTTATACAGATTTATACGTTTATTTATTAGTTAGTTATATAATAAAATGGTTGCTTTGTTTAAAAAGATATACGTTTATATAAATAATGTGAGTGACTTGAAAAACAGATCATATTTTTCTGCATTATCGACACATAAAGAACAGCTGGAAAAGGGACTTTCTGTAAGTTTTCTTTTTCAAATTTATTTTACAGAATATCACAAGTAAGAAATTCATAATCAAACCATAGCTGTAAATAGAAAAACACTGCTGAGCAGCAAATTCATATGAAACCAGTAACACAAACACAGCTGATATCAGGCCAAAGAGTGATTACAAAATATGGACAAAGTCTGTTTTGGAGCATAAAAAACTGCCCCTGTCTTCCCCGGAGTCTATCCCTGAGAATATATTAGTCAGATGTTTATTCTTTTCTTTTCTTTATCTGCTTTAGAAGCAGAGGAGTGACTGGAAATGCTTAACGATCAAAGACAATAAAAATCATAGTACTCATAACCCTTATCAGCTGAACAACAGAGAGCCGCTCAGATGGAGGACACCGGATCAGAGGAGCCCTACAGGTCTCACGTTACATTGTTTTTCCTCTCCATTCGAGTTGTTTGGATAACATACTCATCCACTCAAATGCTGATTAGAGAGGAGGTTGCTCCTATCCCCGCACCGATAAGAGGACACACACTGGTGGGAGTGTTTTCCCCAAACACTTTTCAAGTATCTGAGCAACCGGGTCATGTCCAGCGACATCTTTTGCACTGGTAATCCTCCGGCTCCGAGCAGCAGCTGTCGTTGTCGCTGCTCGGGGGGGTCGGAGGACAGTGGCAAGCGGTGGAGTGAGTCTGAGCCGGGGCGTGGCAGGGGCGGAGGTACGGGGCCGTTTCGGGGCAGGGGATGGGGGTGGGCGGGGGGCTGGGGCTGGAGGACAGGCTCATCTGGTCGGGGGCGGTCTCGGGCGAAGGGTCCTGCTCCTGCTCCTGCTCCGGGGGCTCGGGGCTAACGCCGCCGCTACTGCTGCTATTGCTGAGGGAGAAGACCCAGCCCAGCCGCGTCTGCAGCAGGGGCCGCAGGCCGGGGGGCAGCTGCAGGGCCTCCACCACGTCCGGGCAGCAGGAGGGCAGCATGCGGCGCAGCTGGGCGCAGCAGAGGTAGGTGAGGGAGGTGGGCGCGTAGCAGGCGCGGATCACCTTCATGCTGCTCTTGGCCGCCGTGGAGCACACCATGGGGTAGAGCTTCTTGTTCTGCAGCCGGGTGGCAGCCACGCCTGTTCACGGCAGAAGATGGAGATACTTTAGATTTTTTTCTTAAATAAAACGACTGCAATGCTGATCAAAGAAGGCAATAAAAGGGAGGAAAACACACCGATGCGTTGGCGATTCTTGTAGAAGGTCAGGGTGCCGTGCCACGTGTCCAGGTGCACGCCTATGATAGAGCCTTCCCCGAAACGAGAGGAGAACTTCACCTTGTCTCCTTTGTGCTGGAGCAGACCTTAAAACCCATAAGATAGTTTGCATCAATGACTTATTATTCACTAACTAAGGGGGGAAATGTTTTTAAAGACCATCTCTTACCTGTGTAGGAGAGCCCCCAGCTGTCCTCATCATTGCCCAGCAGGCTGCCAAAGCTGTATTTGAACTTGTCCAGGTTCACCTCTGAAGTACCAATCCCCACCATCTTCACCAAAAAATAAATAAATAAACAGGGCACAAAAGAAGACATCAATTATCACAGCAGCCTCTGTTGATGATTGTTTGAGTTTGAACATGTTCCAACTAACTCTCCTGTGGCCTCAGCGTAGATTAAAGATCTACTCACCATATCTGTGCCATAAACAGGAGAAGTCATCTTCACTTCCCAGTAGTGTTGGCCCTCTGAAAGTTCCTTATTGCCGCGAATGGCCGCCGTGCCACAGCTGTAATCCGAGTGAAAGGTCACCTTCCTGTTGTCGCAGCTGAGGAAGGATCCGGATGATTTACACTGCTCATCCCACGCCCAGTCAAAGACTGAAAAAACAGCAAGACACGTGTGAGGCAGCGGATCAGTTTGGATACTATACTTTCATATATATACATATATTTATATATATATATATGAACACATTTTTGATGGCTTCAGTAACTTTAACAAAAATCACAAAGGTGGGCACCAGCTTTCAGTTACATTACGTTATTCTCAACTTTATGAGGTTTTCAAATAAACAAAAAAACTATCCCATGGAAGAAGCTAAAGTTTCATTGGTAATGAGTGGAAAGGAGCTTCACTGGAGGCGAAATTGTTCAAGTTAGATGGAGAAAATTTGTTCTTGGATCGACCCTTCTGCTCATTAATCTCTGTGTTGTTCTAACTTTCTCTCTTACTGTTATTTATACTTTGATTTTAAGCATAATCCTATGTATAAATGCATTAATCAGTGTACATAGAGACATAGAAACATGAAACAGATTAAATCAAAATGAGAGGTCTGTACCTGATTTTACATAAAAATCATATATGTGGAGATGTCTGTGTCTCCCTACTTGTTTGGACAAGCAAGGGCACAATGTTACACAATGAATTAGTCAACAATGAGCTTTGTGTTCACGATGAAGACTTCTATGAAAACACTGTAACATGAACAGTATCAATGAGCTATTTAAATGTTGGTTTAGCCTGTTAAAAAAAAATCGATGCGCTCAAGCCAAAAGGAAAGAGCATATTCTAAATCTGTACTAAGACAGTGTAGTAATATCTGAAAATAGGACACTTGGTGAAAGAGATCTCTAAAGTACAAAGCTCATTTCCGTGTGCTTTAAATTCCACCTCAAACACAGGAGCATTGTGCACCATCTGCGTGTTCTTGTTCCACACGTGAGTAATGACAAACTGATATGCAATAAGCTCACTCAGCCACTGAGAGTCCGTACAAAATACCGCCATCGTATCATCAGAGGACATTTATATTGAATCCATCTGTGTTCTCCCAGCGTTTTCGCAGCTTTCAGGAGCTTTGACTCACCCTGCTCCTCCTCCCCGCAGAGACAGTCGCTGGTGGCACGGAAACCTGGGCTGAGCTCCTCCTGCTGCTCGCATTGACAGAAAGACTCCCCCATGACTGGAGCTATGGTGGACAAGGCCACCGCTGCGGTGTGGGATCCTGTCAGGTAGTCCACCTCCGACTCCAAGCTGCTGATCTGGTTGGCACAAACGGCATAAGCGGGACTCCGTGAGTCCACGGATGAAGCCATGCTCCACGGGCGCTGGCTCGCTGGGTGGTAAAGGAATTTGTTCTAGCAGAGGAGCCCCAGGGCTGCGCTCAACATTTCTACAATTCCTCTGACAACTGCGAGACCTTCGTATCTCTGCTACCAGCCACCGAAAGCTGTACGTCTTTGATAGGGTGTGAACAATGCGGCTGCAATCCAGTCTGCTTTTCAAATATCACAATGTCAACTCTTTAGTCATTCAGCAAAGTTTTTAAAGACTCGTCCAGCGTGTCTCATCCCTAAAAGGTTTGTGTTTCCTATTGGTGTAAAAGAAGTCATGTGTGCTGGCAAGTAAAATTAGAAGCCCCCCAAAAATACTGGACCTCCTCTGATTGCCTTTGGAGCCATGTCAGACAGAAGCCAGCCTCAGTGGAAAAGTACCCGTAGTCAGGTTGGAATGTCATGTTTCATGTGGTGATGCTTTCTATTTTATTGTGTTATTAATACAAATTATGCTAATACTGGATTAAGCTAATGGTCCAGCCACAAACATTTGTTTCATCTGACCTTTCCGGCGCTCCCATGCCTTCTGGTTTTCACATCATCATGTGTCTCCACTTAACTAGTCATGTTTATGACATTTTCATCCCCTCGTATTCCCGCATAAAACCGCAGCATCTAACCTGTGTCGCCGTTTGTCTCTCCTGCTCTTCTTTGTCAGACGTCTGGACCGAGGCCATGACATCTGCTTCCTGCCGTGTTTCAATGTAGGCCAAATGTCGAGCTCGGCCGCTCCTGCTTCTTCTCAGCATGGCAACTCTGCAGACAGACAACCCAGGGCCCGATGACCAGCTGGAACACGTGTAGGAGGCCATGCTGTTTGCTTTTTTATTTATTCATGACTAGTAAAATCAGTGTAAATCTATTTTCTTGAATTATTTGAATATGTTTTTAACCAAAAATATATTGAAAATACAGTTGTATTCAAGGAGAATGGATTAAATGATTTGATCAGAATCAATCAAATGCAGATTTCAACTCAGCCTTACAGTAAAATCTAACTAATTAAAGCAATAAGCTTTGAAGAGCTGTGAACTAGTTGAAAATCTCTTTCTGTTTTTCCAGATGTCTTACAAACCTGCCAGAGAAGTAGGTCAGTTCAACAATCTGTTCAGTGTTCCCTTAACCTTTCTTCCCCGCTCTCTCAGCATAATGCCCTCATGACGAAACGTTCCTCACAACCTACAGATTTATCTTTGTGTGCTGCTCCTATTTCTATAAGTCCCCATATGTCACACTTGGCAGGAGGAAGTGCTTCTACGCACGTGCTAAACCTTAAAACCTGACCTCAGCTTTGCCACTGTGGCAGCATGTCTGTTTGCTACAGCAGCTGCCTAAGAAGGTCACCTGACTCAAATATGTGAACACAAAAGAAAAAAACTAATAAACTTATCAATGTGTAAATCCCATCCCATATCTGCATTCATTTTGACAGAAAATGATGGGTTTAATTATTTTTTATTCCTTAACTCAAGTAGATATGAGCGCCAAATATAGCTGAACTGCCGTTATTGTGACAAAGAGAAAGACAACAACTAATTGGTACATTCTTAGATCGATATGTTTGGTAAGTTAGATACTTCATCCCATCTTTGTTAATCTCAAAAACAAAAAGTAACTGCTGATTTCCTTCAGTAAAAGAGCAGGTTTGCAAAGACGAAATCCTATATTCTTCGACCTGTTTACCACTTTAAAAGTAATCAGTGCAATCAATAGTTTGCCCTACAGCATTCTGCATTTCTTAAAAGGCACTTTAAGAGTCTATCAGTCACAGGACTGATAGACAAAACAGACGGAGAAAAACAAATGAAAGATAAAAAGCTTTTTCCCCCAGAATACACTTTTATTCTCACTCTCCTATCAAAGGTAGAATAGACGTCAGTGCAACAATAACCTGTATATGAAAAAACACAACTGGAGAAGTCCTGCTCCTTGCTCTGTGGCATGTGTCTGCCCAGTTAATGCCGGCACTGAAGGCAGCAGCTGGTTGCTGCTTTGCAACCAGGTGCTACGGATGATGCCCATGAATTTAGATTAGTTAGTCTACAGCAGTTCTCAGTTTAATTAGTCCTTACCCTACATACTGTGAATGCATCACCTGGTGGTCTGAGCAGGAACAAACCACATAACCTCAGTGAGCCAGTGTGCTGATGGATGACACATGAATTCAGTCCAGTCTGTTGCATGCTCCGGCATCTCATTCATTTATAAGGCCATCATAATGAATATACTTTTAGAATTATCATTAATTAATAATGAGGATATATTAATGACATAATCCACTGAGAACATAAAACTCCATAAAGTAATCACACAGCCAGTAACATAGTTCATTCATCCTAAAAAAATATGAAACACAATATAAGTATGTCTTCCGGAAGAATTCTTACCTTGCAGTGGTCTTCCTGTACACTGTCTTGCAATGGCTCATCTGACCGCCAGCATGCCGCTCAGCCAGCCTGTGTGACGGCTCCAGTTTCCACTCTGTCCCACTTCTAAACAGGATAGAAGTAAACACAACTACGTCACGCTCACAACGAGCTCCCATTGGATGCTGCTCGAAAGGAGGAGTTGGCGTTAATACGCTTGGTTACGTATGACGGGAGTTGCTGTGACGTTAAAACATTAAACAGATAAAAATTTATATGAGACGTAAAATTTCTTTAAAAAAACAAACATCTAGGAGAATACAGTTTTTAGTCATTCAGAGGATTGCTGTCCTCGAAAAACGTTCCTATTTCTAGCAACGCACCAATTCACGTCCCTGCAGCTGATTGGTTTCAGTTGTCAAAGAGGCGGGACCTGGAGCGTCACAACCCGGAAGTAGCTGTCCACATACGCGTGTGTTAGTCGCAGTTCCAAATCTGAAATGGATGAAAGTAATGGTAAGGGGAAACGACCGGTCCAAAGAAAAAGAGCAACAGATTACACATTTCTGGCTTTTTATTCACTCTTACATTAGCTGAAACCCTCATTGTTTAAAATGACAGCTGAACAGTGAATTTCGCGAACTTGTTAGCACAAGTTAGCTGAACTCTGCACATAGTTTGATCATATTCAGCACTACCACTGGTTTAAAGTTAAGACCTGACGAAATAGTCACAAATAAAATGAGAAGTTACTGTTAGAACATAGATCTTACGTCATGTTCGGTTATGTAAAGTTGAAATATCCTGTTCTGGACCTCTGGATGTGAGACCCCATTCAATAATAACTGCGACATGTCTGTTACATTAAAAGAAAAATAAAAAAAAGTAATTTGCTTGCATTTCAGTTTCAGTCTGTAAATAAACTATTTTTTCCTCTTCTTCTTTTCATGTGAGATGGGAGTTTGTCCCAGGTCAAGCACGTTGTGCTGGTTCTGTCTGGGAAAGGAGGCGTGGGGAAGAGCACCATCACCACTGAGCTGGCTCTGGCTCTGAGGCACTCCGGCAAGAAGGTGAGCGGCCACAGCCTCTGTGGGCTCGCCCTCTGTTTCCCTCCCTGCCTCAGGCAGAGCCAGCGGTTAACAACCCTCTGTGGCCCACAGGTGGGGGTCCTGGATGTGGACCTGTGTGGGCCCAGTATCCCCCGCATGCTGAGCGTGGGCCGGCCGGACGTCCACCAGTGTGACTCAGGGTGGGTCCCGGTCTACACCGACGCCCAGAAGACTCTGGCCCTGATGTCCATCGGTTTTCTACTGGACGACCCGGACGACGCAGTAGTGTGGAGGGGGCCCAAGAAAACAGGTACCGCATACAACCGGAGATGTAAAATGTCAAATAAATAAGGCTTTGGAATGTTTACTTCCCTTTTCATATCTTTTATTCAGTTTTTGTGCAGTCTGAGATTCTATAATGGAGCAATCTAAAATACAATGAATGGATTGTTAGTTTAAAAAGGCTAGCTTGGTCAGGCGCAGATATAACAGCTGCTGTGAAATATGCTCTCCCTTTCTTTTTGAGCTCTCCATTTTTCTGTCCCACAGCTTTAATCGGGCAGTTTGTGTCAGACGTGGCGTGGGGGGAGCTGGACGTGCTGCTGGTGGACACGCCTCCGGGGACGTCAGACGAGCATTTGGCCGTGCTGGAAAACCTAAAAAAACATCGAGTGGATGGAGCCATCTTGGTCACCACACCTCAGGTAAACATCAGTATAGAGTCAGAAAGTATAGGTGTGGAATGGGAGGTGGCCCAGCGTTGTGGGGGTCATGATGGCAAACCTTTACCTGTAAGCTGAGTTATTCAGTGACATGAAAGAGGAAATGAATCAGTGGTTGTTGTTTTTTGTTTTCATTGCTGTTATCTGGACACATGAGAAGCTGCTGGAATTAACAGATAAAGTTAGGTTGGACACTTTGGGCTGAGTTCTGTCTCGTGCCGGCTACAGGCAGTCTCGACGGGGGACGTGAGGAGAGAAATCACTTTCTGTAAGAGGACCGGTGTTCGGATACTGGGCATCGTGGAGAACATGAGCGGCTTCGTGTGCCCACACTGCTCTGTGAGTACCCTTTACAGGCATCCTACCGAAATCCCCTGTCACACTTTGAATGAAAAAATAACTGAAGCTTGTTATAAAGTTCATAGGAGTCTGGTTCCATCTTTTTCTAAAGAAACTCCACTGTCACTGTGCTTCAGGAATGCAGCAATATATTCTCGAAGGGCGGCGGAGAGGAGCTGGCTAAACTGACCGGATCGGAGTTCCTGGGTGAGACTGAATGAATTGAGCCGTTTGCAGTACCCTCCTGCGGCCACAAGGTGTCGCAGTGATTCGCCTGTCAGCCTTCATTACTGTGGATGCATTTGCGTCACGAGCCTGCTGCTAAAATGGCTGTTCCGGAGTCTGCTCTAAGCAGGGCGTGCGTCGTTGGAGGAGGGGAGGCGCCTTAATCAATGACTCCTAATCAAATGGATTGGTTTCCCTCAGTGGTTACAGGCTTTGTGTGTAGATCAATCTCCTGAGTAATGATGTGGATAGTTCACCCCCCCTCCCCCTTTGCAGTGACAGACCAGCTCTTTCTGTCTGTGATGCACAATTTCAGCTATTTTGGGAGGGAATTAGTTTAATAATCCTGAAAACGTTTGATATTCACCACGTATCTAATATGATAATGAAGTAAGAGGTGGTGACATTAATTAGCTTTGTCTCGTTTCAGGCTGTGTGCCCTTGGATCCTCTGCTCAGTGCCAGCATAGAGGAGGGCAAAGACTTCACACAGTCATTTCCTGACAGCGCAACCTTCAGTGCCATCAGCAGCATCTTGCACACGCTGCTCAAAAGCCTGGAGACAGACTGAGATTATCTTCAATCACGGCAGCACATTTCTTCATTGTTTTCCACAGACAGATTTATGTGTAGAGAGAATAGAAGTGTACCAGTTGTGTTCACGCTGTGTCAGAACCTGCTCAGAGAACAGCCTCTGAGTGCAGCCCTGCTTTAACTGCTGCTTCTGCAGGTTTTTCTCTGTCGGCGTGACGACTGCCGGCCCTCGCCGCAGAATAAAACATGAAAGCGAGACACGTTTTCTTTTTTCGGTTATTGAAGTATGCAGGAAATGCATTTTGTGTTTAGAAGTCAGTCAGAATTAAGTTGGAATTTTCTTTAATTGTGAAAATGTTCAAGTTGACACATTAGGATAACTTCAATACCAGAGCTGATACATGATTGGAGACTTTAGCTGCAGTAAAGATGCATCAGCAGAAGGTCCATTTCCAGAAAACAAACTCCAGAGCCAATTTAGTCCATTCCCTGATTAAAAATGCATCCAGCCGTTGCTGCCTGCTCCAAAGAAAGCCTTTTCCTAATTTGAACCAATACTTATTCTTGACATGAAAGGCTCTTCTTAATCTGGAGTAAATTTTCTGAAACTAGCCTGCTATGCAGGTTCGTTTTCCAACAGCAATACACACTGAACCTCATGCGGGAATTTAAACGGCTGAAAGGAGAAAGTACGGCAACAGATGAGACGGGAGGGAGTGAACAAGATGGAGAGATGAAGTGTGGAAATTACACCTGTGACACCCGGCACGGGGCACACACAACTTTAATGCAAACAGCAGTACTACAGGGAAAAACACTGAAGTTTGGAAATGTTTGCGTAATGTTTAGAATACAGCTACGCACAAAACTCCCACTCCACCAGCAACTTACTAAAGGCAATCTTAATCAGACCAAGAATTACATCCAGAGGAATTCCAACCACTTATCACAAGAAACCCACAGTGCATTAAATCTATCTATATAGATATTTATATGTCTGTATATATTTATATGTAAATATCCTGCACAATTAGACTTTTGCTGCATTTAACAGTTCAAAGAACAATTTCTTATAAATAAAATCAGTGGAAAAAAAAAAATCTTAAGTCCATACACATTTCTTCTTTACAAATAGATCCTCAAAATTAATTCAGAAACTCTAATCAACTCCCAAATTGATATGAGAGGAGAAGAAAAGATGTGTGGCCCTTTGGTCAGCTCTCTAAGACCAGAGCCCGAGCTGTCAGCTGGCCTCAAATTAGCGGAGGGAAAAATAGGACTCGTACAATTTATTATTTTTTAAACACACGCACACACACTCACATACAAGACAGACAGGTCACTACATTGCGCATTTACAGGTTGACTATCAAACTGGGACGACCGTACACATTTGAGATAAGACCGTGTTTGTGGAGCCATTTTAATGATTTTTTCCCCCCCACCTTAACTTCTTTCATCTTGCATGGCAGAAATTTCTCTTATTTTTACCCCCCATTTTACACTTTTTCTCCAGCAGCAACACAAAGAACTGATCTTGTAGTGGAGATGTTTGGGTTTCTTTTTATTTTGTGGAAAGAATAAGGGCAACGATCAGCCCGTAGAGACCCAGGACCTCAGCAAAAATCAAGATAAGGATCATGCCCACAAAAAGCCTGGGCTGCTGAGCTGTGCCCCTCACGCCCGCGTCGCCAACAATGCCGATAGCAAAGCCTGCCGCCAGCCCACTGAGGCCCACGCTCAGCCCCGCTCCCAGGTGGAGGAAACTCCTGCACAGAGAGATGTGTGTTAGTCTGCGTTATCAGCTGCTCTCGCTTATTATTTCAGGCTGCTAATTGGCCATGTAGAGGAGAGTATCCCTAATATTTTTCACAGGTGCTGTGTTAAACATGCATGGATGTAATGAGTACCCACATAAACAGAAAAAGCCGTCCACAGAGCACGATTTTGTGAACATCAGAGCAGTGAATCAGTACTTTCTTACGTACTCTGTGACACACATGCTGACTAATGAAGGCATCTAAAAAGGTCCAGAAGGTCTTTTATAATGATCGCGTCAGGAGGCATGACCCCATTGGAATTGCCTGCATACTGAATAAATATTGCAATAATCTCCCTCTGGTATTTTCAAAGCAGTCAAATCTCAGCTTCTTCCACAAAATACTTTCAAACTCAGAGCAGGTAAGTCCTTTTATTAAGCTTTTTTTCTAAATATGAAAATTAGTGTTGAACTCTATTAATGGCATGTAACATTGATTTGACTAGCATTACTAAGAATCCTTTAATCTGTTCAGTACAGGTGGAGCCCTTTCTGTTGGGAGTATTTGGCCCATATTTCAGATCAAAGAACTTTAAAGCTGGTTGAATACAACTTCTCTACAAACAAATGATCATAAATCCTAATACGTTAAGTCTGACACATCTAGTGAATTAACATCACTCTCTGAAGCACAAAGATTACATTTCCTTTTTTGTTATTTACTGTTAAGCCCAACTGGTTTATGGTCACATCTGTTTGAAGAGGGCAGATTCAAAATCTAAAATGGTTGTAAACAAGTTTATTTATCTCTGCATTCTACAGTAGATATAATGTACCAACACATGTAACTGCATAATTCTGCAGAGGCCAGAAAAGTGATCACTTAATAATGTTATAAGTCTGTAACACATCTCTACAAAATCATCACAAAACTACTCCGGTGTCCATCAAGTGCCATTATTTGTGAACTGAATGCCTGTATGATTTGTATAAAAACTAGATATACAGAAAATGTCCAGAATAACCATCACTAATGACTCAGTAGCTTTCTAATCAGAGGAACATTTCTCATCTGAACTATAACTTGTACAAAAAGGAAATATTTCCAAAATGTGTGGTGATGTGATAAGCCTGACAGTTACTGCTTCATCACAGAAAACTGGACAAGCAGAATCAAAGTAAGGGTCAGTTTAAAACTGATCTCACGTGCTGACTTAATAAGACCGTTTTTTGGGGTGATTATTAGGGTGGGCTAGAAAACCTTCAACAGAGAAAAAGGTGTTATATGATTCTTTGTTGAACCTTACTTGAAAAGGGTGATCCTCTCTGAGATGTTGTTGGCAATCAGCACTGCTACTACCAGGCCGTAGATGGCTATGATACCCGCCATGACCACGGGGATAATTGACTTCATGATGAGCTCCGGCCTCATCACAGACATGGCAGCAATACCCGTGCCACTCTTCGCTGTGCCATAGGCAGCTCCCAGGGCTGGAGGGAAAAGACGTAGGATGTTGAATACAGAGGACAAAAAACTGGAGCCCACAAATACACAAAAGTCACAGCTGAACCATGAAGCAGAAGTGAAACAACCAATGAAGCAGCAATTGTAAAAGGTTCTGTTCCTCAAAAAGAAACAATTCCAACATATCTCCACTATGGGATTTTTCTCCTCTGTGGAAATATGCTTATGAGACTGGTGTTATGTTTTAATTTCCATTTAAAACAAATAGTTTGTCTTCAGAATTCAGGGAATTGGTCACAAAGACACAGCTGGGAACAGGTATTTCACACACCTACAACACATGATGCTAGTCTCAGGCCAGAATCAGTGTAGCAGAGGAAGACAACAAAGGGCTTAATCAGCAAGCTTAGCCCTGTCCTGTCAGTCTATGACAGATTAGAAAACACAAGCCTGATGGCAGGAGCAGGGGGAAAGAGAAAAAACAATCATCCCACATCCAAAACTAAAATACAGAACGTCAACCATCTACAAACAATTTGTTAGAGTCATTGTGTCATGTGAAATATCTAACAGAACCGTGAATCAAAGAAAGGCAGGTTTGACAAGATGTCCTATTATTGAAATACATTTGTAAGTGTCAGGTTATCATCATTGTCCACACACTTTAGTCATTTTGTGCAACTCCAATAACTGAATGCAAATTTGTGTGGACACTGGACACATATGGTGAATTTACAATTCATCTATTAATTTCTTTCAAGAGTCAACTCATATTCCAGTCTAACCAGCACAAGCAACCAATGTAGGGAAAAGCCTACAGAAAGCACAATAATGTTATGTAGTATATTTACGTGATGTATGGTGGATTGGTGAATTAATGTTAGTGCCTGGCAAGGTCATTTTTTAGGCTCTTTGTAGCCAACACAGTGATGATGTATTTTGTAATTCCAAATATCAGCTTGGGCTCAAGCCTTCCGTGTATAGCCATCGGTGTTTGCATTTTGTTCCTCCTCTTTTGTGCTAAATTATTCTGGTAGTTAAAACTAACTAGAAGACTGTTGATTGATTTAAAGGCAGAAAGGAACTTCCAATGCGCACATGGCACAGAGCTATTTTGCTTTCCTCTTCCAATAATTAATCATTAGACTGATGCCATCCGTGCAGGTGAAGTCACTCCTGCCCATAAAGAGATTTGTTTAAGTGCACGTGGACAGCGTTTCTGCAAACCCTCACAAAAGCACAGGAAGGACACTTATTTTTGTGGAACTGCCACCCCATCTGCCAGTTACATAGTTGCATAGAAACATTTATATAAAAAGGAGAACGTTTCATTTGTCTTTGCTTTTAGAAAAAAAATGTATTAAAAGAAAATGTATCATGTCACTATCGGTAATGCCATAATGCCATCCATTATTGCTGCAAGGGCTTGGCCTCACTGAGATGAGACAGGCATAAGATAATAAAAAAGAGAAACCGACATCCTTAAACACTGACATTCTGTTCTGACGATTAAAGGTTTGATTTGTTGCAGTCTGATATCTGCAGCGGTGTTCGGGCAGAACCTCTGGGTTTTAATCCTAATCCCCTCAGCTTAGGTAAAGAGCTTTCCCCTCACTCTTTTTCCCTGTAGAATATTTCATATATGGGATGCCCCATGACGTCTTGTGATGTCAGAGCAGGAGACGCCTCAAGCAAGCGATGATCTTGCATGCTAAAGACCCATGAAGCAGAAAACAGATTTAACTGCTCTGCATCATGGGTAACTAGGGAAACACTAGTTTTAAGGAAGATACATTATAAGGACAGTATGGGGGAAACAGATTGTAGTTATAAACCAACTCATTACTCTTTCAAAACTACATTCTAGTTGTTGACAGAAATAGAGCCGTTTGCAGACATTGAGTCTAAGACAGTTAAGGAGCATAAAAGTAAAATACCTTACCATCAATAAGTGTATCTTCAACCAAGAGTGACATATATGCGACTAAAACATCAATACCTAAGAATAGTTTTGTATATCCACTAAGAAGAAAAAGTTTCTCTGCAGGGACTCGTAAGAAATACACATAAAACAGCTACACGTGGAACTGAAAAGATCATTCACTATATATAAAAAGTCCCACAGCTCCACAGGCTGGAGCTCTGTAATAAAGTGGAAACCGTATCAGTAAACAAAGAAAAAGGGAGACGCAGCAAACATAATCTGGGGTTTACCTCATATGACACCTTGTGGGTGTCACCTGTTCAAGGCCAAGGGTCATCAAAAGGAGTTCTCACAACTAGGAACCAAATAAGAACCTTTTTCCACACAAATCAGTACAAGATTCTCCTGCCATTCTCACATGATCAAAACAGTGACATTTCAAGCTCTTGTTAACGCAGTAATGAAATTACCTGTGAATAACTCAAAAACCATTTGACAGACTTTGAAGTGAAACCACAGCCTCCTGCCCCATGTGCATCACTTTAGCTGACAGGAAACAGTGACGTGTACTTCTTACATGTCAATGAAACCCCAATACACTGTCTTATTACTCAAGTTGAATCATTTATTTAGCGTTGCCGTTTATCCCACCAGTAACATGGCTAGCATGATTACCTTCCTACCGGCTAATTCCCCAGCTGTCACTCTTTTACCATCAAAGACTAGCACTGCTGCTAGTCTTATCTGGCACCCCAACCATGCAACAATTTCCCACTACCACATAGTAAACTCATTTAAATCACAAGGGAAGGGATGGCTTTAGCATCCTACAACCAAAAATATTCATGCATCATGAATATTCTTTCCAACTTTAATGACTACTGCCATTAGGTCTTCAGTACTTCAGATGTAAGAAATCAAAAGAAATTGTAGCTTGTCAGAGGTTCCTTTACCACAGCTGGTCATGTGTCGGCATATTTATGTACAATGCTGTTATGCCATTTGATGTTGCTCCTCCATTGGATAAAAAAAGAACTAACTAAATGACAATCTGAGAAATAACACATTTAACAATTACAAAAGGGAAAAACTGGACCATGAGATATTAGAGCCGCTCAAATTTGAGAAAGAAAATATATATTTGCTGGTAAAGAATTTACAACAACTTAAGACTTCCAAGATGAAACTGGCATTTCTGAGAATCAGTAGCCAAATGGCAACTCCAAGTCAGACTTCTCATGTGATAATCATGTGACCTTGTGTCGTTCCTTTAAGCAATAAGGAAGTTAAACAGCTGACCACGGTTTCAAACCGACATACAAGTAAGAAAGAGCGTATTTCAAGAAAAGAAGACATGCAATGATTTACACTTTACACTTCTGATTTTACTAAATAGTTTCTGTAGTAATTAATTAATATATCTAAAAGGAAATGGCGTGAACCTAATTTTCAACCGGATATAACCGGTTGGTGATCCAAGTTGTACACATCTTCATCTAATAATTAACTTTCATCTTTATAGGATTCATGAAGTTGTGATGCGTCTTGTGTCTCAAACATGACAGTATAGGTTTACCGTCATGTAAACCTAGCCCGCTATTCTACTGAATGCAGTTAACGAGAAATATTAGAAATTGTTAATAGGATGACTTTATACAGTGCAAAACATTGAGCCATTAAGAATGATCCCCTTTTTATTTTGAAAGATGTAACCGTAGTTTGTTAAATAGGACGAGTTTCTGTCCTGCCCTTTAGCTTGAGATAAAGCACATTACCGAACAATGCTAACGTCCAGGCTAAATTGTGTAGCCGTAGTCAACCACTGTAAAAGCCTAAACTTGTTTTACTGGTAGGGGCAGCGGAATAAAGCATGGCAAAAAGTAAAATATCAATTAAGGAACATTAAAAGACTCATCTTAAATAGGAACCACAGGCACTCTGCCCAAGCTCAAACTAAATGCTTGAAAGCTCAAGATTAGCATTTAGCAAGGTTAGCATTTGCCTTCAAGCGAAGCACTACGGGTAATAAGTCACAGCTATTGAATGGTTTTCAAATCATGTTAAGAACTATTAAAAGGAATTGCAAAATACGTATCTGCCAATCAGCTAAAAACCTGAAGAAAATGGTGTGATACTTACCGCTAAACACCATTGCCGCAGAGGCACCCATCACTGCGAAGAACGGTGAGTATTCGGGGCTTTCGCTCGACATTCTGTCTCACACAAAAATGTATAAAAATAGAGTAAAAATACAAAACTAATTTTTACTGGTGAGGCAAAAATTGCACTTCACGGGAACCAAACGAAGGCCACAGACTTGGTCTCAAAGGAACGAGTAATACAAGAACTGTCTGAACGCCTAACTAACAGTGTAAACGGGACAGTCACGACTCTTCAGATAAATACCCGGCGCAGCAACACAAAATGGCGAAGCGGAAAGTATCACCTGACTAGCTGCACGGGCAAAACCTACTGTCCACTGGGTGAGGGGGGTGACGCTGAAAAAAATCGTATGATTAAATTGGTGTGCCGGTTCATAGCCGATACAAAAAACGGTGGTTTGAAAAATAAAACGTTACTTATTCCATTTCAAAATTGTGTTCACAATTCTTTTGGTTTTCTTGACATTTTTTGGAAGATCACCCCTGATGGACATTGCCTTGGTGTGCTCCGCTGCAGGCTTTCCCTCTGATATCTACGTATTCACCTTTTAGTGGCGGATGTAAGGCAGTAAGACAAATTAGGCGAGTTCATTTGAGAATGTTGTTCATTATATTCAAGCTTTCATTGTGAAAATCAAATAATGTACTTAATTTCTCTCAGATTATGTGGATGTTGTCCATTGAGCGGTGCAGATACAGACATTTCTATTGAAAGACATGTCCACAGTCTGCACCAGGACCACTGCTTTGCAGTCAGCTGTGAAATGCAGCAATGTGACATGTGAGACATTTTGAGTGTGCCTGTTTCTGATGGGTGTTGGGAGACCGAGAAACCCGCTGTCACACACCCTCTCACTGTTTAACTTGCAGCAAGAGCAAACTCAGAAGGGGAAAGGGGTCAAGACGGCCGTGACCCATAGGCTAGAAGGAGAAGAGTGAGCAGAACGTGTCTGTAGGAGTCTGAGCATGAGCAGTGCCTCCTCCCTCCATCCTTCCTTCCTCTCAGCTCCCTCTGCAGTGCTTGGTCAATTCATCTTTACCCTCCCCCAGTATTGCTGTGAAGCCCCATCACTCGTGACGTGCAGTCTCCACATGCATCACAGGCCTCTTTCCTCTCTCACAGTACACAGCCAACATTTCACAGGTTGCTGTGGCAGTATTCTGAATCCAGAAGGGAGCCTTTTCTGACACAGATGTGTGTGGTGATGCCCCGATTACGAAAAGGTCACAGTTAATGCATGTTCTTTTCCCCTTGCTCTCTTTCTGTGATGACTGACTGAATATAATAAATTAAAAGCTGAAAAGGCCCACCTTTTGTGACTGGATTACTGGTTTGCTTAATAAGGATTCACACACAGCAGCAGTGTGCAGTTCGCTCCCAGTAATAGGATAGCTCATACATCTATGCATTGTCGCCTCTTGTTTGTTTTGGGTGAATCCCCTTGTCCTTGAGCTGTGATAATCATTTGATTGCAACTAGAGGGTATGAATACACCATATTTTCATGGATAAGGCTGTCAAAAGATGGGAAAATAAGGAAGTATTAGAGATCTTCAGTACAAGGCTCCTGATTGCTGATATGGTATATACCAAATGTCTGACAGACATGTATGCTGTCACTGGATTTGAAATCTTTCACTTGTTTCAAGTTATGTGAAACTGATCAAACTAAGATTTATGATGATCTAGAGTCCTTTGTAATGTTTATCTAACACAAGCAGAGTTAACTCTCATGCTTTATTTGTTTGAAGTGTTTGTTTTTTAAGTCAAGTTTGAAAAATCCCAGAAAAAAAAAAGAATGCCATATGACATTAACCTCAGAGTATAGCAGGAGCAGTGGCCATCCAGTTTAAATAAGAGCAATATATGTCAGGACCTCCTAAATCTGCTCGTTAATCCCTTATCCTCAACCTGTCTCTTCCTCCCACACCCCGTGGGCGTGGGCAGGCAAGGAAAGACCCATCTCAGTGTTGGGTTAAACACTTAAGCATCTTATTCGTCAAGGCAGGAAAGCACGGTTTTCAGGAGATGTGCCAGACCAACACCCAAAGGAGCAGCTAAATATAGCATTGCATGTGCGATTAGCGGAATGCAAATCCTGAATGAATGGCACCGCCTTCGAAGAGTCAGTGTCTTTGACTGTAAAGAAGGATTTACAACATCACTTTACTATTTGAGCTACACTACCTTTAGATGCATTAGGCTGAAGCACATCATCTTTAAATGAATTGGCCATACATTTTCAGAAGTAATAATGCACTGGCATTGAATACTGAGAGTTGCTTTCAGCATCGAGTGTTTCCATGCATTTATTAAAGTGTCTGAGGGAAATAAAAAGGAGGTGCATCAGTTGCTGTAGCTGAGAATATCATATTGCACTAAAAGATCCTGTGCGGTTGGCTCATTGTTTTTAAACTCAATTGCTATTCAAATTCTGCACCACTTCCCACAATTTGGGAAAAGCTTTAAAGAATCAATGTGTCATAATATTTGACTCATGTCTGCAAACATTTTCCAGTCAGGCAGTTTGTTGTCAGCTTCCACAAAGTAGAAATCTAAATAAAAATAGAGAACGTGCCTGAACGAGTATGTCTGAGTAACTCACTAGTCACATGGCTTAGATAGTGACCCAAGGGTATAAAATACATACTTTCAAGATCTGACTTTTCAAAAATTGTTAAGACAATAAAACGGAACAAAAAAGATCTGAAGATACTTTTGAAACTGATGAAGGAAATAAAAGAAGTTGTGGGAGCTGCTTTTACAGTGGCATCTGGCAGACTTCTGTGACCATGTGAAGGAATTCAAATCTGTTTACGAGTGCACTGTAGGGATGAATTTGGAAGTAACCAAACAAGACTCATTTCCCAATAATGCTGTATTTTCACAAATGGGTTACATTTGCAGTCAACTTACAATTCGTCTGAACACATACAAACTAGTACAAGTAAGATGTGGAATTTCAACAACACTTAGCCAGTTGGGCACCGTAGTGGACTTAGGAATCTCTTTGCACTGGAAAGGACGGCAGTAACATCAAAAGGGGACACATGAATGAAAGAATGTTCCAACTGCATTTGTTTCACTTGGTAACCATAAAACCTTTTTCTCTTTACTTTGAAAAGGTTTTCTTTGTTCTTCATTCTTAACCACATAACACCCAAATGATAAATGAATAAAGCTTTGATGCACGGTGCAAAAAACAAAACGTACATTTACATACCTTAACCCCAATTACTCATTTCTCCGATCTCACACTTGGTACATGATGAAAATCAAGAAGTGTGGGAAAGTGAGACAGCACTAACCCAATAAGTTGTGGCTGACTTGATACAACCTCACTTCACCATCGTCACGTTTCACATTTACCACACAAGGAAGGCTTCACTTCAACAAATGTTAGACACATAAGCTGAGCAACACAGGCTGATAAATATCATCACCAAAGGACTGCAGAGCAAGCTTTACTCTAAATTTGGCATATTGAGAGAACATAGCACAGAAATTAAACCAGCATGAATACTGTAATCTGGAACATTTCCGTTACTAATTACACATATTTAGGACACCATATTATCTTCAAATACAAAAATAAACAAAACAAACAAATATATCACATTTCTTCACATAGTTTCACATGATAGAATGCATTAATAAATAATATATCTTAAATGACTTTGTTGGACGGATCTTGTTCTATTCGCATCATTGTGTATTCAACCTTAAAAGATCATTTCAATTGTTGAAATGGCGTCCTATTGTTTCACTGTAATTTAATGAGATACGTTTCAACTGTCAAAAATGAATGTTTGACGTGTTCAGGTGTACACCATTATGAGGCCATGGCATCCTGGAAGCCCCACACCTCTAAGAGCGAGACCTGGAAGCTCTCAGTACACAGGGGTGGGTTGTCGAAGGTGGTGCACCTTCCAGTGCGCCCGTGATTCAGCTCAGAGTCGATGTACAAAGCGTTGCCCTCACCTCCCCCTATCACACATACCAAAGCAGAGTGTGTCAGTTACATGTTACAAAGGGGAAACAATTCATTTCTGTAAACTACATTTATCTAAAAATGATGAAAAACTTATATTAACAATTACTGTATATACATATACTCATCGAGTAAACCCCATGTTTAAAGAGTATCCATCTTCTATTGCCACCTAAAATGTGTGAAACTTATCAACGTTGTTATTATCCACTCACCAATGATAATGGAATCAAAGTTTCCAGCCATGAACATGGACGTATTCTTGGAGTTGAGATTGAAGTGGCGAGCAGAGAGAAACGGAGAGAGATGCCCAGCAGGCTTCTCCGGCTGTAAGCTGTTGTCTGCGTTTTGGGCCTCAGAAGACTCCGTGTCCTCCTGAGCCTCAGTCTTGATGGAGGAAGCCAACTCAGGGTGACGGATCACAACCCACTCGTAGCGCTCCATCTCTGGCTTTAGCTTTAAAGGGAGAACATAGACATAAGTGTAAGCTTTTAAGTATAAAAGGTGACAATGAAATAAGAAAACAACATTTTCTGTTTTCTAATGACTTTCAGGGCATACTGTTTGTACAGTATGATGTGGTTTCTTGACCATGATTCCCAAGAAATTAACTAAATATAATTCACTTTAAGGCACAGCATGTTTAAAGGATACATTTACAAAGATGTATTTCTAGTCAATTGTACCCATTCTTAAAAAATGATTGTGGGGACTGTCTTTTCATTATTTTCTGTTCTTAGTACATCTAAGAGACTTCAGTCTCTGACGTCTGTCCAATGTGTGTCAGAGGTGGTGTCAGGTGCAAGCCTGAACAGAGACTACTAGATCAGGTATCAGGAGTTTCCGACCTGGGTGCGCTCAAGTATTAGTGTTTGAGGCGACTGTGTTTTCTGGTGCCTAGGCTCAGACGTCCCACAGCTGTGCTCCAGCACAGACAGCCACATAAATCATTCATACAAAGGTATTAGAGCCTTCTGTACCGTGTTGGTAAAAAAGTAAAGCTAACTAGTGTCCCAGCACCAACAGAGGAGTGTAAGTTGAGGTTGCCTTTGTAGTGGAAAACAGACAAATGTCTGCTGGATTGTACTAAGCGGCCTTTTCCAGATGGGAGCGTGACATGCAATTTTGAGCTTATGACACTGAAATCAGGAGCATTGGAAAGCATGGAGTATGACACCCTCTGGTGGCTGGATTGGGGTACTACTAAAAAAAAACAAACCCTAATTAAAATAAAAAGATAACATAAACGAATAAAAACAAAAAGATTTGTTGTGATAGTGAAAATAAACTCACCCTGAAGACAAAACATTCCCCGGTGCCAAAGAAGCTTAATTTGTTGCCCCCTCTCTTTCGCTCCTCCCAGTCTGAGGACAGAAAGGCTCCACATACCTGGATAAATGTGAGCGGTAGCACGTTGAAATAAAGTGCGTTTGACTTAAACACAGTGACAATACCATTTAAAATATTTTCAAATGAATGCCAAGGAAGGGCTGCCGTTTCCAGTCATCCCCTATTAGCATTGTTTAACCAAGCTCGTCTTTGCTGAGGTCTAATCCAATTATACCACACCTAGTCACATGATGTTCTACACCGATTCATGAACACATGAACAAAAATAAAACCGAAGACAATTTCAGAGTCAGAAGGAAACAAGTTACATGGTTAAAGGATAACTAGATTCTGGGAGTTGCTCAGTTTAATATGTACGATGGATTTTACAGGCTGACACCATGTTTTTATATATCACAGCAACTGTACACCAACCAGGGACTAAAACCACATTTGTTAGTTATGAACAGTTCAAACAATGATCAGAAGGAAATATACTGATTACAGCTAAACTGAATATAAACATCTAACATATGTGATAAGCTCCAACGATGTCCCAAAGAAAATTCATAATAAGACAACATCATGCTTACATCTGCTTCTGTGGTCCGGATGAGTAGCAACGTGGGCTCGTAGCCCTCACAATGGGAGTAGAATCTGGAGATAAATGGAAAAGTTCAGATGACTGGATCACTCCAAAAACCTCAAGAGTCAGTGGCTGTATTAACAATACAAAACTCTATAGAAGCCAGTACTGGAAGACATCACCTGTTAAGGCTGCAACCATGGTTGGAGGTAGTGAAGAGGAGTTGAGGTTGGCACAGAGCAAAGCGTTCAGGGATCCAGGACCAGATGTCATGCATCTCCTTGGCACTCACAATCTCCGAGGAGAATGTTTCCGGGTTAAGTGCCAGCTGCACGTTCCGCCTGCAGCCACACCAGACAGAAGGGAACAAGAACGAGAGGCTCATTCAGTTCTAATGAGTTCACACAGCTGCTGATGCACTTAAAAAGAAAGTTATTTTTGAGCAAATTTATCCAAGGGCATAATCTTTAAGAAAAAATAAAAGACCAGTTATTTTATGTAGTCCTGTAGCACAGTCAGCAGTTTAACCTACTATCTTAATGCAGGTATCAAATTTAGATTATAAAGTAAAGGATGAAGAAGAAACCCACCTAGAACTGTAAAACAACCAGTGGAGTAAACAGAGGGGTGGAGTGCAGATGAGACAGAAGACGGTGAATGGAAAACCGTGGCATGAGCCAAACAGGAAGAAAACAAGGACAGGCTGTGAGAAGAGGATGCAAGAGCCAACCCAAAGCAAGCAAGAATGAGAGGCTTAAAAGAACAGGGCATTGTTACTTCTGCAATTAAAAGATTACAGTCAATCAGAAAATATCTGCTCTACACTTCAGCTCAATTGTATTTAAAGAGTCTAAACTGGTCCTTTAATGTTTCTTGTACACTGCATGCCTATCATTCTGTGCATTCCACTGTGATTAGATTTAAAGCTTCATCAAATCTTTAATCGTGTTTCAAGAATCTCCACTCTAACTGGAATTGTAGATTTTTTACTGGAAAAATAAAATCAGTTTAAGCATAAGATATTTCTCTGAGAAAACCCACAGGAAGCCAAATTAAGATGATTAATGTACCGTAATCAAATATTTGTTTCGCCTTTTTGACAGAGGGTCAAATCTATAGCTATATTTCTTTATTACATTTAAAATAGATAATGGCATGTCCATAAATGATAAAAAAAAAAAAAGTCATGTGTGGCCAAGACACCCACTATAAATGGGATAGTTTTGAAAACAAATAAAAAAGATCAATTATTAGAGCAGAAAACAAGTGAGGGACTTTACCGCTTCTGTTTGACTGTGATTCCTTTCTGTTGCAGTGACTTTTCGTTGGTGAGCTGCAGCAGCGTGATCTCCTTGCGGCTAAACAGGCGGATGGAGAAGGACTTCTCCAGCAGCTTGTCCGGTGTGACGGTGGAGGCGATACCCTTGATGAAGGTCTGAATATCTGCCCTAATCTTCGCAGAATCCTGTGTCTGCTGGCTCCCTTGCCCCCCCTGACCTCCTGCTTTATGCTTGCGGTAGAACTTTAGCAGGGCTATAGCCACACGGTAGAGGACTTTATAACCCTCTACGAGGTAGACATCTAGAACCCTGACCACGTGGCTAAAGGGCAGATCACCGAGCACCCAGTGCTGCCAGTCGGCGTAGACCTCCAGCACATCCTGGGCTGTGGCCACAATCAGTTTGTGAGCAGCGGGGCAATACTTGTTGGCCAAGTCGCCAAAGGTCATGCAGCTGGACTCAAAGGCCAGAAAAGTCTGGTCCAGCAGTCGTTTTCCGGGCTCGTTGCAGGCCAGTATGCGGCTGACGTGCTCAAAGCACTGAGCTTCATCGACACTGAAGTGAAGGAGCAATGAGGTGACGGCTGGCAGAGCTGGGCAGTGGGAGATGTCTGGAAACTGTCCAGCCACGCAGTTGATGATCCGATGGGCAGAGGCCACACCCTCGGCCTTCAGACAGTACCGCGGCACGGGATTTTCATCCACAAACTCTGGCAGCGGGATGTGAGAGGAGGGCTTCTTCATGGCCGCATCTCCAATAATGTCCCGATACACATCTGCATCGGGGGTGACTGTGCGACAGGGGATGGTTTTGATCAGCTGCTGGTAGACTTGAGCTCGTAATTTGTGATTCTTGGCCCAGTAACCCTGGCGAGCCATCTGTTTGAACTCTTTCAGGTCTTTGCAGTCTACCTTTGTGGACCCGCTGCTCTTGGCCAGGTCACCCATCTGGGTCCAGTCCACAAAGGTACCATAGTCTTCTTCAGCCATGGTGCGGGGAAGAAAATCGCTTACCTGCCCAAGCTCAGTAACTGAGGGTATTCTCCAAGGTATTACTAACCTTCTGCCTGCCGCACAACAGACTGTAAATGTGTTTTCATTAACTGCCCATGATGGTTTCTAGGAAAAAGAAAAGACAGTAAGTTTAGAATAATGTGGAACACCACTAATTCAGATGAATAAATAACTGTTCAATCAAGCACTCTTGTCAGTACAGCACAGGCAAACCTAAATTTCACATTTTATGAAAAATAAGTTATGAAATCTCCTTGAAGAATAGTCCCTATGTATCTAGTAACCTCCTTGACTAAGTATCCATTAGTTGAGGGCATAAGGAGTTTGCCACAAGAGTACATTGAAGCGATGCAGTGCTGCAGAAAAACATTAGCTAATTTAATTACTTACTCATGCTGTGGTAAAGATATAAATAAAGATATAAAAATGTTATCATGCGTGTAGTACATCTGTGAGCTGAAACAAATCAAGTCACTTGAAGCTTGAATGGAATGCAGTAAAATGCCACATTAGCAATAACATCTAAACATCTGACCTCCATGCAAGTCTATCTCTTGGTCTCCATGATGTGTGGTGGTACAGGAAAGGCAAAAATAATTCCATATAAAAGTTAAATATCACCCACATGATTTAAAACCCAACTGCCACAGGTTAACTTTCTAATTTTGTTTCCAAAACTGTACGAGGATATACACAGTTTGGACAGATACCCATCGTCACTTTGCTACGGTAATGTTTGTCTAGAGATCATTTGTGATAAATATTCTACTGAGTCTCAGAAGCAGACAGGCAGATCCTTCCCTGATGGTTTTAACCAGGTCACATGAAAGTGCTGGTGCAAAGTTCATATGAGATATCCTGAAAATGATAGACATAAAACCATCAGAACAAAGAGGTCCCATGGAAGTGGAGACCAATGCATTGCTATATGCATGTCTTACACTTAAGATACGTTTAAAAGATAAGCTGTCCTACTTCAGGGGTAGGTTAGCTCACATGTTGCCTTTCTATATTTGACATTGGCTTTAACTGACCAGACACTTAAACCTGCCAAAGGAACGTTATCCAGTCAAAGACTTACCTGTCTGTCAATGACCAGTCTAATGAATTCATTCAAAATATTTCAAATAAAAATATTCAAAAAGATGTATCATAAAAAGGTGCGATACGCAAGTATATATGCTGAAATTCTACATATCACAACAACATTCCTGAACATCGTCACATTGTAGAAAATCTCAGTGATTTAAAACATTAATTGCACTTTTGAATGTAGAGACTAAGATGTATGCAAGAAAACAAAAACAAAGCAGTGGTTAACAGGAGCTTTATTGGATATTCACTCATTCAATAATATTATTTCAATTTTCTATTCTTTCATTTTGCCAAATGAGAGGCTGACAAGGACAGACCAAAACTTTTTGGGATGTTGCTGGGATTCCCAAAATAAAAGTCAACAAAAATCTACACAAACCACAGGGGCTGACCCTTTGACAGGAGAGGGGCACAGCAGGTTTTAGAGTTTTGTTTAAGAGCAGATACAAACTTCTGCGAATAATGTCCGCCAGTGTTGACATGACTGAATGGGAAGTGGGCTCGTCGTCCTCACAAACAAAACGAAACGTTGCGACATGACATGGCCTGGGCTGTCAACGCTTCTGGAGGTCTAATAAAGTCTTGAGGTGTCATTCTGGATTCCTGCTACGGTGAAAAGCGGCACGCGCTGCGGGGACTACATTTGCACGCAATACCGCCATCCCAACTTTCAATAAAACCCGGGTCAGGTCTGCTTTCCCCATTCAACCAAAAGCTGCTGACGCGTTTATGGGAGCAGGAGATGCAGGAAACAAGAGTGTTGGACTCGGTCGCCCGGGCTAATCTGAACCCCCCGGTCCGTTCCCACAGCCGGGCTAGCGCTGCTAGCTTTAGCTAGCCGCGAGCTGCTCCTCTCTATGCACCGAGCGACGCCACACAACACCGACCGTCCCAGTGCACGCAAAACACCGTGCAAACACAGAAAGGCAAACAAGGAAACCCTTAAAACTGTTCGCCCTTGCAGCTAGCATGAACGTTACCGACCACCAATCTGTTCGGTCCGCCCGGCAGGCTGCCCGCCTGTGCTGGAGCTCCTGCCAAAGACGTTCAGCTTGATTTAACGAAGCAGAGAATAAAGACACGACTCACTCAATGCGCGTCTTAAAGGCGAGAATAAACCGTTCCGCTTAAGACCGGACACTGTCAAACAAAAAAAGACAAACAAACAAAAGCTGACAATGGATGAATGCACGGTTTCCCTACCTGTGAGAGAGATGTCTTGAGACGTGAAGCGGCGTTCACGTTAAGTTGTCTTGGGCATGCGCAGTCCTCCCACTTTGCGTCTGACGCGCGTCTGATGGAGCCGCATCTCAGGTGGGCTGGACACTTCCACGCGGGATACCACCGCTTCTCTGATCAATCTAATGCATCCCCCAGACGGGATTTTTTTTACATAATGGGCTATTACACGCGCTGTGTGTTACTTGTTCTGCATATTTGTAAAACTGCTTAGACGGCCTCGCAAATATTTAGGGACTTTCCCGTTATAAAGTCTCACTGGGATTCCGCAAGATATTACTATTATTGTGAGTAACTCAGTGATTTAACCATACAGAGGCTGTATGGCAGTCCCTATTATCTGGTTTGCCCTGTTTATGTGGAGACTAATGTAATGGCACAGGGAGAGGGCAGGAAGTACCCTTGGAGAGGCAACAAACCCTGCCTTTGTCAAGAACTCAAAGCAGCCACCAAAACACAGCCGCCCAACACATGACAGTTGTTACTGATAATTAAATTGTGGAATCATAATCTGCCTTCCAGAACAACTCAGGGTAAAATGTTGTTTGGTTCAGTCTTTTCCCCTCGGAAATACAGCTGATGTTTTTATATCCTCAGCTTGAAAAACACTGTGCTGCTGTAGAGTCCAACTTTAGTACACTGAATAAATGAAGTTGTAATTGTGATATATTCCCATCTTGTATTACCAGACATTATAGGGTATTAAAAGACAGCATTTTCTTCTTCCACTTAACTGCTAAAAGTCAGAATCTTATATGTTGACCTTTTTTTAACAACCATTTTAAACATCACTGAAGTTGAATGTATTAGGTATTTCTTAACGTCACTCAGAGTAGCTGACACTGAACGGCTGACATGTTCAAAGTAAGTAAACAAACAGTCATGTGCTGGAAAGGGCGTCCTCAAGACTGAACACTATGCTGTTGTGACGATTTCATACATTGTTTGTCGGATTACCAGTTTACAACATCTGGCTTACTGAGCAGTTGTGTTTATGATGTAAAAATGTAAATAATGAATTTCTTTCAAAGTGAAAACATATTTCCGGTGAGAGATGGGTTTAAATAAGGCTAAGCCAGTTGATGATGTTGAAATATAGACCAAGTCCGTTTTGCTGAACAGGAAATCATTGCAATGACCTCTAACGTCACTGACAGAGAAGTGCATGTGCGAGTGAGTGAACGAGAGAAGAGACAGATGGATGTAAAGCCTGTAAGCCTTTAGGTCCAAGCTTACAGAGATTTATGCACATCAAATCCCTCCACTTCCGTACAGTGTGTGACATCATTCCTACACCAGCCAATCCAGTGCCCTCCCTTCTCACCTGACCTCACACTTACACATGTGCACTCAGTTGTGCATATGGAGGCAAATGTCCAAGTATGCGCTATCGGGCAGCCTCTCAGGAGCTGTCCCTCAGAAAGGCCCTTTACGGAGCAGCCCCCGACAGTGATCCTCTGTCGGGGGGCTCTACATTACAGATCCTCTATCCATAGTTTTTCCCCTAAAAACATCCAGTTATCATAGATTAAATAAGTAAAAATGATTTGTATAGCACTTTTCACGGATTAAATCATAGAGTGCTTAACAGATAAAAGTGCAGGATCAACAGCAGCATCAACCTCTACTATCTAGTGTCAGGAGCTGTGATTAACTCCTCTGTCTTGTCAGTATTTAACTGTAGAAAGTTTGGTAAAGAATTGGAAAGAATGTGGGGCAGATGCTCATTCTTGGCAGACATTATGCAAATTCATTTTGGGTGAATTTATAGAAAGGAAAGTCTGGACCAGAAAAGGGGGAAGGAATGTCGGGGAAGGCCCTGTATGCGCACAAAGGAAGGGAGACGCCTAGAAAGTGTAATATAATTGCATTACAATGATTTCATGCTTGAGTTCTTGTAGGTTCGTTCCATAAATGACAACTTAACCATAGCATCTAATGGCTTGCTGTGCTTGGTCAATAATTCCAGCCCTGATTTGACTGCATCCTACCCAGAATACTTTAGTCAGAAAGTTAATCACTCAACTATCACAATACAGTTAGCTGTTTATACCATCAGAATTGGTGGTTCTACCTCTTAGTCAGCTGTACATGAGCTGATTAAGAAATAAAACCGTTTTCCAAGTGTCATATGTGCCTGACATGTCTTAGGCCAATTGGTTACTGTCTGTGAAGTGAAATGTAAACTACTCACGGCGACAGATTTCAGGAGAAAACTTAATAGATCACAAAATCCTTGTAAAGTTCTTGCACTTTGCGTCACGTCTGAATTACCAACTCATGTCTCCCCATTTAAGTAGCAACTGTTTACAGGAGTATTTGCTTTGCAGAACAATATTCTGTTACATGTTTTGTACATTTAAGTTCATTATGCTCCAGTGTCAGTATTTTTACTTTTAAACCCAAGTTATGATATTTTGTTATTTTGCTTTGAAATAGATACATAGATGTAAAGGAAAAATGTATAAATTGGCAAAGCAGGCAAATGACAGAAATACAATCTACAGATATGCTGTGTATAACTTATTGTAGTATATTGCAGTTCCAAACGAAATTAAACCTACAAAGAAACAAATGTTTAAATGGAATGTTTTAGTCATTAATCAATTGGATTTCAACAACTGGGCAGAGACAGAAACAAAACTCTTTAACTCTTACCCAAGGCCTCTTTATTTCAAACTTATGTGTGTTTGTTATTCTTTTAAGTGTCAAATGTTTGTACCATATAAACTATTTAAATGAGTGTCCAGCTTGAGCATTAATTCAGATTCAAGGCTTGAGTCTCCCCAGCCAGACTGAAAGAAGCTGTCATGCAATGGCGTGGCCTCCATTGTATCTTTGAAAGGCCTAAGTAGCACTTTGGGTATTGTTTTCTTCAAATGGGTGTCAGGTTACCTTGACAACCACGAGATGCCTTCCCATAGGCCCTGAGATAGAGAAAAGGATGGGCCAGGGACGTGGGGTATGAAAACGAAAGAAGATTAAAAAGAAAGGAGGCAAGATACGTCCCAGCCTGAAGGTTGTTTCTTTTCTCTCTTTTTTTCCCCACATTTTTTTGTTTTGCAAACAGGCCCGATGGCTCCCAGTGGGCTGGGACGAAGACCCAAGGAGGTGAGAGTGTACACGTGTGTGTGAGTGGGGTTGTTTGAATGCTGGCGGGCTCCTTCTGCACTAGAACTGTTGTGACATTTGTATTCCCATTTCACTCAGACACAACCAGCAGGCTGGCGAAGGCCGTTTATGTTTCACATTTCTATCAGTCTAATCAACAATTTCAAACTCAAACACAGACAGACCACAAACTGAAAAGGCTTTCATGTTCATTCTTTCTGTGCATACAAACTAAAGTTATGCAGCTCATGTGGAAAGTATGACTGTTCGCATAAAACCTGAAGAAACTAATGGATCTTTGTTGCATAAACCCAGATAGGAAAATAAGAAATGTGAGCTGTACAGCTGCATATACAACATACCAGTGTGGATCTCTTCTACATCACTCATAGCTATGTAGTTATTTTTCTGTATTTTGATTTTTTCAAAACCTTTTGTTCAGTGAGATCTTCAGCTCTGAAAACAGACAGCATGCGTGTTGCGCTGCGGCCTCGCAGGTAAGCCTTAGCCTCACTACCCCAGTTTCTAATCAGCAGGAATTAGGAAAAACAGAGAAGATGGGAAGTGCGGCACATCAGGTTTTGCATCATTAAAACACTCAATGAATCCTCACAGCTGTCCATTTAGCCAGCTGACTCTGAATAGCACAGCATGTAAAGGCTTTCAATTAACGTGCCGGGGCATTCACATCATGTGACATCATCGCACGACAATAATACACAAACACTCAGCGTTAGACATGAGACATGGAGATCAGTCCGTTGACATCTTTCATCATATGCAGACTGACACAGCTGAATGGAAAAGTATTATTTCGGGTCTGAATGTGGAGCTTTGCGGGCATCATGAGGTTCTTCACAACGTTTGTGCAGGTACCGGTACTTGGGACTGGCCGTTTCTTCGGTAAAGGTCTGTTGAGTTTACTGGCCTGATGAACGGTGAAGAAAAGCCTGGTGTGAGGGATGTAACTGCTCTCTCTGCCCCAGTTAAACTCATGCCCACCAGTCAGCAGACACATGCCAGAACAGCACATCACCATTCATGTGCTCGCTCTGACACTTGAAGTCACGGAAGACTTTACAATTTTGTCTGCATGGTTTTAACCAAAGACAAAGCCGGACTGGAGATATTTTTTTACACATATATTTAAAGCTATATCTGTTAAGGCTGGAGCATATCACAGCTGACATTGGGCAAAAGGTGGGCCACACCCTGGACATGTTGCCACTCCATCAAAGGGCCACACAAAAATGAACACCTACATACACAAGCTCACACTTCTGAACAATTTAAAGTCTTAAGTTAACCTAAAATGCGTGTTTATGGGTTCTAGGAGGAACAGTTACCGGGAAGAACCCAGGCATGCCCTGCCGTAGTTCTTAAATATGCCAATTCCACACAGAAATCCCCCCAGATTAAGATGCTGAAGTGCAAAATACAAATTAATGTGGAAATAAGTCGATGATAAACCACATTTAGTTGAAAATATAAGAATGAAAGTATATCATTTAGAGAAACATGGACTCACTGTTCATATTTAAATGTTCATTTGAACTGATGATGGCATGAGGGGCTTTCTCTGTGTACCATGCCCTCTAGTGGTTGTCTGGTGCTCTGTCTGGGCCTGTCCGTGGCCACCCTGCTGCTACAGAGCCTCTGGATGCCTCCGGAGATGAGAGGGGATGAAGCTGCCGGGAGATCACCTGAGGAACAGGGTGAGACAGGCACACATGCTTCATTTTTCTGATAGTTCCTGGTTTCTCCTACAACTTTCAACCAATATGTATAATGTGTTTTTTTTTTTTATTTGAAGCGAATAAAAGAAAGACCCATTTTTTAAAGACAAGCAATAGAACAGAGTAGGTTATGACCATGTAGATAAAGCTGTAGATGAAGATTTGTACACAATTCGCGGTAGGTCCTTGACCTCATGTATCTTCATCTTGACAGCTCTTGGTTTGTGGCTAACATAAACCAAAGTTCTTTTGTCTGGCTAAACCATTTGTCCAAACTAAGATATCAGAGAGGAAGTGGAGATGGTTGTTTGTGGAAAAGCTTTCGTTCTGGTTTATACAGAAGAGACAAATGGTTTTAACAGTCTCCTCTGTGGAATGTTTTTTTAAATATAAAAATCAGCAGTATTTCTGTCATAGCCCATGAATAAATGAACATATTTTGTTGCCTGTCCTTTTGGACATAACCCCAGTTATCTACTGCAGTTGATGGCTCTCTTTTGTAGTTTGTTTATTGCTTTGTTCATAGCTAAGATTTAGGGACAAAGTCCTTTTTTCATTAGCCTTCAGTAAAATTTTGATTGAAATCAAAGTGGAGAGTCATGTTGCTTTATAAGTTGAATTCCGTCAATAATCAGATACACATATATGATTAATGTAAAACAGCAAAGGCTCATAGCTGTGTTTTGAGATTTCAACATTGCATTTAGCAAATAGTTATATTTTCACAGAAAGGAGATGATGTTTGATCCAAAGATCAAAATTCCTTTAGGAAAATAGTTTTCAGCAGACAGTGATCCACTGGTGCATCTCAGCCACAAGTGCTGTGTTCTTGGAGGGACCCACCACAAGTTGTGTACAAAGAGCCGCCCAGCCATGGTTTCAGTTGGGAAACAAAGAGGACCACATGGGAGAAGCTTTTGGGGAGGGCGCGCGGCTAAATCAACTCAGTGCTCTGTTTTCAATGAGCACTGAAACAATAACAATCTAATTAAATTTGATATCTTTTATTTAAGTCTAAATATTCTTGCTGTGTTGCTGCCAGTGATTTGAGAGGAGTTACAGAGCAACGTGATTTCAATGAAACATGTTTGCTTTTACAGTGAGAATATGTTTATTATTTGATAGAGAAAAAAATGTAAAAGTCTGTTTATATTCTCTAAACTTTAAATCGTCCTGTGAGATGTTTAGTATAAATGAGTGGACAATCCATAATTTCTATAATTCCTAAGTAGATGGTGGTCAATATGAATGCCAGCTTTTCTGTAGAATTGACAAGTTTTGGAATGAAACAGTCACATGTCTTGTCTCACATTTGTTTTTCATTGCGACCCAGTCCAAAAGGCTTATGTAAGTAGGAATACACTATATTGCCAAAAGTATTTGCTCACCTGCCTTGACTCACATATGAGCTTAAGTGACATCCCGTTCCTAATCCATAGGGTTCAATATGACGTCGGTCCACCCTTTGCAGCTAGAACAGCTTCAACTCTTCTGGGAAGGCTGTCCACAAGGTTTAGGAGTGTGTTTATGGGAATTTTTGACCATTCTTCCAGAAGCGCATTTGTGAGGTCGCACACTGATGTTGGACGAGAAGGCCTGGCTCTCAGTCTCCGCTCTAATTCATCCCACAGGTGTTCTATCGGGTTGAGGTCAGGACTCTGTGCAGGCCAGTCAAGTTCATCCACACCAGACTCTGTCATCCATGTCTTTATGGACCTTGCTTTGTGCACTGGTGCACAGTCATGTTGGAAGAGGAAGGGGCCAGCTCCAAACTGTTCCCACAAAGTTGGGAGCATGGAATTGTCCAAAATGTCTTGGTATGCTGAAGCATTCAGAGTTCCTTTCACTGGAACTAAGGGGCCAAGCCCAGCTCCTGAAAAACAACCCCACACCATAATCCCCCCTCCACCAAACTTTACACTTGGCACAATGCAGTCAGACAAGTACCGTTCTCCTGGCAACCGCCAAACCCAGACCCGTCCATCAGATTGCCAGATGGAGAAGCGCGATTCGTCACTCCAGAGAACGCGTCTCCACTGCTCTAGAGTCCAGTGGCGGCGTGCTTTACACCACCGCATCCGACGCTTTGCATTGCACTTGGTGATGTATGGCTTGGATGCAGCTGCTCGACCATGGAAACCCATTCCATGAAGCTCTCTGCGCACTGTTCTTGAGCTAATCTGAAGGCCACATGAAGTTTGGAGGTCTGTAGTGATTGACTCTGCAGAAAGTTGGCGACCTCTTCGCACTATGCGCGTCAGCATCCGCTGACCCCGCTCCGTCAGTTTACGTGGCCTACCACTTCGTGGCTGAGTTGCTGTCGTTCCCAAACACTTCCATTTTCTTATAATACAGCTGACAGTTGACTGTGGAATATTTAGGAGCGAGGAAATTTCACGACTGGATTTGTTGCACAGGTGGCATCCTATCACAGTTCCACGCTGGAATTCACTGAGCTCCTGAGAGCGACCCATTCTTTCACAAATGTTTGTAAAAACAGTCTGCATGCCTAGGTGCTTGAATTTATACACCTGTGGCCATGGAAGTGATTGGAACACCTGATTCCGATAATTTGGATGGGTGAGCAAATACTTTTGGCAATATAGTGTATGTCAGCGGTCAGCTGCCAAAAAGATGCAAGATGACATAAGTGGTCGTTTATGTTTATGACATTTTGACAGGTTACCAACCGTGGTTGTAAAGTTGTTCAACAAGGATTGGAGTGTGCTTTATCAGCATCTTTTCTCCATTGTGGAAGTTTGAAGCCATCCAGCGCGAAGCTGTTTCTCATCCTTACAATGATCTAAAGACTTAAAAGGGGGAGAATGAAGGTTTAAATATTTTCAGTCATTCTGCAGGGAAATTACAAAGGGAATTTATTGTTTTGTAACTTTATTTCATGTGTTATTAGCCTGTTATCTCACTTTTTTCCACAAATTTGGAAACGTTAAGAGGAGCATACAAGCAGAATGTCCTTATGATCATGAGTGTGTATGTATGAATGTAAGATGACTGCTGATGTTGGTTTTGACTCAAATATGAAATTGTTAAAAAGTGAGTTGTTAATAATAATTTTTTGGTAAATCTTGCTCATTATCCTGTGCCATTTACCACATGTCTATGATCACTGGTTCATTTCCCCCACATTATTTCAAACTGCCTGTTCTTCCATATTCATAATGTAGAGATTTTGTTTGGTATGTGCACATAAACTGAAGTTATTTTTGGAAGTCCAAACTGCATAGAATAACATCATGTCTATACTTTACATCCAAGGTCAGCACGGCTTTGGCTTTCATCGACTTGAGCTTCGCTTAGAGGCTTTGAGTAGTGAGGTACAAAGGCTGAGCAAAGAAAGAGACGACCCCCAGCTGAACAGATATGAACCCAGTTTGCTCCTGCAGAGGTATTCAGTAGCTACAAAGCTATATGTTTGTTTTCACATTCAAATATATTCATGTTATAATGTTCACATTTAAAGGCAAAAGACAAAGACAATATAGTTCTGCATGCACTGACTGTGGAATTCGTTTGGGATTCTGTTTATTTTCCAGTTTCAGACAAGACCAGCAAGGCCTGGCTCGGCTGGTGGAGAGGGAGCTGCAGAAAGTGTCCCAAAGACTTGACCAGCTCAGTGGCCATCACCACCATCACGAGGCCCACACACCAGCTACACCTGATGACAATAACCCACACACAGGTAAATCCAAGATTTAGCTCCAGTTTCTTTAAATATCTAGATTAGTTTTGAGTTACAAAACATTGTTTTTTTCATGTCTGGAAAATTTGTAACCTTATGACATTAATACTAAAAATATTTTGAAAACATGTGTGCCATTTGTCTCAAAGGACAAATGGCAATCAACATTGAAGCAAAATTTCAGTCTAGCAAAGACTGAAATACCAGTGTAGAGTTTCTACAGACATCGATTCTTTGCACATTTGAACTGATTTGGTCAGATAAATCAGCCTATTGACACTTTTAAATGATTATCATCAGACTATTGCAGTTAAAATGTACTTTCACAGTCTGTACACATCTAACAGATGTATTCTTCTCCCCATTTGTTGCTAGCTTTAATAATTAGTCACTTGGAAAGGTCTATATGGCGATGGAAGTTTGGAACCTTCAGCCAAATGCATGGTTCATAGTAGAGGTTATCCACACAGTGGAATTAACAAGCTGTGATAACAGAGGCAGTGCATGGAGGGTTGCAGGTGGTTGTGAGGGATGAAGTCCTTGAATATAAAATTAACAAGACCCACTAGCCAGCAGCGTCAATCAACGGGCCGTTTGGAGGAAAAAAAACGTGTACATCTGCACTCTGACCCTCCTGTGAGGTGTCGGCTGAGACTCCGGTTACACTCGCTGGTTGGCACGTGAAGAGCATTTATTCATATTTGTGTGTGAGCAGTGTTGTGGGGAGCTTGTTTGCAATTGGCTATGTGAGTAAACAGGGGTTTCATGACATGATAATGTGTACATGTGTGTGAATCTGAATCTACATGCCACCCACAAACACACAATTCCCCATCGCCAGTCTTCTGGCCCCTTTTCCCCTCACATTACCTCACACCCATAAAACTGGCTGAATTACCCAGGAGTCCGACTCCTTTCACCAACTTGTCATACTCTTGTTTTTTCTCTTTTTGCTGTGCTCCTATAGCATATCGCTGTTTTGAGGCCTTCAAAACTCTGTTCAGCTTACAGGTTGTGTTATCTTTTTTTTGCCACTCTTCCTTTTTACTAGGTTGTTTAACACAGTCTAGGGCTGTGTATTTTGGCAAGCACTGTAAATGGGAATGTTTGGTAAGAGGCAGGTGGTTCAGGTGTGTGTGCACGTTCATATTCATTGTACTTGATTGACACTGGCTACAGTAGGGGGGATTACTGGAAAGGGCCTCTGAGAATACACTCTAATGCCAGTTAAAGGCATGGCTGCACTAAACGTCATGCTGATGGCTGCTACTCATTGTGCACATTTCATTCGAGAGGCTGTATATTAAAGTTACTGTCCAGGGTTCTTCATTACCCAAGTTTAGCCAACTCCACAATGTAGTTTTTGTTCCGTACGCCAGGATTGTAGAATAATTATGCACTGAAAATATCTTCCCCACAGGACCCGGGGAGAAGTGTGAAGTTCCAATGAATCCTGCATATCCGGTGTGTGCAGAGAAAGTGGAGGTGAGAAGGTGTAAATGGACAGCATGTGGTAGAATAGATTTTTATAGCTGCATATTTAAACTGCAATGGTTATGTCGAAGAGCTTTCCTTCAATTAAAGTTTAAAGTGAAGTTTAGTTGTAAAGTATGCAATTACGTTTGAAAAAATTATTCTACCTGTGGTAATTTTCCAACTATTTTTAATGATAAATTAAAGTAGTTAACACAGTCCTCATGTTATTGTCCTTTTTCCTTTGAATGTCTGCTTTCGTGGCAGTTCCTGTGGACACATTGGCAAAAAGATCCCTGTTATGCTTTTTATGGAGTGGATGGTACCACGTGCTCCATTTTGACATATCTTAGCCAAATAGAGAACTTTTGTCCACCCCGTTCTGGAACAAATCACTCTTCTCTGTCATGGCATCAGAAACATCATTCATACACTGTGAAGGTAAGTAAACCGCTTTGCCTTTAATCTTATTGGGGAAAATTAGGTTCCACTTATAATTCTAAACAGGCCCTCTTTCAATTTCAACATGCAATCATTCACAGACTGATATGTGCGTAACTCTAAGCTCACTGTACGAAGTGATTGGCAACAGCAGCAGTCCGGCAGTAACATTCATCAAGTCCAGGGTGAGAAGAATGTCTGCACACTGGATAAAGGCCGGTTTGAGGATAAAACAGAGCAGCAACAACACAGCTTCCACCAAGTTAAAGGTACATGTATTTGAAAGCTTTGACATTTCGCTGTTACCCATCTACCTTTACGTTCAGTATTGCTTTTAAGGGGGAAAAGAGCCCTATTAGAAACTGTGGCTGCATCACATATGTTTTTTCATTGTAATTTTCCGTTCAACGTCATGACAATTTTGAACTTTTTTTTCATTTATGATGTACATGTACTAAGGTCTAATAGCATTACTGTGCATTGCTCCAATGCTTTGAGAAAAACTCCTAAAGAAGGGCCTATAAATCTGACAGTTTACAGGCGGTGTCTTTCCTGGATGAGAAAAACTCCTCACCCTAGTGTAGACTTTGGGCTTTGCAACCTTTCACTTGTGCAAAAAGTCCCAACAGATGGAAAGTCAAAAAGCCTTAAGAGCACCATTCAGTCTGTCAAAAAAAGAGAAATAACTTTCTGTTCTGTAGGTGTTACTTTACCCTGGTGCCCTGGCCGGGAGTGTTGGTCAGCATTTTGAATCCATGGTGGAGAGAGGGGGTCCTCTAGGAGAGCTGGTGCAGTGGGCAGACCTCAGTGCCTGCCTGACCGTCCTGGGACACAGCCTGACCTTCAGCACCTCGCAGCGGCAGCTCCGCAGGTTACCACTACTCATCATTTACAGGACATTAAGAAAGACTCTCCGATCCCTCCTTATGGGGCCTTTAGAGCATCTGGCGGTCATCATGTTTGTATATTGGATTTGGATGAAATCCAATATACAAATTGGAGGAAAGGGATAAGTTGAAAGATGATATTAAAAAACAGGATTTATTTTTCAGGAATACTTAATAATGACCAAGAAAGTCATTAGAATTATTTAATTTATTTTTCTCAAAATGAATGTATTTCTTGACCCCATAATGACTTCCGAAAAATATGATACAATTGAATTGACAGAATATATCAGGAGTTGATGTTATCGAATCAAGGATGTACAAATATGTCTACATAAAAGTGCCATTCAGATTATTGACTACAGTCAGTCAAGCCGGTTTAGCTGTGTAACGTCTTAATCATCTTTTTCATTTTCACTTATTTTTCATATAGTGTAACAATTCATGATAAAAGTTTTGACACAAATACTATTAAAATGTTTTCTTTTAAAAAGAATTATCATAGTGATTTTTCACAAAACATATTTCCCTGTTACACGTAAAAGTAAAGGCCGTTGAAGGAACAGTGGCAAATAACATTAATGGTGTCCTTTCGTGAACTGAACTGGTGTTTGTTGTGGCTGGACCAGCCTTATAGGGGCTGCGCCAGGCCGAGGCAGCTGTCCCATCCAGAGACCTCTCACCTTTGACCTCATCTATACTGACTACCATGGGCTTGCACACCTTCAAGGGTCCATGGGACTGGCTTTCCAGTATTACCAGTATGCCTGCAATTTTCTAAAAGCATAATTACACCTTACATCATGATAATTTCGGAATCCATGGCTTTGTATGGTTTTAAAGAATAATAACTAGGTACTATGATGATAGCAATTTTCCTGCCATGAATAGTGCAGATTTGGGTTATTGTTGCTAATAAACGGACACTAAAAGACTATATCAATTTAAAATGTCAGAAATGTAATCGTTCTAGGTGTCGCTTCAGGATCTTGGACTCATTTGGAACTGAACCAGTCTTCAACTTTCCAAGTTATGCACATAGCCATGGATATAAAACACTGTGGGGGAGCTGGGGTCTCCAACCTCTGCAGTACATGACCATGTTCCGTAAGTCTGTGCGTGCACGTTCATGTTTGTGCGTCTGTGACATGTCTGTGATGAAGCAACGTATTACGCCTCTTTATGCTGGGAAAAACAATAACTCAGGTTAAATGAGCATGGTGCCCTGACAGAGCTTTCATTCCAACACCTCTCCCTGTCATCTTCCCACCCTGCTGGTAGATGGAGACAAGCTGGAAGTAGGGCCAAGAGCCACTTCTCATTTATCACGCTGGAACATTTGTTTGTTTGTCGTCTGGATGAGGAGGAGAGATAGAAATTTGTTGAGGATGTGAGAAAGGCGAGAGGAGAGAAACAACCAAAGGAACAAAGGCTTGTTTCTTGAGGGTGAAAAGATGAAAATGAATTAAAGGATTGGGTTGCACGCAAGCACGTGAAGCAGAACTGTAAACAGCCAGCAGGGCCACTGAGGATAGTATACTCAGTCTGAGCTCATTCTCCAAACCTCCACAAGCTGCATGATCCTATCACAGTATCTTTGCTTATCACAGCTAATCTAAAGTGTGTGTGAAAGTGTGTGAGAGAAGCAGTGAAGTTAGGTAGGTGTTGGAGACAAGTGGAAGAGAATATGTTCCAACAGGAAATTTTCTTCCATATGAATTGGGACAGATTTGGCAAGTGTCTTTTAAACAACATCTTTGTCAGAGGACAGCACACACACACACACACACTTTTTACAGTAATCAAATCAATGCCCAGGCACGTACCTTTGCTGGAGCTTTCTTTATTAAGTAAATACTCATCTTTAACACCTCCCCCAGTGTGTGAGAATGCATCAGCTAGCTATCCAAACACCTCATCTTCTCTTATATGAAGACTTCTCATTTGCTTGGGCAGATGATTTATGCTGTGCAGCATGTTCTCCCACAGAATTTCAACATAAACAGTCATTCACCTGTGGTCATCGTGAATGTCATTAAAAGTAGCCAAAAGGTACTCCTTTGGTCCTGAAGTTATATTTTCCACTCTCATCTTATTTTTTTGTCATCTCTCGTGAAGATGGGTGCACAAATGTTCACCCTGTCTGATGATTTTTTTTTACACGTCCACAAGAGTAGACGTGCACACATTTTAAGTGTTTTTTTTTTCAACTGTATGAATTTGTGTAAATTAGTAGGTGGTTATTTCTATGTATCATCTGACTTCTCCATGTTCTGCTGTCTCCAGCTCATACTCCTGATAACTCCTTCCTGGGCTTCGTTAGTGAGGAGGCAGTGAGGAAGGATTCAGGGGAGGACGAGCTTGAGTCGGTGGGCGACAGGAAGGACAGGATAGCAGTTGTCTATGGAAAACAGGACCACATGTGGCAGGTACATAATAACCAAATGAAAAAACTATTAGGAATACTGTGAAACAGTTAGTAAAATGACCATGTTTTAGCCACAGAAAGAGGCCAATCAAAAAAAAGATAACAGAAAAAAGATAATATATGCATATAATGTGATATAACGTTTTTTCCAAAAGGAGACCGATTATCTTTTCTGTGTGTTGTCCTCAAATCCCATGAGCTTCACTGATAAAACAAAGTTTTTATCTCTGTTTCTTCATCCTAATGATGCTACAACATCCATCTAGTGTCACCATTGCACACGACTCAAAATAATATTACTTTCAGGTAAGAAAGTAATGTTCCTTATATGAATTCTAATAATCAGTTTGATATGTGCATGTTATGTGTGCCAGGGTAAATCTGAATACGTGACGGCCATTGGTGAGGAGCTCGAGATTCATGCCACAGTCTACTGGCCTCCAGGACACAACTTGAGTCTGCCCAGTTTCATTAAAAATCATGGACTCCTGAGTCAGGAAGACTTCCTAAAACTTCTCCGCAAAGCAAAGGTTTGCTGAGAGCCAGAAAATCATGTGTGGCTTCGAAGCATTTTTACAAAAAGCATTATAAAAACTTATGAGCTGGTAGAAGAGAATGATTGCAAGTCTGGCATCATCAAAGCCGACCATTACTCTAATTTTTATAATTTATGGTGGATAATCATCAAGAAACTGTATTCTTGTCTTCTCTCTGCTGCTTCCTTTCCATGCAGGTCTTTGTAGGTCTTGGGTTCCCCTATGAGGGTCCAGCTCCTATTGAGGCCATTGCCCAGGGCTGCATATTCCTTCAGCCGCGGTTTGACCCTCCACACTCATCAGACAACAATGACTTCTACAAGGGGAAGCCCACCACCAGACAGGTGGGTGACTAGTAAAGTCAAAAAGAAAATGACAGAAAAGATGTGAATATATTTAATGGACTGTGTTGGTTATGATTAAAATAACTCTACCATTGAACAGAAAATATGAAAACATCATACACTTTTTGGTCTATCAGATAACATCGCAGCACCCCTATGCTGAACAGTTCATTGGTAAACCCCATGTGTGGACGGTGGACATGACCAACATGACTGATATTCGGGAGGCAGTCAAGGCTATTGTGAAAACTGAGGTGACTTTTACTGAACAAAGGTCTCATTTTTTAAAACATGTACACGTACATTTTCAATCTTTAAATTCCAACCGCAGCACCTCTGAATAGAAGTGTTTTTATGTGTGTTTGTGCAGGTGAAACCTTTCACTCCTCAAGAGTTAACCTGTGTGGGGATGTTGGAACGGGTTCGTGGTTACATCACTCACCAGGTACATCAGCCGCCCACCAATCCCCAAATTGGACGGATTTTTTTTCCAGATACATTCACCAGATGAACAATTCAGTTTAAACTGATAAGTGTCAACTATCTTTTTTTTGCCATAAATGGCTCAAGGACTTTTGCAGTAAATCTGTCCCAACATGGCCTCCGGAGAAAGCTTTAAAGGTCCATCTGGGCCCACTGGGTCAGTCCTGCACAAACGTGTGTCAGCGCTCCTCCCTCCTGTGTGAGCCCGCCCTCTTTCATCACCTCAACACTCCCAACATGTTTTCCAGGTGAGAAAGCATCCCGTCAGCCTCTACATGGTTTCATCCACAGACTTAATGTGATAAGTTTAATGATGATGTTATCCACAAATGTCTCCTCCACGTAACTCTCTGTATTCACAGTTACCTGTATCATCCCACTTTTACCTCTGTACATCACTGTAAGGACAATGCATTTAGTGTGGTGCTGCTAATCAAAGTAACGGCCGACACGCCTAACTCAATCCACGCTGAAGACATTTATTATATCCTCTGTTTACCTAAATATTTGCTTGACGTATTCATGAATCTTTTTTATTCTCTGTGGGGAAATTTATTCCATAAACAGTAACTACAACATTCTATTTTTGTAGGCTGATGGTGTGCAGTGTCCCTCATCATGTCTACGTTGTTATTAAATGTCTAAATCCCAGTAGTCAGTAACATGTCTCACACACCATCTACAGTCTTTCTTTATGGCGTAAAGCCACTGTAATTTGTGGTTTTATGGCTTGGTGTAGATTGCTGTGTAAGCTATGTTTCAAAACATTTACTTAATCATCTTCCATGCAAAATTGTGACACAATTCCCACAATTGAGAAAGTTATTTTTTTTTACTTTCTAACTTTCTACTGCATTATTATATTCTGAAAAAACCCAAGAGCAACATTAGAGCAATGCAGTTACATATTCAGGTGAAGCTTTCAAATTTTCCAGAAGGTTTGGTCCATTGACAACAGTACTTTTTCCCGATATAATTATTGTAACTCTGCATCTTGTAGGCTGGGACTGGGCTGCTCCAGCATTGCGCAGGAAGTCAACCATCTGTTCCCTTCCTACAGCCCTTGGGGTCGTCGCTGTGGCCTTCAGCAGGAGCCTCTCCTGTTCAGTTGTGCTGGTTCGGACCCTTCACATCGCAGGCTGTGTCCTTGCAGAGCTCATCTACCTGGACAGGTGGCCCTGTGTCCTGACTGCCTTTAAGGAAAAGTATCAAAGAACTTGAAAAAAGATCATATCGATGAGCCATTTACAATGAATGCTGTGCAGGTGGACTTTTAGCCAATGGGGACAAGTGGTCCTGCCATAGATTTAGAAACTCTAGAAGTTGTATCTGTGGACGTGATGGAATTTGGAGTATGCTATTTATATTTGCACATGAAAAATAGTTGAAATATAGTAAATGAATACCTAAATGGTTGATTAGTCAGATGCAATTCCTGTAAAAATTATATGATTCACCTCATAAGTCATAAGTCAAATACTTTGAAAGCTAAAATATGATAACTTAACTAATCTTATGGTGCCAAATGAAATACATCTAGTTACTGATGCATTTCCTTGATACACAGTATGAACAAATATGAACAAGAGGCGGTTTAGGCCTATCCATATTAAAGTGGCACCAGTGTGAAGTGGTTAACTTCCCTTATTGCAGGGATCATTATGAATTGGTCAGTGTAGCATTAGATTGCAGAAACTCCTTAAAGCTTCATTGGTTGCGAAGATTAGACTTGGCTTTAGAGGAGAAGGGGTGACAGCCTAAGTGATGAGGCTCATTATCTGAGTGAATCATGGATAACCTCTGGATGCCTTTCGCAGGTCACAGTCATATAAGCATGATTATACTGTCATATAAACCATTCGTTTCCAGCCACCTCTGACTTAGGAAACCCCCTCAGCTCTGTTTTAACCCATGGCCCCCCACCAGTGAAGCCAGAGCCTCATTGTTTGTCTTTCCAACATGCAATCAGATGGAGAAAAAGTCACATTTATTTGAATAATTGTGTGCTTGGTTTTAGTTATTCAACAGAAAATTCGACCTTAAAATGATTTTGATCATAATAAATGTTTTTTTTGTTAGATGTTTTACAGCAGCTCTATTCCCTGATAGTGACCTACACATTTTTTTTTTCATCCTAGCCACCCAAGAGTATTTTGAAACTTTGCTGGATATGAGCAGAAGTAACAGAACAATATTTGAGTTTTTCTTTTCTTTTTTTTATTTTAAGCATTTTCTCAAAGACTCACACAGACTTCTCTCATCATCCCCTCCTGCGCAACAACATCTGAAAGAAACAAATGATAACAACTAAAGGCTAAACTTCAGCCCACAGTCAGCGGTGTCAGTGATGGGGTGCTGCACTTACACAATACAGCTGTTAGCAAAGATGGCTCCAAAAAAGGCAACAAGCAGCTGTTTTGAAATTGACATAAGGTTTTTCTTAGAAATGACACATTGAGGAATGCTAACGGGTTTTATATCGAAACACTTTCTGCCTGGATACACTCCATGTGTGCAGGGCATATTGTAACTCAGGGATTGGAGAGCTCAGGACTGCAACAACAAGGCATGTTGACAAAGTGATGGACTGGCAAATGGCTGTGAAATGGTGCATGAAAACAATGTTTGTCACAACTTTGGTCGATTCATGTGAATTTATTTGGCTGTGTCAAATGTGAGTTTTGCTTAATTATCTGCCCAGTCCAAAAGGGATGGAACTGAACTTTATGTTTTTGTGAAGAGTTGATTTGGACTGAAGGATAATAAAGCCTGCTTTTGACCCAAAAGGACACCCCTCCGAAGCTAATTTTTGGAAAATGATGTGTCATTTCTGGATGCGTCACATGAATTCATATCAATTACACAGGTGCCATATAAAAGCAGCCACTCACGTCCCAGGGGTCTGATAACAGAAGGTTCAAACCAAGGGTTCAAAAACAGGCCCGACTATATATGGAGCAAATGTGCAAATGTGGACAAAGCTGTTAGTGTTCCACTCGACTGGCTACTGACCTCGTGCTGAATGGGGCTGTATAAGTATACAGACCTGACAAGGTCCATATGTTTGTCAGAAACCCATTTGATGGCTAAAGACAGTGTGATATGCTTTGAAAAACAGTGATTTGGATCATGGAGGTAATTCTAGTCTTTTCTGGTGTGTGGTTAATGCTGCAAATTAGCTCTACGCCTCAGGTCTAACCCCAAGGATAAAATTGAGTACGTTGATTATTTGCTTATTGTAATTCAGCTCACCACAAAAAATGTTTAATGTTGTTAGGCTGATTGTTTTTTTTCTACTGTGCAGAGAAGTGCTTAGGCACTCAGAGCCTGTGGGAAAGTTTTGCAATCTCAGCTTAATGAAAGTCATAACAGCCATACTGACAGCGATGTACATTTGTGCACCAAAGGGCACAGAACAAATAAGATACAGGTAAAAGCTACCATGAGAACTTAATAACCTTAAGGTATATTCTGTTTTTTCAGTGTCCAGTCAATAAATGCCACAATTTTGGAAACTGATGTCAGATTTTGATCGTATCAAGCGCCAAAACAACATTTTGTAGGCTTTATCATATAAGGAGAGAAATTTAACCACAAATTGTGACTGGAGATATTGTTTTTCCAATCTTTAATTGTGTCCAAACATTGCATCTTCACCTGTAGACTTGTACGCATCAAATCACTCCCAAAATAGCCCTGGGGAACTCTACAGCTGTGTGAGCGCTTCACTTCTTGTTTTATATCAGAGCCTTCTTAAGAGAACATAGGAGTAAGATGAACATGACCTTCTACCAATTCAAATATAAATAAAAAGCAATATTTTCTGATATACATACAGTGTATCAATATAAAATCAAAGAAAAAATGGGAGAACCCCTTTAAAGCTGCACTTCTGAAGATATATTCAAAATGTTAATTGTGTTACCTGTGATTAACCACTCAGTCTAATCCAGAGTAAGATTACCATCTCTGCTAATTATAGAAATACATTTAGTTGTCATGTCTGCAGTACTGAAAGTTTTGCACTAATTGGTGAAGAGAGACCTGAACCAAATAATTAAACTGCTCGGAAGCAGTTCAGTCTCCTCAGAAGGGTGGCTGGTCCTCGGGGTTTGGATTAAGATCTGAAGGGCTCAGAATATAGCAGTAGTTCTGTATGAAGATCCAGACAAATGTGGTTTTAGCATGTGGTTAGGATACCTTCCAGATGCTTTGCATGGGAGGTGTTATCACAGAAATGCCTCAAAATCTTTTATTTGTTTAGCACGTCACATTTATATGAATTACCAAGGGTATGCAAATAAACGACACCTGTCCAAGCTGTAGTAGTAGATGTATTTCAAACTGAACTAAGATCAAGCAACCAACACTGACCAACAAAAGGGCTCTTCAAGTCACACAGCAGAACTGCTCTCACATCTGAAAGTTCAGTCGATCCGGATAGGACCTTGGATTGTTCGTGTACGTACACATGTGCCTGACCACCCACTGGACCTCGTGCTTGTATCTGCTGGCTGCATGACACCTCTGCTCATTGACATAAGGATTAAATGGTTAGAAAATAAGGCATGATTGATGGAAGTGAAAAAATAAGAGCCCCCAGAGAAACCACAAGAGGAAACATGAACCTGTGCCGGGGTCAGCCAGACATCACGGAATGTTCATGCTCCAGTAGAGATTCAATAATGTTTGCCTGAGCGCTTTTTAATTTTTGAGAGAGACAGGAACTCTTTTAGTCACGTAGAGACCCTTTCTCCGACGGCCCAACTCTAACCTGGGGAATATGGTGCCTGTTCAGAATCTGCTGCCAAGAAAAATGAGAGATCTTATAAAAGATATCAATTGTGCTGAAAAGGAAACTTTCAACCTTTGTCGTGGCTGTGTGTTTTATACAAAATAAATATCCTTGCAACTGATATAACAACAAACCTCAGAGACTTAACAGACATTACTGATTAAAGTTATGAATGTGAAAGCATGAAATTAGGAGTACGTTTACAATTAGTCCAAAATGAATGCAGTGTATAAGGGTTCAACATCAATTTCTGCTGTGTAATCAGAAGAATATTACAGACATAAATCATATATGTCTCTGTCTCACTGAAGGCTGGAGGAGCGTGCTGCAACACTGTGTTGCTGTATTATGTTTGCATTACTGTGTGCCATAAATCACACAGTTCATATTGGGTCCTCCAGAGTTTCAGTGTTGTTTTGCTGTCCAAACAACATTTAAGACTGAAGCCACAACCTTTTTTAGTGCTCCGACCACTTTCTTTAAAATGTTGTCACAGTTTTTGGCATTTTTAAAGCCTTTGATGTCCTTTTCCTCATCTTGAAATAAGATTAAATGTGTTGTTTTGGTTACCAGTCTATATATAGCCTTTGACCCAATAACAACAATAGATGTGTCTTTAAAAAGCTGAACTTGTCTTGTACACTCCTTGTTGAAAAAAAAACTTGAAACACAAATCTGGTTCTGAAGCATCCTACAAGCTTGATATACCTTTTAATGACATGTTTCTCCCATTCTTATTGAGAGAAAGCGATACTTAACCAACAGTGACATTCGTTCTGACATTGGTTTTACCATGTCTTAACATTATGCTTTTGGTTATACACCCAGCTTGAACTAGTCTGCATGATCCTGCTGTACTTTTCAACATCCACCTCCCTCTTTAAACGGACCAGTCTCCCAGTTACTGTCACATTAAAAGCTCTTCATGGAATGATGCGTAACTGATGTTTGGGAGAAGGGATGGTATAAATGAAGTGATGCCCAGTGTCTGGTTTCAACCGCACATGCTGTTGGTAGTTGTGGCCAAATAATTAAGTCGAGATTTCATCAGATCAGAGGACTCTGTCTTTCGTGGTCGGAGTGATTCAGAAACCTTTTGGCTGAGCTCCCATCCGGCTGTTAGAGGCCTTTTAGTGTGGGTGATTTTCTGACTTGTCACTCTACAACAAAGGCCTGATTGCTGCTTTCTGCCTCTCCCACCTTCACAGAAGAGCATTTGCCATTTGCCTGACTATGACTGAGGATTGATTTGATTTCGATTGGTCATTTTTGGGAGTGGGCAGCATCAGGGTTCCTGGTTTAAATCCCTGGGGGGGTCTTTCTGTGCAGCTTCTATGTGCCATGTGCATATATGGGTTCTCTCTGGGTACTCTGGTTTCCTCCCACCATTCAAAAAGATGTTGGGTGAATTGGTGGTTCCAAAATGCCTGTAGCAGTGAGTGTGTGTGGTTGTTTGTCTCTGTGTGGCCCTGTGTGACTGTTTCAATGACAGCTGGGATAGACCCCCCACCCCCAGACATATTAGGAATAAGTGGTACAGCTGTAATGTTGGCAGGGTAGCCAAATCTAGTAAGCCTGAAGGCAGGTCTGAATAAATATATAGCAGCTCTAGAAGAATTCTTTTTAATTGATGGCTGTAGGAGCCTAAATGCGGTTAATTTCAGTTGGAATCGGAAAGAGAG